GTACCCAGTTTTTAAGGGGTAATTCATTTGAGAGCTCAATCAGGCATTTTTTTGGTAGCCTAGTGTTGTCCATCTGTTGAACCAGTAACAGAGAATTGTTTTATCTATTTGGCTCTCTATGCTCAACATGCGAGTTTCCAACCTGACCATGGCAGATTGCACGTCTTTGGGTAAACCTAAAAGAACTCTTAAAAAATAATTCTGTGGGGGTTCCAGACCGGAGACCTTTGAGGTACCCCCAAACCTCTGCACCATATAAAATCTGGGCCATTGTTTTTGCTTTATACACAGATAGAGCTGGGTTGACCAGATTTCCACCTTTACAGGCAGCAAATTTCAGAATGGCTTTTGCTGATTTAAAGGCTTGCAATTTAATATTGGATAGCTGTGTATTCCAAGAGGCCGTTTCTGAATAAATCAATCCCAGATATATACACGTATTTACTTGGTTTATGATGTGTTCATCCAGGTGCGAAACATGCTTTTTAGAACGCTTCCCAAATACAATGACCTGCGTCTTATCATAGTTTATAGATAAAGCATTCCTCGTGCAATATGAACTTAATTTTGCAAGCAGCCGTCTCAGGCCCACCTGGGTTCTAGATACACGTACTAGGTCATCAGCATACATTAAAACTGAGAGTTTTTGGTCGAGAATTGTGACAGGGGCAAACTGTAGGCCCTCCAGTTCTTTAAGCATGTCATTAATATAAAAATTGAACAGGAAAGGTAGACATAGCAGACGACGCAGTGATTTCTCCAAAGCAGCTCTTTATTTGTAAGCTGGAACGCTCCCTCAGCCAGTAAAGTGAGATGAGCGTCCGCAATCAGGGGATGGTCAGGGGTCCCTTTACCTTTACCTTTATGGTGTGGATACAGCAGGCAGGGAGACGATTTTCCTACTAGAACCAGGAGCAACCAATGAAAACTGAATGAAGGGATATTCCAGACAGATGAGAGGAAGCACTGCTTTAGTGCGTAGCTGAAGCTGTGGGATCCCCACAATGGATGGCAATGGCTGAATCAACGCTTGAAACAATGGCCACCGACTTGGATGGCTTTAAAAGGAGATTTGACACGCTTACAGAGGATTAGGCTATCAATGGCCACTAGTCACCACAACGGCTAGATCATGCACCCCAGCGTTAAGAGGCACAATACCTCTAAAGACCACTTACTGGGGGGACATGAGTGCTGTTCTGCTCATATTCTGCTTCTGGGCTTCTTAGAGACATCAGGTTGGCCAAAGCATGTAACTGGGGTAGTCTGATCTAGCCAGGCTGTTCTTACTTTTCTAGGTTTTGTTAGAAGCAGGTGGGAGAAAAGAATAGCTGCCATAGGCAGGAGATCTGTGAGGCACCTCCAGACTTCTAATTTTTTAATTCTATTGAGATGCAGCCATAGACGGCGTCCATTTTGTTTGGAGCAGTAGCAAGGGCACGTGTGTGTGTGTGTGCCCCCTCTGCCAAAATCGCCCTTCTCCAGCTGTCGTTTGCCCTCCAAGGGAGAAAATACAAGCCTGGCAACTCTATTCTACGAGGGAAATGTCAATTGCACTCACCCGCCGCTTAAAATAAAATGATTTCCTCCCACATTTCTTGGATGGAAATAGGGACGTTCTATTCTACATCAGGAAGCTTATCCTGCGTTTGATCTCCCACCGTACACGTATACATTTTATACACATATAAATCTGTCAGCTTGAGCCAATGACAACCTCTCAGACTAACCTACCTCACAGGGCTGTTGTAAAGAAAAAAAGGTGCAAGGGAAGGGGTTGTGTACAACACCTTCAACAGATAAATAGAATAAAATAAAAATTTAACTAGAAATTGCCTTGAGCTCCTGTCAGGGAAAAAGGTGGCTAATAATAATAATAATAATAATAATAATAATATTTTAATGCTTGATGTTGTCGCTTTTTTATTATTAATATTCTGTTGGGAGCTGTGCACAGTGGCTAATAATAATAATAATAATAATAATAATAATAATAATAGAAACTATGAGAATGATCAAGAACATACCAGGAAAGGTGGGTTGTTGAAATGAAAGGTCACCTACTAGCATCGCTCAGTTGACTGGCATTTCAGTTTAATCATTCATTTCAGAACTGAAGGCAAACCACTCCCCCTGCCAAAAAAACACCCTTACAGCGTTAGCTGTGAACACACATTCTTCAACCTGTGCAAACACAGTCCATCCCTTTTTTGAATTTGCAGAAAACAAGTGAGGTGGGAGAGGTCAGCACAATCTTTCTGCCACACCTTGGATCGTGCCCTAACAACTGCTTTGGCCTCACCCGGATTTATTTACTTTCAACCGACAGGCTCCACGTTCATATCTCTGACACTACTGGGCATATGGTTCCTAAATCAACACCCAGATGGAAATGAGTAAGCAGGCGGGAAGAATATCCCACAGCCAATCTCACCAGGGGAAAGGTTATGGGAGGGTGTTGGCTTTATTACCTTGTTGGTTTTCTACATACTTAACAGCATGGTTGGATGGTCTGCGGCAATTAAGTTCTCTCCAGTTTTGTAAAAAAAAATATTTTTTTTAAATTAAGCATTCAAATTTTTAAATATTGTATTTTTTAAATGGCAAGTCACTTTGGATGGATGCTTTTGCCTAGAAAAGCAGCCTGGAAATATTTTAAATAAATAAATGAAACCTGAGTGGTTTCATAAGAGTATATATTTAAAGCAGATAATTAAGGGAGCAAATTAAATGAATGTGGATATGCAGAAGATACTAAAAAATAAATAAATTTAAGGAACCACACAAAGAGGGGAAAGGAAGTCAAACTAGGAAATGTTAAATTAATTGTAAAACTAATGAAATGTATAAACTTGAAAAGTTTAAATAATTTTTTTTAAAGAAAAGGAACTTGAGCAGTACACATCAGATACTGTGGAAAGCACTAAGCATTGTTATATAGGTGCCTATTCCCAATATTAAAATGCTAATCAGTGGGATTTACTTCTGAGTAGATGTGCAGGATTGCACCAGTAAACCATTTATTTTTTTATTATTGACTTCTAGGCCAGAATATGAGACTTGAAGCAGTAGGCTTGCATGCCTACTGTGAACAGTTTTACAAATAACTAAACATTCCCTAGCCTGCTGTTTCAAGCATTCAGATGACTGAGAAAGTGTGCTGTTCTCACTATCTCTGCCTACACATTGCAGAATAACAGCACAATCCTATACATGCCCACTCAGAAGAATGTCTCACTATGATCAATGGGACTTACACCCTAGTAAGTGTGTTCAGGACTCCAGTAAAAAGTAGTACAGTGGTACCTTGGTCCTCAAACTTAATCCATTCCGGGAGTCCTTTCGACTCCCAAAAGCATTCAAAAATCAAAGCTACAAAAATCAAAGCTTCCAATTGGCTACAGGAGCTTTCTGCACTCAAGTGGAAGCCACGTCGGATGTTCGGCTTCCAGAAAACATTCGCAAACTGGAACACTTATTTCCGGGTTTGCAGCGCTCGGGAGCTGATTTGTTTGACAACTAAGCTGTTCGAGAACCAAGGTACCACTGTACTGTACATCTTTGATAACACTCACCACATAGGCAGGAGATAGATGTCTTGCTAATTGACAGTGGAATTCTCTGCCTCCTTTAGATCAGCCTTCCTTAACATAGCACCCTCCAGATCCTTTGGACTACATTTCCCATCAGCCCCAGCTAGCATGGGCAATGTTCAGGGATGATGGGAGTTGCAATCCAACATCTGGAGGGAAGCAGGTGGAGAAAGGTCGGCTTAGATCAGGATTTCCCAAACTTGGGTGTCTGGCGGTTATTTGACTATAACTCCCAGCATCCATAGTTAGCAGGACCAGTGGTCAGGGATGATGGGAATTGTAGTCCCCAAAAACAGCTGGAGACCCAAGTTTGGGAAACCCTGCTTCAGATACTGCTCTTTTTATTTATTTTTAAAAAAGTGCTACAGTTTTATGATCACTAAATAGCTACACCAGTCTTTTAATATGTTGTTGTTGTTGTTGTTTAGTCGTGTAGTCGTGTCCGACTCTTCGTGACCCCATGGACCAGAGCACGCCAGGCACTCCTGTCTTCCACTGCCTCTTGCAGTTTGGTCAAACTCATGCTGGTAGCTTCGAGAACACTGTCCAACCATCTCGTCCTCTGTCGTCCCCTTCTCCTTGTGCCCTCCATCTTTCCCAACATCAGGGTCTTCTCTTCTCATGAGGTGGCCAAAGTATTGGAGCCTCAGCTTCACGATCAGTCCTTCCAGTGAGCATTCAGGCCTGATTTCCTTAAGAATGGATAGGTTTGATCTTCTTTCAGTCCATGGGACTCTCAAGAGTCTCCTCCAGCACCATAATTCAAAAGCATCAATTCTTCAGCAATCAGCCTTGTTTATGGTCTAGCTCTCACTCCCATACATCACTACATTTTAATATAGCCTAAGCAAAGAGTCTTGTGGAATCTTAAAGGCTAACAATTTTTAATGGCATAAGAGTTTGTGGATTAGAGTTCACCAGATGCATGGAGCGGGGTCAGAAAAAATGAAGTGCATGAAAATGAACTATGATAATTTCATTAAAGCTTATCAGTGTATGTAAAATAACGACAGTGGTCATTCACAAAGCAGAGCTGATAACGCAGACATTTGGCATTAATGAGCTAACTATCACCTATAGTAGGATAAACAATATTGATCTTCATTCAAGCGAAATTGCTGGTTGTAACTGAGCTAGAAAAATGCCTAAATGATCAGGTTATTTCAAACAGTAGAGAGAGAACGGGGAAGGCAGAGAAGTAATATTATATATAATAAACTGTGTGTCTGAATTATTAACTCTTCTCAAAATCATCAGAACTGGAGACTTTTCCCCACCCCCAATTGGATTGTACATCCAGCAGAGAAGTCTTAACGGAAATGACAAAATAATGAATTGTGAGGAATAGATCGACACCTTCTTCATCGTGATATGAAGACAATATGAGACTGATTGAGGGAACAATAACCTCAACAAAGCTTTGAAGGGGTGGGAAAATCAATGCTCACGGCTCTAAAAGCAACTCACATTCTTCCTTGTGGGAAGGAAAGGGCGGAGCATTCTGAATTTTTATTATCTTTCCATGCAAGTCCTAGCAGTGAAAACCCATAGTAGAGCATCTCCTGTAGCAACCCATTCCTTTGCTAAGCAGATTGCCAGAATGGCCAGCTGAGCAGCTCACTGTTAAAAGATAGTTCCTTGATATTTAGAGATCTTTATTCAATGCCTTGAAGAAGATAGCCAGGTTGAGAGCTTAGGAAGGTCATCCCTGCTTTAGCTAAGAGGAGGGAGAAGATGTATATTGATCATGTGAAGAAATAAGCTTTTACAGTTTGGAGCAAAGCCAGGCTGAAGATACTGTGTTAGATGTGGGGCATCTCTGTCAGGGTGTCTTGTTGAGGAGGAGATTTGCTGCCTCACAAGAGTGCCTCTGTGCTTCCAGTTATGCTCTGCTTGCACATTTGTATATAAAGCAAATATTTCAAAGGCGCATGCCTTGCATGAAAAAGGCTCAAAGTTCAATCCTGGCATGCCTAGGTGGAACCAGAAAACATTCCAGCCTGAAAACCTGCTGTCAGGCAGTGTTGACAATACCCAGCCAGATGGGTGGGGTATAAATATTTATAATCATCCTCATCATCATGGGCTAGATGGATCAGTGGTCTGACAGCATGTGGCACCTTCCTCTGTTCCTCATTCAAAGCAAACAAAAACATTCGAGAACAGTGCCACTGGAACTCCTCAACGCACAGAATGGTTGGAAGCAGCCAACAATGTTATGTTGAGCCACAGGATAAGGAATCATCTAGCTCTTGTTAGAAGACCAATGGTTCTACTTTCAGTTGTCAGGAGAGGAAGAAAATCCCCTGAAATGCAGAAATTTAAGATAGTATGATGAGATAACCTTCCTTATAAGTGTAATGATTACAGAAGGAAGTAGTAAACCACAGACAGAGAACATGAGTGGAATTAAAAATCATCACAAGTGTGGTGATATTTCCAAATGAATTATTCTTTAATTTGGCACTGTTAAGGTGCATGCAGCTGCCAGGAAACATGTGTAGCAAATGTGATAGAATGAACAAACATATGACCAATCTATGATCTCCTTTCAATTTATGTTTAATATTTGGTTTATCATTTTGCAATCTCAATATGCCAGGGAAGCTGCAGAGCTCTAGGGGCTATGGAATCTGTCTGTCTGTCTGTCTGTGTGCCTATCTACCTACCTACCTACTTACAGTGGTACCTCGGGTTAAGTAGTTAATTCGTTCCGGAGGTCCATACTTAACCTGAAACTGTTCTTAACCTGAAGATCACTTTAGCTAATGGGGCCTCCTGCTGCTGCCGCGCTGCCGGAGCACAATTTCTGTTCTCATCCTGAAGCAAAGTTCTTAACCTGAAGCAATATTTCTGGGTTAGCGGAGTCTGTAACCTGAAGCGTATGTAACCTGAAGCGTATGTAACCCGAGGTACCACTGTATCTATCTATCTCTATGTATATATCTATCTATATCTAAAAGCTGCTATCACCCATTTCAACTGGAAGCCCAAAACTCATTCAGTCACAAATGAATCTACTATCAAGAATGCTCATTCTAACATAATGTGAACAGAAAAATCGCTCTCCCGGATGAGACCAAAGGTCTAGCAGGAAGACTGCTCAGAAGCCAGTGCAGCCCTGGGATCTATGTCACATATACACTCATGGATATTGTCATAGGGCCACAGCACTGCCTTCCACCACACCTCAAAACCACCACATGGTTTCTATGAATAACTGCAGAGAACACCCTGCCCCTGTGGGAAGAGGCTTGGCCTGTGCGGTATTTAAATAAGCCACCTATGGCTGAAGTGACATAATTTATCACCGTCACAGATTCCATTTCACTTCCTCTGTCTGCAGTAGGATTCCTATTTGGGGAAGACTTCTTGGTAGTGGCTGGTTGTGGTGAGGTCAGCTGTGGGCGACCAAAGTCTGCGGTGGACATCTCCCTCGAGAGGGCTTCTCTCTTCCCCTTATCAGGGCATGAAAGAGGCCAGAAACTGGGCCGGGAGCCAGATAACAGTGGGGAAGGCCTGGAGCTTGCAGTGACATGCCTTTCATGGCTGCCACCCTTATTAGAATCCCTCGTATTATTTAGCACAACAACATTTGGTGCTATGGGCTGTTTGCAAAAGAAGGAACAGAAAAGCCACTATATTAAGCATGCTGTCTGTCTCTGCAAACAGTAATTGCTTGAGTGGCATCACATTTGGCTGCGTTCAATGACTTCTTGTCATGAAAGTATGACTTACTTCCCACTCAAGCCTCATTCGAAATGCTTTCATCAAATAATAATCCTAATAATCCCAACAATTTGACTGTGAGCTTTAAGATCTGTGCCTATGGCTGCTTCATAGTTGAGAGAGAAAAGAAAGCATTTCCTAGAGATTGTTTTTGTGTTGGGTTGCCATATTTTGAAGAGCAAAAAAGAGGACACAATGGGCGACTCCTACTTTTAACTATGGATCGCTATGACGACTCTACCTACAAAAAAGAGGATGTTCCCTGGAAAAAGAGGACATATGGCAACCCATGCCAGTGCTTGGCCTCTCTTCATTTTCTTGTTGTAAAAAGTCTTGATGGGGGTGGGGGGTAAGCAGGTTTGTGGTGCAAGAGTAGCAAACAAGCTTTAATTTTGCAATCTGAATTTGCTGTCGTGTGATTGGATCCTACCCCAAAACAGAAAGAGTCTGGAAGCTCCTTTAGGCTCCTGAGCAAGGACTGTGGTAATTCTGCACTGTATCCATGGTGCATTCCAGATCAAGCAGCAACATTATCCATTCCTTCACATATCATGGTCGTATGAACAAGCCTGTTGTATCTTCCTGCTAGTTCTTTAAGCTTAATTCAGGCATAGGCAACCTCGGACCTCCAGATGTTTTGGAACTACAACTCCCATGATCCCTAGCTGACAGGACCAGTGGTCAGGGATGATGGGAATTGTAGTCCCAAAACATCTGGAGGGCTGAGGTTGACTATGCCTGGCTTAATCCTATCACTTGCTGTGCCCATAAAGGCCAAGAACACTCCAAGTTGGAGCCATCTGACTTTTAAGTACTATATTTTCTCAAGTATTTTTGCTTTGAAGAACATAGCTGTCTTGGTGCTTTAAATGGCAGGTATCCTGCAAGAGTCTCATAATGAAGGGCACCAACCTTCCACACGCACCAACATTTTCAGCATATGGACTCCCCCTCATCTAGGTAGTCTGTGGTGCCATGGAAATTTTGTCCTCCTATGTTTTTGAACAAAGAAAAACAATTTTTTGAATGAAAAGTAACTGCACTTGAGACAGGACAAATCTTCAGAGGTGTTCAAATTGGCGCAGTTTGGAATGGTTCAGTCTGCCATCTTGATTCAAAATGGTGTCCAACAAGTTCCATTTATGGACAAACCTGTCTCCACAATCTCCAGATGAGTGATGGTATCTTCATAGGTATCCAAACTGGCCCAGTCACACCAAACCGGGTGACAGTATCTTCAAGAAGTGCTGCCTGAAAAATCCTGGTTCCATATAGACTTCATCCAATTTCTGTTCTTGTGCTGTTTTTAGTGTGATTTCGTTTTGAGAATCTTTCGTAAGCTATTTTGACAGTCTCTTGGGAGACTGGGATATAAATATTAAATAAATAAGAGATTTTGCCTGAAGACCAGGGAGCAGAACTTGTGTCAAGCTTATATCAAGCTCAGAGACAAACCACTGCTGAGGTGCAGTGCTGGCGTAGGCAGTTGGAAGCCCACAGGTAAATAATGTAGTTGAAGACAGACCAGGGGCTATGCTTTGGATCAGGCAAAAGAAAAAGAAAAAAGCAAGGGGCAGAGGCAAGGATCATGGTCAAACAGCGCCAGCCCAATATTTCGTTGCCTGAAGTACAGCATCAAATGCCCCTTTTGTCTTACTCCCCCTCCCCTGGTAGGGTGAAGACTTTACAGTCTCTCAGATATCAATTCCTGGCTTTAGCTATCTACCTAAATTACACTGCCTGAAGCTGTGTGTTTCACCTTCCTGAATGAAAGAACTAAATGGCCCTGTCGGGTGAGACCCGATGTTTGCTATATGTGGAGAAATAGCTCTTCTGTTTCTACAGAAAAGGGCAAAAGTACACAGCACAGATAGAGTCATCATCTTAACTTCCTGCGCAATATAATTTCCGCAACTTCCCCAAGGACAATGGCAGTTTTTATTTTCTCTTCCTTTTGTTAATTAGGTAATGCTTATTTGCCTCCAGTTTCATAAAAGCAAAAGCTAGGCTTGTGCATCCTGTTCGTTTTTAATTATGCCCTAAAGGTAGAATTCTTTCTCTTAGGATTTGGATTTAAAGAAATAAAAATAAAAGAAAATCCTTAAAAAATGACATCTGCAAATGACCAAGGTGTGGAAAGTGTGTTTTAAAACTCACTTAGATGTGTGTATTTAAGCAAGTGAATGGTACCTCTGGGATAGCCCAAACTGTGAATACACAATCAAACATAGGAAGGCCAAATTGTTGAGCAAGGCTTTGCATATGGTGACTCAAAAACCCATTGTATCACACCCAAACTCTCTATCTAGTTAATATACAGTGGTACTTTGAGTTAAGAACTTAATTCGTTCTGGAGGTCCGTTCTTAATCTGAAACTGTTCTTAACCTGAGGTACCACTTTAGCTACCACCGCGCCGCCACCTCACAATTTCTGTTCTCATCCTGAAGCAAACTTCTTAACCTGAGGTACTATTTCTGGGTTAGTGGAGTCTGTAACCTGAAGTGTCTGTAACCTGAAGCATCTGCAGGTACCACGGTATTGAAAAGTGCTCTGTATATCAAACACAATGGAGATTACTGAAAAGCACAACCATTATTTCCCTAGCTGTAACAGAGGCTCTGCTGTGAAATAATTGTGGGCTGATTCAGCATTCTGAGTATTGATATTCAGCAATTAACACTTGAAGAGGAACTATGGAAAACGTATACTGAAACATAGCCAGATCTATTATCCTAATGCTTGTACATGGGCTTCCTGCCAAGTGAGGTGAGGTAATTCAACACACGACTTGGAACATCTTTCTGGAAATGCCTTCTTGAAGACTCAGAGAGAGATTCTAAAGCAGAGGTGAGGAACCTCAGCTTGGGAGCCAAATGCGGCCTATATATCTGGCCCTTGGGGTTCTCCACAGGATACAACCCTCTCTTCAAATGCTTTTGTCTGGCTGGAATGTGATAATGCCCCTTACTTGTCTGGATGAAGGATGGGAGTATGACTTTTGCATGGTTGGAATGCAGCCTACTATCCCAGGAGTACTCACCTGTGGCCCCACCCACTTTTCCTGACTAGTGATTCATATGCAATTAATTATATAAATTACATTGTCATTAGCCTCATTCACTGTGCACCATTCCACAGATGGGGGCTACCCATGGCACTCGCAGAGCCAGGACAGGATAGTGACCCACGAGTCACTGGGGAGGCAGCATCACACCAAGGCCAGAACCGCTTGGCACCGTGGCCTAGGAACACATCACCTAGGGTTTTGGGGGGGGGCGGCTACAGTAACTGCATACAGTAATTGCTTATCTTACTTTTCCTTGAAAATGTTCACAAAAGGAAAAGTCACTCTTTGAAGTGAGAAAATGGTGAACGTAGCTTGAGAACAGGGTTGGGTAAATATTAAGGCAGGTTGTTCCATTGTTCAACTCTCCTTCCAGATTTTGAGTCATTAGAATCTATGACATTGGTTCTTGTACAGGACTAAAGACATGCTTCAAGTTATTCTGAGCAATGTCCTCCCCTCCTGCTTTTCGCATCTTTCCTGTGAAAATATTGGTAACTGATGGATTTTGAGATGTGGAGGTACAATTTAAATGCTCACATAGTGCATTTTGAGCAACAGAGGGAAATTTCTTTCTTTCTTTTGAGGGCTCTTGGATGCTAGTGGGCTTACATGAATGTAAGAACAACACAGGACAGGGTGATGAACTTTTTTCAGCTGCATTCCTTTCTGGGGCTAGGGGCAAATCTGGGCAGATTTGCCTTTGTACAGTAGGCTAGTCTCTACAAACACGCAACACCTTTCTCTACCCTGTATTTAAAGTAACTAAAAAGCTTTACAACAGGTGAAGGACACACCTGAGCCAGTAAAAACACTCAGTAACAGAGCTGGGGAGGGGTTGTGGGATGGGGAGAGTCCTGATAGACGGGGGGCACATTTGGTCACTGGGCCTAATGTTCTCAGCCCATGCTCTAAGATATCTGGTTAAACCCTCCCCCCAATATTAGAAGAAGAGAAGAGTTCGGATTTGATATCCCGCTTTATCACTACCCGAAGGAGTCTCAGAGCAGCTAACATTCTCCTTTCCCTTCCTCCCCCACAACAAACACTCTGTGAGGTGAGTGGGGCTGAGAGTGGGGCTGACTAGCCCAAGGTCACCCAGCAACTGCATGTGGAGGAGCGGAGACGCGAACCTGGTTCCCCAGATTACGAGACTACCGCTCTTAACCATTACACCACACTGGCTCTATTAGAGTTTTTACTAATATAAAAATTAAATACCCAATTCGGGGGGTGGGAGCGAGTGCCAAGTGGTCTCCACTCCCGACATAGGATATCATACTACAGTTGCTTTTGGGCTTTGTCTAATGAGACAACACAGCTACCTGCAAATTGCATCTGCTTCTGAGGGATTTAACCAACTGCAGGAATAACTAATGAAATGGCTCAAATCCTCAAAAGAGAACTTGCTTCAAATTGTACTAGATGAATATTTGAACAGTTTTAGAAAAAACAATGGACAAAATTTGTAAGTAGCCAACTGTGGGGAAGGCCCTACAAAGCAACCATTACAGAGAATGAGACTCTAATTTCAGGTTCATGGGTTCGAGCCCCATGTTGGGTAACACATTTCTGCATTACAGGGGGTTGGACTAGATGACCCATTCGGGTCCCTCTCAACTCCACAATTCTATGATTCTGTTCAGGGTGAGAGGGATCCAGTTGCCCGGGCCCACCCCTTTACTTCAGAGGGCCTTAGGTGTTGCCTGGCGACTGCCAACCAGGGACTGAAGGCTGCCTCTGCCATCTGGGCTGAATGAGATCCCACCACTTAACCCCAGTCCCATGCCTCAGAAAACCTCAAAGGGAGTTGCATGAATGTCAGAAATCCTGCCTAGATAGTCCTGGTTCCTTGTGGATGCCATGCAATCTCTGCTCCTGCACCAGATTTTAGTGTGTTTATACGGAGAATATTTTACAAGCTGTTTTGAATGCCCCTGTAGGCTAAAAAGAAGGAAAGAAGGATGCAAATACCTATATAAACCAACAGCAGTATTTTCCTGTGTCTGAGGACCTGGGTGTAAGGAAAGTATTCCTCTCACATGCACAGGCAAACCAGGTCGCACCTATCTTTTCGATCCCTCAGAATGGTTACTAACTACAACCTGGGGTTCTCCTCTCCGTCATGTCCAGGAACACACTATCCGCCCATTCCCTTGTTTTGCTGAACTCCCAACCCTGCACAAAACTTGCCAAGTTCCGTCACAAAACCTTTGTGACGTTTTCAGCGGGTTCCAGCAGCGAAGGTGCCGCGGCGCTGCTGCTGCTATTTTCGAAGTGCATGTCTTCTTTAAAAGAGTGTATTCATCTTTGCAGGTGGCTTTTGGGACACATACACACATGACCCTGAAAAATACTTGCAAGGGGGAGATGACCCTGCTAAATGATTGCAAGGGCCACGGCGCAGGGGCGGGCGGACTTCCCTGCCTGGGATGCATCCCCCATAAAGGTAGACGGAACCCAAACCAGGTCGCCTACCTGAGAAGCACTCCGCCCCTTCCTATCTGCGCCTCTCCACTTCCCTCAAAGCAACCTGCCCCTATTGTGTCCCACACTCCATTAAACGAGGGGGCGCCCCGCTCCGACGCGCGCGCCTCTCCAGCTTGCCCTCGCGCCCCAATACCCCACTGAAACAAGTGCATGAACCCACAACCTCCTCCCTCTCTCCCCTCCTCCCTCTGCCCCAGAACGGCCGCTTGCAAAGGCACCATCTTCCCCGGTCGAGCCAGCCAGCCTCGACCTCCCTCTCTCCCCTCACCCCCAACCCGCAAAAAGAAGCCTCCTCCTTTGCCCTGCCTCGGCTGGGCAGCAATTGGCGCCCTTCCCTGCGCGGCGCCGTCACTCAAGAGCAGGGTCGCGTCCGGATTGAGCGCCGCCGGTGCCACTTACGGGCCCGCCTCCTCGGGTGCCCCGCGATTGGGTGGCGGCGCTGTCACTTCGGAGTTTTCTCCTCACCCCCGTCCCGCCTCCTTTGTTGTCACGACGCCGCTGAGGGTTGGGGCTTTTTTTTTTTTTCCCTTCGCCTCCTCGCTGCCGCTGTTGACTGATGTTCTGAGGGGAGAAGCGGCGGCGGCTGGTCCTTCTTCTTCCCGCTTTCCTCTCTCGCCCCGCTTCCCCATCCTTCCCGGGCCGGCCCCGGAGTTGCGGGGCGGGGGGTGGGTCGGGGGTCGGGGGGGAGAGCGAGCTTCCTTCGCCATGACCACCAGCACCACCGGCTCCACGCTGCTGCAGCCGCTCAGCAACGCCGTTCGGCTGCCCATAGACCAGGTGAGGATCGGCGGCGGCTGCGGCTGCAGGAGCAGCAAAGAGCAGCCGCCCTCCTGCTTTTAGAGGGAATGAGAATAGGATGTAGTTCCTCCCTCCCCACCCCCCATCTTATCCCTTCCCCATTTTTCTGTGTTTCCGAGCTTGCATTCCTCCCCCTTTGCAACCCCACCCCACATTGCCCACCCGAAAGTAGCAGATTCCCGCCCCCATGCGTTTCTGCATCTACTGCCTATCTTGCATCTCTTTTTCCCTCTCTGTTCAGTGCTGTATATTGTGCGCAAAAAAAGGAGGAATCTGGAGAGGGTGTGTGTGTGTTGGGGTGATTATGCATCTGCACACATCCACCCTTTTGTATGTGCCATCATGTTCTTAGGGTGTGTTATGTGTGGTTGCTTTTGCCTACCGTTTAGACAGCCGCCTCTTTTAAGCCTCTGCATTGGCAAAATTCTGTTGCTGAATAATAATAATAATAATTATTATTATTATTATTAAGCGGGTGTTTTAACTATCTCAAGGTCGTATTGTATTTTTTTTTAATCATTGGGGAAAACAACGTTTTGGTTACAGGTGCTATAGGGAAGAGTGATAAGCTTATTGATGTGCACAAACTGCTACTTTCCAAACCGTGATCGATAAGCGTTTAAATCACAGTTATTTCCCCAAAAGCAGCGTTGTTAGAAATGTACTTTGTGTACAACCCAGAGACTTTAAAATAGGAAACTGGGAACCAGAAGCCTTGAGCTATTTTGTTGGCTGTGGGGGAAGTCCTGGCTCTAATAAAACCTGTGGCAAAATTCCCATTTGACCTCCTTGGGGGGCAGAATTTCATCTGTTTCAGTTTGGCCTTGGGAGAAACAGCAGAGCGGAATCTTCCTTTTCCTTGTGCTGAGAGAGGGACTTGTGGGGCGCCAGACATTGGGAAGCTTTAACGATTTGCAGTTAATGGGTGCTGTGTGCTGTAGTTGAATGCCGAGTATTTATTTCATGAGTCTGCATAAAGGCAATGCATTGTAATATTTACACAGAAGCAATACATGTGATAGTATGTGTATACTGATTTTCCCTTTCAGAAAAGCTGAAAATGCTAGGTGATGGCAAAGTTCGTAAACATTGCACATTACCTGTACTAAAGAAGAGTGCATGTCATTGGGGGAACTGAAGCACACAAATCAATTTACTTGACTTGTATATCCAGGGAGGGGGAGGGGAGAGATGTGGAACTACAGTTCTCAAGTTCAATCTGTGGGCGGTCCAGTGAATACCTTTACTTGTATTTGGTCACGCTGATACTTCTAATCTCATAGTGAGTAAACGATGGGTGTGAAAATGTATCTTCTCATTAAAAAAACACCCTTTATGTACCCCACAGTTTAAAAAAATGACTTGAGGCAGACTGTTCAGATGTGTTTTTAGTAAGAGAGAAATGGAAAATTACTCTTGTGCTGTGGTGAAGAAAGCTCTACCCGTACAAAGGATACATTTACAAAATAATTGGTAGTACTTTCTGAAAAGTAGAAAAAGAGCAGTAGTAGTTTGGAAAAACCCGAAAACTTTTTGTAATATCTTCTGAGCAGAGCTGAAAATTTCTGTGTTTAGGGTATCTGACAATAAACAAAACTAAAAGAAACTGTCAAAGCTGAATCAGGGGCTGAATGCAAGGTTGTCGGACGGACCATAGACTTTGTATGCCTTAACATTTGAATCCTGATAGTTTGAGAGTATGTGCTCCCAGGTACATGATGCAATATGATTCTGTTTTATGGACGAATGTAGGTTTTGCTGACAAAGGTTACAATCTGGTCAAAGTTAAGGCCTTTAAGACCCATTGATTTCATTGGAGGAGAACTTTCTACTGAAATCAGTGGCACCAAAATGTGCTTAATGTTGCCTGGAGTGAATTAATTATGTGCTTCATTCTTATATTAGGACAGGGATCAACTTTCGCTGTGCCGCATCTGCTAGGTTTCATCTACGTTTTTGCTAATACTGTTGGTATTTTAGCAGTTGAGTATAACGTCACGTCAACCATTCCACACTTTTATGAAATATGTTCACCGTGGGCTTACTAGTGCTACAGTAGAGTTGCTGCACCAAGGTGTGAGTATGAATGGAAAGTCCCTGGTTCACTGCATTTCTCTAAAATGTGTTCACTGAGTGCTTGGAGGCATGTCTGCTGTTCATATTTATTAAGTTGCATTATAGCAAACACCTTTGGCCAACGTAATTGCTGTGAAAAAGTGGATAGTGTTCAGTCTCAAAAATTCCCAGAAGCAGGGAAGACTGAGTTGGTAATTTGCGACACAGATACACCTCTATACAAAATGTGTGGTACATTTAAAAAACCTCCTATTTGATTATGCAGCATATTTTGTGGGTACAGTGTTCTGTACCCAAGGCAGTGGGCATGCCACCTTTAAATTCTGAGATGAGTATTTGCAAGCCTATTACAACTTTTTAAAGTTTTAAATATTCTTTTGATAAATATGAAGAAGAACCCTGCTCAATCATTCAAAAAAGGTCAGACTAATCCAGTACAGCGGTACCTTGGTTTAAGAACAGCTTAGTTTATGAACAACTTGGATTAAGAAAGCTGCAAACCCAGAAGTAGGTGTTTTGGTTTGTGAACTTTGCCTTGGAAGCAGAACATGTTCCACTTCCTATTTATTCAGTGTGTTCCATTTGTAAATTGAGTCCCCCACTGCTATGATGAAAAAAAAAGCCTTGGTTTAAGAATGCTTTGGTTTAAGAATGGACTTCCGGAACGGATTAAGTTCATAAACCAAGGTACCACTGTATCCTGTTCTCATAGTGGCCAACCTGCTAGCAGGACGTGAACACAACAGTACTGTTTTCACTTGGGATTCCCAGCAACTGGTATTTAGAGACATACAGCCTCAGACAGTGGAGGCAGAACATAGTTATCATAGCTGGTTGCCATCGATCGCCTTATTCTTTATGAATTTATCTAATCCTCTTTTAATGCCACCCCATTGGTGGACATCGCTATACTTTGTAAAAGTGAGTTCCATAGTATATAGCAGGCTTCCTCAAACTTGGCCCTCCAGATGTTTTGAGACTGCATTTCCCATCATCCCTGACCACTGGTCCTGGTAGACCAGACACAGTCTCTCAGCCTAACCTACCTCACAGGGTTGTTGTTAGGGTAAGATGATGGGAGAGAAAAACGGCCATACATACGACTTTGAATGCCTTGGCGGAAAGGTGGGATACAAATGCGATAAAAATTAATATGTGCAGCTTCCACCATCCCCAGTTAGCACAATCATGAAGGCCAGAACATGTCCAAAAACATCTGGAGGCACCAGGGTGGGGAAGGCAGGTTTGGACTGAAGACTGTTTATAGGAAACAAGCTTACTTTTCATGGTACTGTTATAAGAACGTCTTCAGAAGAGAAAACCTAACAGATCTTGGGCTGAATACTGTGCACTGACAATTTGTCAGTGCAAGAATAAAAGCAGACATGGGCTTAGGACAGTTTGGTGTTCCGTATGAAATAGTAAGATGTCATCATTTCATATTGTATCCTGAAGTTTTGGGGACTAGTCAGTCTTCCCCTGTCCTTCATGCCTTCCAGTTTGCATGCTCCATCTGGGTCCATTTCTTTTCCCTTCATTGTTTCAGTTTGTTTAGGGCCCTTTACTAGTATCTCTTGCTCCCCTGTAGGACAAGCCTTGCCATAAAACCTTTCTGCCTTGTAGGTCGATGAGCAAGCATAACCCATATTTCACATTCCTGACACCAGGTTGTCATGATTTCAGTTTGTTCATCTCTTATGTCCATTGCATGCCAGCCCTTGCTTCAGTTATAGGTTGGATTTTTCGTGTTTTCCTCCCTCCCTCTTGTTCCTTGGCTACAGCAGCATGTGCACCAGCATAGTAGGGACTGAAGGAGCACACTATTTTGTTGCAACAGAAGATAATGGCCTTTTTCCAAGTGTTACTAATTTTTTGGTATTCAAGCCAGTTGTGAGTTACAAAGTAAGACAGGTTTTTCTACAGGTTGATTTATGTGTAGGCACAATTGCAGTATTCAAAGAGGCAAGAAGGATGTGTTTTGCATTTTTTGTTTGTTATAGTTCTGCAATTGTATGGAAATCGAGTGTGTATTTGTATGTATACGTGGAACGAACCACACTAATGCACAGAGTGTAGTCAGGTAATCATGAACAAGGGTTGGGTGTGGCAAAGAGCAATGAGAAATTGGCTCCTTATGTGCTAATCAAAAAGAGAAGCTTTGGCGTCTGTGATATAAAGTGAAGTAACTTTTCCTCTCCATGTGTTGAAAAAGAATATCTGGCTCAGTTCAGAGGAGAAACACCGTTTTCCTTCTCTCCTGCTTGCAGATTGTAGTTTGCAATTTAGGGCTAATTGTAGTTTGCTATGACATACAAATTGGCCAATCACGTTTAGTGCCTCAACTTCAAAATGGTTTCGAAAAACATGGTTTGAAGTGGATTTTTTTCTTCTGGTTTCTGAGATTGTGAGAAGGCACAAGGTTGTGACTCATTTCTTATTCAAACCATATTTTGGAGCTATGCATGTGTGTTGTATAGTATGACCAGGGATGTAGATGTGGACAAGATTGTAGGGGCCTGTTCCCTTCCTTGAATTTTTAACTTTTCATTAAAAAGTAAATCATGAACCCTCTTGGTTGTGAAGCTATAAGGAAGAAAAAGTGCAGGTTCAATTTCTCAGGAAGAGGTAAACCTGCTTCTGCTTTTTAGCATTAAAAAGGCACTTATTTTTCAATATTATTATTTTTTCCAATATTATTACTTTTTCAATATTATTACTTTTTCAATATTATTAATTAAATTTTAAAGTATTTATCTAGGCTCTTAGTGCAAAACATCCGCTGTTAATTCCCCAACAATTTTTTTTGCTACAGGCTTCAGTGTTTAGAATACTATGATGGGCAGGAATCAGGAAGAATATTGGGAGAAGGGGTCGGTTTGATGGTACACTTTTGGTGCTTTATAACAAGTTTGATATCATATCATGCACTGTGTTGGGCAGAGTCCCATGTTCACATTCCTATGAAATCATGGACTTGGGAAATATCTCTACCTCAGGACAGTGGGAATGATAGTACTTTTCTGCATCTAGATAAGTGAGGATCAACAGAATAAATATGATAAATCGCGTTGTAGACTTGGAATTATAAAAAAAAATTATTTTTTAATTTCCAACACCTTTGCTGCTGGTTAGTTGCATTGTTGGGAAACTGGCATAAAGCTGCTTTATTTTAATTTATGTAGAGTTGGGTTTTCTGAATTCCTATCTCTTTAATTTGTATAGCACATTGTGAAAAAAGGGATCATGTTCGAGAAAAAAGGGATCATGTTGCACATGAATTTGTTCCTTGCTCTTCAGCAAAAAAAGAAAAGAAAAAAAAACTGCTAGCACGGCATAAGAATTGCAATAAGAACGTTTCAGATTTACAGCCTGAAATACTGGTAACTGACACAAAAGGAAAAGGGATTGGGAATGGAGGAGGAAAAAAGTAAAGCTAGGCAGTATTTCTTTGTTACCTTATCGTTGTTGAATGGCTTATCTTGTCAGTTGACAATTGAGATCCTTCCCGTCTAGTCTTCAGAGTTATCTCTGCCAGAATTCATTATCTGCCACTATTCATTTTGACTTGTCATTAGATCTTTTCTGCTTGCACCAAGGGCCTTTGGGCCCCTTGTTTTGCCCTTGTTTAGTCTGACCCTGGTGACTGTGGAAGACAAGAATCTGTTTTAACACTGCTGCTTTTCTGTTGCCATAGAAATGGGCAGCTGTGATAGAAAAGAGGTGCTGTACAGCCTCTTGGCTATTGGAGAGGGAAAGCTGCCATGGTAGATTCAAGAGACCAGGGCAAAGTAGAGAACGATCTAAATCTTCTTCCCCATCAGCAAATTGCTCTGAATTGTGGAGACAAGAGAGAGGTTCTAAGTCAGGAGTTTCAGCGGCTGGGAATGGGGGAAAATCAAGTGCAACATGATTACTGGTGGGATATTTTCTGTATGGAATGAATTTTTTGTATAGCCAAAGGCTTGAGCCTTTGCTGTTGTAATGAAATGGCTTGATGCAAAGCAGCAGCTAGTTTATAAATGTAGATGGCAAATTATGGGTTGCAAATTGGATATTTTTACAGATTGTCTGGAAACAGATTTTGTCTGCTGACCAAGTGCACATGAAAATTCCATGACTTTTTGTCTATGCCCAAATGGCAACTTGTCATACAGCGTCTAAACCAGAAGAAGAGTCGGAAAATTTAGTTCAAGAAAGTGGTTTCAGGTCTGGTGATTTCACTTGTATACATGTTATTTGCCCTGACAATGTCATGCCAAACCATGGTTTAGTGTAGCGTGCCCAAGGGGAAATGAGCCACAGAAAACTACAAGCTTGCATGCTCCCCACCTCTCTTTTTCTCCTCTTTCACCTGTGTGTTTGATTACTCATGGCTTGTCATGTTGCCTGGCAGGACAAACTCTGGTTAGTGTTAACTCTGGTTAGTTTAAAACAAGCTAGCTTCAAATCATGGTTTCGGAAGCTGGCTTGTTTAAGCTAACTATTGCTAACCCTGGTTCTGGGTGTGGCCAACATGGCAAGCTGCACTTAACCAGGCACGTAAGAAGTGGAGGTGGGGAGTCTTCAAGCCCAAGGCTCGCTGTAGCTTGATCCTGCGAGTGCATGTCATGTTAAAGCATGTGTAAACTACAGCCACTGTGTGTGTGTGTGTGTGTGTGTGTGTGTGCGTGTGCGCGCGCGCGCAGCAGCGCAATCACTGGTTAATCTTAGGGTCCCAGGCTCACTGAATGAGCATATTTGATTCTCCAGAAATCCTCTTGGGATATATTCTAGTTTTCAGTGATCCTAAGCTTTATTTAAAGTGATATCTTCAACTATACTCTTGTGAGAGAAAGTGTTAGGATACAAATTTGAAAAATTCCAGCCCTCTTACCCTTCTAAAATTGGCACTTTGTTGGAGTCTGTAGCAGCAATGTAACTACTGATCCATATGTCTTAACTGTAGGACCAGACTTTGGTGCCTCTCACTACTTTGGAAGGCAGCAATTCTTCAAATGCTACTAATGCTTTAATTTATATCGTGCCAAAGAAAGCAAGGAACGGGGTGGAAAATTTGCCTTGTGTGAGCTTTGGCTGGCGATGGACAATCAGAGTTTCAAAAGAAGCTTACCTGGGCCAGGTATGCACACATTTTTGTCTCTCACTTGACTCTCACCATACAGCTTTTTTGAACAAGACCAAACCCAAGGAAGTTTACTGTTGACTTCAGTTTAGGAGGGCTCTTGGGCAAGAGTTTGGATTTGGATTTTGGATTTGATATCATGCTTTATCACTACCCGAAGGAGTCTCAAAGCGGCTCACAATCTCCTTTCCCTTCCGCCCCCACAACAAACTCTCTGTGAGGTGAGTGAGGCTGAGAGACTTCACAGAAGTGTGACTAGCCCAAGGTCACCCAGCAGCTGCATGTGGAGGAGCGGGGAAGCGAACCCGGTTCACCAGATAACGAGTCCACTGCTCTTAACCACTACACCACACTGGCTCTCCCCAATAGCCTCCCTTCCCTCAATGAGACTGTCCCCTCACTGCCTTTGCTGGAGTGGCTGCTCCTCTTCTGCCACCTCATTACTATCACCAGTCTTCAAAATTAGTCAGGCACATTTTGCATCGGGCTATCAACCAGCCAAGTGAAGATGCCTGGGTACCAGGATGGCGCCTGTCATCTCTACCATCTGGAGGTGCGTGACTGAAGATCATTGAATCTTGACAGTTTTCACACAGTAATACAACATCCCTGTAGAATTCTATCAGATATATTTTTATCTGCACAATCAGAATGAATTTCAGGAACCCAAATGCTTTTTCTGTGCAGCCTGAGCCAGGAGCAGTGATCAACGTTATAGTTACTTGTTGTAGCTTGTCTTCACTTACCCCACCCCACTCCCCTGCTCACAGTTGTGAAGAATATCCTTAACATTGTGAATGGTTCATGTCACCTTTAAGAAAAAGAGGTCGGAACAGGCCCGTATGTATGCGAACTGTCCCTGGATCAAGTGACTTTTCTTCTTTAAGTTCTCAGAGTCCTTAACCCAACTTAAGGTAGTCATCTGAACTAGCCAGATGTCTTTGAATCACTCACGGTCAGTCTATCATTTGAAAAAATAAGACTCTTTAGAGCTGCCTTACCCCAAAATGTCAAGTAGACGTTCCATTTTGGCGACTGTCACCTTGGTTTAAGGAGGTATTTGGCACCTAGTTTATATATCTGAGTTTCTAACACTGGCTATTATTACCTGCTTGCTTGTCAAGCAGAGCCAGTGAGCAAGTAGGTAGTGAGTGACAGCTCCTCCTCCTGTTTGTTTGCTCATGGCCTCTGAGCCAGAGCGAGAGACAAGCAGATTGCAATGGTGAAGAGAAGGGAGCTCTTGTCAGCGGGACACCTTCCTGGGGCATGGGACCTTGGCAAGTGCCTGGCCATGCAGACCCATCAAATCCTAGCAAGGTCTGTTTGACAAGATACAAAAGTGGAATGAACTTACATAGCCTAAGTAGTGTGATCACTGGTTTTTTCCCAGACTGACACCTCTTTATTTGTCACATCAGGACATTTCAAGATAACAGCCAACCTAGGCTTGGGGAGGAAGTCAGTTGCCACATCCAGACATTCATATAGCAGTTTAAGAAGCCAAAATGTTCACGAGCCTTTTGCTTATATGTGCAGCTCCTCTCTTGGCTGCGCACTGCGATAAGCCAGGATATGTCTATCTATAGTTTCCTGCCTCACTGGGCCATTACACAAAAGATTGTGTAAAGGTCAAGAGCTGTAAATGTCTTCTTCAGCAGGAATATAGCGCAAGAAATATTTGTAAGGAGGTCTGCTTGTCTTTGGGATTGTGTCTCCTAATAACAGCACGTTGAGAAACTTAACAGAGCATTTGGTCTATCATGTTGAACTTATAGGAATAATATAAGTGTACTTTGTTGCTTTTGGAGTCAGAGTAGGCATTCGAAATGTTAGAGATGTGTACTCTGTTTCCCTTTTTTTAAAACCTCATTCATGTATTACTTGTGTGTAGAACATAATCATTAAGACCAGGAATTGAGTATCTGCCGTGCTTCAGATGTTGTTGGACTCCCAACTTCCATCCGCCTCCATCAGCATGACAAGTAGTCATGGATGATGGGAGTTGTAGTGTGGTGAAGAAGGCATAGACTTGCTAAATAAAGAAGGCATGGGAGACCAGGACTTCTGAAAATGAGAAATTTCAAAAAACTGTAAATGCCAGTGGCAGGTAAAGTGCAATAAAGCATTCCAAAGTAAATAGCCCCATAAAAAGGTGTTTGCTTTTATCTGCCATCAGGCTACTTTAGTGTACCAGTATAAGGAGCAGGATGCGCACATATGGCTATGGCTTTAAATTGATATTCAGCACGGCTCTTAGCCAGGATAGGCAAATCTTGGCACAGTTAGGGTAATTTGATGAAAATGTCAACCTACAGACTCATTTTTCACTTTCCTATACGGTTAACATGTTCTGTATAAATTTTTGGCTGCAGTGGGAGACGAGGAAATTGGCAAACGTGAACTCCCTTTTTCCTTTCCTTTAGCAGACATTTCTGCGGGATTAAAAGCACTCCCACAAAGACACAAGTTTGATACACTCTCTTCTTTGCGGGCAAACTAGTTTTGGGGCAGTTTGGTCAAAATGGCTAATTTTGGATTGCCGAGAACCGGGAAATAAGTGGAGAAATGGCATCTCAGAAAGGGGAACAGGGAGCACGGGAAATCGAAACTCCACTATTTTCTTGCTTGTAACACCACACCTTGGTTTACTGTTAAATCTGAGCTGTCACTAGGGTTTTAGATATAAAAATGGAGTGCTTCTTGAGATTACTCATGCTCTGATGCTTGAGGTCAAATTGTTAATTTATTTCAGTGTGATATGTGTGAAGAATCAGTGTGTGTATAATTCACATATTTTCCCTTCAAAATATGAAGAAGCAGGAACCTTATCCTTAACTAGTTTCCTCTTGTAATTCTTCAGAAGAAAAATAATCTACAAACATGCACCTATTCAAAATTGACATATGCACTCTGTACTCTGATTTGACAACAGAAAAAGCATTGTATTTTTGAGTAAGAAATATGTATTATGAGAAGAAATTCTGTAAAGGTTGAAGACTAGATCAAACCAAGGGATGCAGAGACAAATAACCACACTTCACTGTTATGCTTGTGAAAAGCAGAAAATGTGGATTAATGTACTGGTTGTATACAAGCAATTCCAGCAACTGGTTTCTAAATGCAGTGCCTGAGCCAAATGATACAAATGCTGTCTATTAACAAATCTGAGAAATAATGATCAATTTAAAGGGCCATATATTTGTTGCCTAATACTCTACATTACTTTTTAACAAATACAGCTATGTAAACATGTGGATAGGGATGCGGGTGGTGCTGTGGTCTAAACCACTGAGCCTCTTGGGCTTGCCAATCAGAAGGTCGGCGGTTTGAATCCCTACGACGGGGTGAGCTCCTGTTTCTCGGTCCCAGCTCATGCCAACCTAGCAGTTCGAAAGCATGCCAAAAAAAGGGCAAGTAGCTAAATAGGTTCTGCTCCTGCGGGAAGGTAAACGGCATTTCCGTGCGCTGCTCTGGTTTTGGTGTTCCGTTGCACCAGAAGCAGCTTAGTCATGCTGGCCACATGACTCGGAAAAACTGTCTGTGGACAAATGCCGGCTCCCTCAGCCTGTAAAGGGAGATTAGTGCCACAACCCCAGAGTCGTCCGCGACTGGACTTAACTGTCAGGGATCCTTTATCTTTACCTTTTTAAACATGTGGATAGCCCCACTGAGGTCATCATCATTTATTTCATAGAATTGTAGAGTTAGAAGGAACCCTGAGGATCATCGAACTTGCAACCTTGGCGTTATCACCACTATGGTATAACCAACTGAACTACCCAGGCTACTTAAAGTGGGCACATTTTACTAGGTTGCTGAAATGAGATGTTCTCCCACATGCCAGCTTTTGCTCATGTTTCTGGGTTTTGGGGGAAAATATTTATGAACCTAGTTATTGGGGTGATTTTTAAAACAACTTTCCTTTAGAAATTAAGATTCCCCCCCCCTTACTTCTGCAGGTGTATTCCTATTTAAGATGTATTAGTGCATAGTATGTAACAAAGGAAATAATGAATTTTGAATTTACAGCAGATTTTGAAATATAGGGAGAAACATGGGTGTTATTTTTTTTTAATGTTGGAGAATGGAATATCAAAGCAGCTTCCTGTGTTGATGAATATGTTGGTTTTCAATCCGGCATTGACTAAGCATTCAGGAAATGAACATTTAGCCTAGAAAGGGGCATAAAGCACGTTCACTCTCTAGGACTGTGTGAAGCTCTTCTGGCTTGTAACAAATATAGCCAGAGCAATTTTACACGTCCCATAAACTGGGGCAATTTCACTAGACATGGCTGTCGCACTCCATCTCATTTGCTTGTTGACTTTGCAAGAAGGGAGTTGCGCTTGGACATGTAGCAAAAGCTCCAGAGTTGCGTTACGCAAGAATTGCATTTCCGTTTGAGGATCTTAGTGTTTTGCAGGGTGGTGGTCGGAACCCAGCATAGTCCAAAGATTGGGCCTGTCTCCACCACAGCCCTGTTTTCTCCCACCATTTTAATGTTTTGCAAGGATGGTTGTGGAGGAAGTGAAATGGGGGGCAGTGGGTTGGTGGGGTGGAACAGCGTAATCTAGAGAGAGGGGGTCTCTGGAAAGTGTTGGGGCCAAGACTGAGAGACCTGGTGGACTGTATTTGGCCTGTGGACTGGGAAGTTCTCAATCCCTGGTAAATGCACCCCATTGCTCCACAAACAGTTAAACTGGGCAGAGATACAACATCAAAATCTGGAGGCTCAGTAATGGAACCTGGTATTACCAGTGGTCCATTCATGCACTAGATATACTAGGAAATAAATCCTCTCTCACTAAGTGTTGGCTCAATTTGTGCTCTTTGTACAGCACAAAGCATTCATCCACCTAGGTAGGGCAGTAACAGAATTGGGTCAAGTTCTGAATTAATATGTCCTCCTTTGCTGCAGTTTGGCATATGGTAGGGAAAGCACTTGGTGTGTGCATTGGAAGAGATCTGAAGTTTGCTTTTGCTTTTCTTCTAAGGAAGTCCTAGAAGCAAGCCAAAATAGTATCCCTACTATGTATAGATGAAAGCCTTAAAAATAACAGTTTTGGAATCTTTTTATACAAGTGTATTAACATTCTCCATTGAAACAGCTTTCCCACCTTTATTTGGTCATGATTTCTTTTGTATGTAATGTGCAAAACTCTGTAGAGCTACATCTTTACTTGTGAAGTGTCTGAAGTCAAATTCACTGTTTGCTGCACCAGTATTCTTGCTGTTTATCTGAGTGTCTCAACAGGATCAAGTAGTCCCAAGTTCAAATCTCCACTCAGCCATGAAGCTCTACCGGGTTACTGTGTCAGCTGCTGTCTCTCGATCTAACCTGCTTCACAATGTCCTTGTGAAAATAAAATAAAGCAAGGTATAATGAACTAAAGCAAAATGTTAGTAAAACCTTAAAGCATCAGTTAGCGGCTAGGTGGGCTTGTGGCCCTGGGCAAAGATATGGTGCAAGGAACCAAGTTGTTTACCTTTTTCATACTTGGCCACAACTGTGTAGTCTTTCCTGGGTGGGCAGCAAAAATTGCAGGAAGCACGAGGAGCAGCCTAGCCTGTGTGTCCCTGGCAGTTTCTCTGCTGAAACCTTAAACTGAGCCTTCATGGGCGTATTGGTGAGCAGTGAGTCAAGAGGCAGAAGTTGTTTTGCCCACATAGCACAAGTTAATGCCTGTGCTTTAAAACAGAGTTGGAAAACCTTTCATCAGTCCATGTGTAGATGGACAAGTCTCTGCTTTTTCTTTAAACTCCCTCCACCTTAACTCGATGAGAGTTTTGTTAGGACAAAGTTTGTGAAATTATGGTCTGACTAACCCTCCTTCTTGTCAAACCAGTTACTGTCCTATCTTGTTACCCATACATTTTAAAGGGAAGCGAAACTCCACAGAAACTGAAAGTCTCTAGTAATAAATCCAACTACAAATGGTTACCTCTGTCCAAATATGTTTATGTCCCGTTGATTTCAACGAGGGAATGCAGTTAACTTTGCTCTGCTGAAACCAGTACTTACCTTTTGCCTGGATTGCATCTGTTGGGTGTGTAGTGTAAACAGTTTTGAGACTTGGGTACCTGAATGGTTGTCTCATCTCGTGATGAACCTGTTCCCTGTGACACCCTTTTTCAGGCCTCTCTGCTGTAAAAGGTGAGGCATCTGATGGCTGGGATTAGGGTATTTTCTCTCATATATATATATATATATATAACACACTCAAAATTTTCACATTATATTCCCCTCTCTCGAGCACTCGATTACGGTATTTTCCATGTCTGGTGCCCCAGTTATTGAATGCTCTTCCCAGGGAAGCCTTCTTCGTGCCCAGACCTAGTTCTTACTGTGATATTATTTTGATGCTTGCAGCCTTTAATATTTTTGTTAGACTTTAGTATTAACTCTGGTTTCACATTGTTTAAAGGTACTCTGAGTCTTGGCTGAATAATGTGGCAAGAGGAAACAGAGATACTGGATTTGTGATAACCAGTTTTTCTTTTTGAGGTTGTTTTTTTTAAGGTGGTGTAGTTGTTGAGAATATGGCATCCTCTAAAAGCGTCTTTCACCCAGACCATATCATTAATAGCTCACTAGCAACATTCACACACGGTTACCAGCTTACCTTGGATGATAAGATTGTTCCTGCTTTGCTCCTCCCTACTAGTGAGTCAGAGCAACAAACCATGATACTTGGCTTAGCATCACATCCAAACTGGGAATAGTTTTACTCAATTAAATGATAATTGATAAACCAAGAATGAATTGTGGCTTCAGATCATAGTCTGGAGCAGTACTCCCCCCCCCCCCGAGAAAAATAGGTGCTGGTACTCATAATGAACGCGGGTGGCACTGTGGTTTAAACCACTGTGCCGCTTGGGCTTGCTGATCGAAAGGTCGGCAGTTCGAATCCTGGGTGAGCTCCCATTGTTCGGTCCCAGTTCCTGCCAACCTAGCAGTTCGAAAGCACACAGTGCAAGCAGATAAATAGGTACCGCTCCGGCGGGAAGGTAAACGGCGTTTCCGTGCGCTGCTCTGGCTTTGCCATACTTAGTCATGCTGCGGCTTAGTCATGCTGGCCACATGACCTGGAAAAAGTGTCTGCAGAAGCGGACAAACGCCGGCTCCCTCAGCCTGTGAAGCAAGATGAGTGCTGCAACCCCAGAGTCGTTCGAGACTGGACTTAACTGTCAGGGGTCCCTTTATCTTTACCTTTTACTCATAATGAAGTTGTTGCAGTAAGTGCCAGACTTTTTAACAACAAAAGAGAGGTGTTGGTACTGTGTAACCTTGAGTACCCCCTGGGAAGAAAGCACTGGTCTGGACTGAAATGAACCACAGTCTCTAGGGAGGATGTAATGCTAAGCTACAGATCATGGTTTGCTGTCCTGTTTGCTAGCAGGAAGGAGTAAAGCGAGACCTTTGTGTATACAGTGAGTCATTATCCATGGTTTACTGTGATGTGTGAATACACCCACTGTGTAGGTGGGACCATCATGTTATGACTAACCCATCCATGATCCAAATATTCTTTGATAGGGAAATGTATGCCACAGTGGGCCTGAGGGGGGGCGGGTATTGCTGACACTTGTGGCATATGTAACTTACAGAGCTGGTGAGAGAGAGGCATTTAGAGTTCAGTAAGAGAAATGGGGAAAATATAAACCATGTTGCTTCCAGCTGCAATATATCGCATTTTTAATGCAGTTGTGCATTTTTGCAGCTCCCCCAATTTCTTTTTTTCCTTCTTCCTGTTTGTTTAATATTAATTCTTCATTGGTGATATGAATTAAGAAAATCTTTTCCCGCCCCACTGTTTTCTGGAAATGTCTAGGCTCTATAGAATCTCAGGGGTGGGAGGAGGAGACCCATAGTTGTAAAAGAGATTCATAGTTATAGGGCACTTGCAGATGAACTTCAGAGCCTGAGGACAATTGGTCCCTTTGTTTATAGTAATGTGTTGAGAACGAATAATTCCTTTTGTCTGGCACTGCAATAATACTTAAAAGCAGCCATTGTTTAAATTTTAAACTGTGAATGCAAGTTTAATACAGTTTTTTTATGAATAGTAGTTCTTCACATTCCTTTAGAAATTTTCTCAGTGAAATGATAGGTGGGGTTGTATTGCTAATTGCAGTGTAGTCCAGTACACCACCCAAAGATTAATGAATTTCGCAACATAGGATTTTGGATTGTTAATTTTAATAATGGTGTTTACTTTAAGGATTTGCTAGGCTTGTTGAATAGGAGGTTACTTGGGCTGAAACAGTGCCAGCATCAAACAGCTTTTTAGCCTTTGCCGGTAAGGTTTTAATATGGCTTCCCGGGTTGGAAAAATCAGGAATTTGACTCTCTGCCTCTGATAACTCTGGGGAATAGGCACAACTGTTCCTGCTTTTAAGCAGTTTGGAGTAGCAGAATCCAGAAATATTGTTTGATTGGTAAGCTATTGCACCTGGAGAGGGCTTAGCAAATCCAGCTACCACATCATTATGCCAAAGTAGAACCTTGCAGTCAACCTTGACTCTCCTGAGAATTCCAGCCTCGATTGGTCCACTTACACTTTAACCAAGTAGCTAGAAGGAGGAGGAAACTCCAGCTAACTTTGTATACTCTTAAGGGATGGGCTTTTGACTGGCCCGTCCATCAAAGCATGGCATTAATGCCACCCTGTGTAGGTTTGAATGGTACCAGTCTTGGCCTATTCATACTAGGGGGTTTTTCTTTTCTCTCCCTCTCCCTTTGACCATTATATGTGTTAATGGCAATTGCTGAAATGCTTTGACATCCACGGTGGAATGCTTTCACTTCAGCATGTATTAGCTCCTTCCTTGCTTCCCTCTTTCTGTACTCCTGATGGATTGGTTTTTCCTCTTCCTTTCCTCTAGTATTTGGAACTGAAGTTGGATGCATACAAATGTGCACAGTGTATAACTTCTCTGTTAATTCATGTGTGCGGTAAGGTTGTTGGTAGCAGAGAAGTTAGTCCTCCCACTTGCATGCCAATTTCTTCTTGGGTTGTCTTTTCCCTCAGGCTGCTTTTATTCTTGGCCAGACTTCTAGTTTTCGAGCCTGCCAGAGAGAAACTTTGTGGGAGAAATCGTTGAACAAGGAGCTGATTAAGTACTCCCTTCGTGCCCAGTGAATACCCTTTCCCTATGCCCGCCCTAGCAGTCTGAGGCGAAGATAAATTTGGGAACATATAGTTTCTGCCCTGAAACATAACTTAATGCACCGGTTTGCCGGTTTCTGAATATGAAGTTCCTCAGTCTCATACCTGTGGTGGCCTGTCTCAGCACATCCTTGTTGCATCTCTATGCTGTCAAACACAATTTGTATGTTTGATAACATTTAAACTTCAGTTCTTCTGTGAAACATTGGGACTCATGAAAGCTGTAGGTCAAACATGAACACTTGTCTTTGCGGTTTACTTAAAAAGCCTTCCTTGAATAAAAAATAAGTCTCAAAGAGGTTTGACAAATCGCTATGCGGACACAAAATCAATTTTTTAAAAAACCACAATATTAAATGATGTTAAATTAATTTTGTGGCATATGGCTGCCTCCTCTGAATTCCAAAAAAACATTCGACAGAATGGTGAGGTATCTCAAATCTGCAAAAGGACATTTCCAGAGCTCTAAATTGTCTGTTTTAGAGTTTGCAGTGGACAGTACTTATATCTTACTCAGGATAATGAAGGTTATTGTTAGAAACTATCTGCCCCCTCAAGTTTTTAAAGTTATATGCATGCAGGGGTTGACTTGATGCATTTTAATTTGGGCATGAAATACAAGCCTTCAGGGACCACTAGAAGCTGATCCTTGCCAAAAGCAGGACTTGCATTTGGTGCTGAACGCAAGCCCTGCATTTAGCAGGAATCTTTGCAGCTGTGGCTTAACTTCAAGCCAGGGCTGTAAAAGAATAAACTGGAGCGCATTTAGAGTACGCTTGTCAGTTGAATCACCTGATGGCATGTGATAACAGGTGGGTGGCCCTGTTCACCTGTCAGAAGTGGCCTGCAGAGAGTCTTTGTTCAGTTTTCTCATGAGGTCTAATAACAGGGAGTACGTTTGTCTGATTTGTATATGCTTTATATTTGGTAAAACAGCTGCAGTATTTTTGTATGTATATAGATGCATGTTTTTGCGGCAGAAATAGCTTGAAGAAACTGGCATTGCATATTCAATGGCACTTAAAAGGTCTTACTGGAGCAGACCTGTGGTTCTGTATACCTGTGACCTAGACAGTGCATCTTACACATTATCTGGTTATGAAAATAATACATGTACTTTGAGTTTTAAGGGTATACAATATCTTACAGTCAGACATTTTTATCTCAGTTTATAAATAGCTTTCATTTTTTCATATGGTAAGAACTTTGGTTAATATTCTGTCATGTGTTGCCTTTATAACATTTTTTTTTTTGAGGGAAGTAACTGTTTCTGTTCCTACAGATATGTGTTTTTACTTACTAATCCTGCATATGGAGAATGCAACTTTCTTATTGGATTGAATTACATTAAAACAATCTTTCTGTGTTTCCGGCATATGATTTGGACCAATTGTTAGTGTCTTTGAAACTGATTTAATTTGACATGTTGGATCCACATCTGGTAACAGCTGTGGGAAATGTTTCCGGAGCATCAAAGGGTTTATGATAGACGTGATGTTTAGAGATTTGTACCAGCTTCACAAACGATTCATATGATTCTCAAGAAGATTGGCTTTTAAAATAAGAAAGACTTGGTCTCCTTATTGCTTTTGCAACAGTGAGTATAAGCACTTAACCGCAAAAAAATGATGAGAGTTTTCTTTTCTCCGCAGGTCAACTTTGTAGTGTGCCAGCTCTTTGCTTTGCTTGCTGCTATCTGGTTTCGAACTTACCTTCATTCAAGCAAAACTAGTCCATTTATAAGGCATGTTGTTGCCACCCTTTTGGGCCTTTATCTTGCACTTTTTTGTTTTGGATGGTAAGTAACTTGATTTTTCTCTTTCGCTGTATCCAGGCTCTGGTTTCTCTAGCCCAAGGTTTCCCAAATTTGGTTCTCCAGCTGTTTTTGGACTACAGTTCCTATCATCCCTGACCACTGGTCCTGCTAGCTGTTGTATCAATGCTGCTTGATTTCAAGGCTTGTCTGCTTTTCTGTTTGAAGTACTACAAGCCTTACAAAACAAATATGACCATGGACCACGTTGGAACATGCACAGTGAACATAGTTATATGGGCAGTGATAGTTTCACAGCAATAATAATTTTATTATTTGTACCCTGCCCATCTGGCGGGGTTGCCCCAGCCATCCTGGGCAGCTTCCAACAAATATAAATAATCAAACATTAATATACAGAGCTGCCTTCAGATGTCTTCTAAAAAGTTGTATATTTATCTCCTTGACATCTGATGGGAGGGTGTTCTCATCTTTTAAAATTTATTGCCTGTACACAGCCTTTGTCAAAATTAACGGGTAAATATAACCATTTTGGATGAGTTAATCTGGGCAAAACATATTTTCTCTTCTGCTGCTGCTTAGAATTGAAATTAACATTGACAAAATACGCAAACTACTTCGGCTAACCAAACTTTGTAACCATTTCCCCATTCTTAGGTATGCCTTACATTTTGTTATACAAAGTGGAATTTCCTACTATATCATGATCATTATAGGAGTGGAAAATATGCACAAGTGAGTATTGACACACTTTTATGTTTTCAGAGTGAAAGAACATAATTTGCAGGTGGGTGGAGCTTTAAAGCAGGGATGGCTACCCCACCCTCCCTGAGCTCTGACATAGCCCTCCAAGCTGATTTTCCTGGGGCTCCATTCAGTACTACACTGAATTTTGCTGTCAAAGTGTAAGCTTTCTTTTTTTTTTTTTTAAAAAAAAGAAGACACAGACCTGGGGGACCTGGCCCAACATGTTGATGGAAAATGCTGATTACTCCCTCTCCACTAATCAGATTGATGATTTATTGAGCAGAGAGGATGTCTGCGATAGCTCAGTTAGTAGAGCTTGAGACTGTTAATCAGTGGGTTGGGGGTTTGAGGCCCACCTTTCATAGCATGGTTTGCAAGCGCCCAGGGCTATGCAGAGTGGGTGGGTGAGTGTGCATTCAATTGCCTAAGGCAGTGGTGGCCAAACTTGGCCCTCCAGCTGTTTTGGGACTACGACTCCCATCATCCCTAGCTAACAGGACCAGTGGTCAGGGATGATGGGAACTGTAGTCCCAAAACAGCTGGAGGGCCAAGTTTGGCCACCACTGGCCTAAGGCATGCAAGTCACCCAGGAGATCACAGCTGCAGAGAAAGTTTGGCCACCACTGGCCTAAGGCATGCAAGTCACCCAGGAGATCACAGCCGCAGAGATCAGAAAAGAAGAGTCATTCAGTTGTCTGGAGAGGCCACTTCCTGGTTCACCTGGAGAAGCCTTTTTCAATGGAGCCTGGCGACGGGAGCATGCAGCCATATCGAGGCAGCAATGGGTGTTGAAATTTTGCGCTCCTAACTATTTTGCGCATGAGGCAACTGTCGCTGTGCTGCTATACCACTGCTACTGCCACATTGGGCAAAAAGATGACCGTTGTGGTCCTTTCCAATTCTTTGATTCTGTGATAACCTCTCAGCTGGAGTTTTGTTTTGTTTTTGTGTGTACATACATGCCAAGAGTGTGGGGTGGCCACAAGCACTGCTGGCACGAGGCCTTTGGAGGGGTTAGTGAACATTAGAGTGGCCCTTCAGCCGACAAAGGTTAGCCACTCCTGCTTTAAAGGAACAAATTGTCCGTGATATCAGTGCAAGCACTCCTACCCTGAAACACTACCGTTTCCAATGTATATTTCCCTGAAGAGACCTTGTGTAGCAATGTGTTGCTCTTCTTGTTTGCTATTCAAAGTGCCAAAAGCTTTGTCATACCTACTGTTTACGGAATCAAGCCCGGGGGGGGGGTTTTGCTGTAATTTTAAGTACATAGCAGTTAACATGTTTCCATTGCTGCTTCATAAATTATCTGACTTGCAGACTTGTAATACATCTGAGTGCTAACTCCCCTGCCAGGTGAACATGTAAAAAAAACCCCACTCAATAGCATTCAATGTTCCCGCTTCGTTTCTGAGGAATAAAAAATACATGGCACAATTTTATCCTTGGGTAAGCATAGCTTGGTATATATATATTTGAGCTGGGTTCATTTTATTCAGTATCTTTGCTGTCCTCTAGGAAATGTATGCTGTGTGCTGGTTTCTCTCTTATTGTGTCATAGTGTAATATGAATTGCCATAGACAGCAAATGCTTACGGGCCTGATGTGATAGAACTGTTTCATATGGAGGGTTGTGTTTACTCAGTGCAAGAGGATGCTCTTACTTATCTGTAGCAGTGTGGGTCCAAAGGCTCACTCCTGCTATGGCAAGGAATTTGGTACGGTTGCTTCATACTTTACATTTTTTAGGTATAACTGTGGCTTTCAAATTGGAAATGGGCTGTGGAATTGTGGGCACCCTCCCTTCTGTGCAGATTTGCTTCTACCTGGTTTGGCATTCATGTGAATCTTGACAGCTTGTGTTAAAATGAGCCGAAGTATACTTTGCGAGCTCCCAAAGTGAGTTATATACTGAAATATATAGCCTATACTGAAATGTCGTTGTTGTATATTATCATGGCCAGGAATCCACATTCGGAACAAATAAATGCCTTATTCATCCATTTCAGGAAGCAGAGTTACAGTAGATAGGTAGGTAGGTAGATACATAGAAAGCAATCGTATAGATAATATAATTTAAGTGCTTTGAACGTTTGACTGGCTAATTACACTATGAGTTCAATAGTTCAAGTCATCAGTATGACAAAGTGTAATTTGGATGGCTATTGAAATATACTTGGAGTCGAGAGTGGATTTCCTGCTCTTTATTCAGCTCACAGTGGCGAGGAGGAATGGAAGTTCCCCCAGAATGTCTGCTTTATATACATTATTTACACAATAGGCCCCACGTGATTGGCTAATTCCGGGATTCTCCTGTAGGCCAATCAGGTTGCGGATTCACTTCCACCTGGAGCTGGATTGGGTGGCTCCTGTGGACCAATCACTTCTGCATTCTGGATCCTATTGTTCTAGGACCAATCAGACTGCTGCATTTTGGATCCTATTGAACTCAGTACATAACAGCTATGAAAGTCTACTTAAAAGTGTTAGTCTTTGAAATGATAGTATAGAACAGGGAATGCAAGCTGGTGTACATAGTAGCCTCCCAACATACTTATGGAAGAGTGCAAACAAAATTGAACCCGTTCCATTTTAATGCACCAAGAACTTTTAAAGCTGTTTTATAGCACAGGTGTAGTTAACTAGATTCGGACTGATGTTAATTCAGATGCAGCTAAAACATTTAATATCATGTAAACTTGCTGAAAACCTGGTGGAGAAGATTTGCATAAACTGAGATTCCAGAAACATTTTAATGCGATGCTGTGATTTTGTGATGGAGCAGTATGTTTACCCAAGGGCTTAGCCCATGACCTGCTGGCAGTTTTCCTGCTGACTCCCCTCCCCTGCCCTTCTTTTCTTTGTGGAGAACTTCAGATAGGTGTTTACAAGCACTATCTCAAAACTGCAGCCTTCATAGGCTGCTTTTAACCTGGTTAAGAAAAACTACCTGTTGGTTTACTATACTGTACATTTGTGTGTAATTTGTTTACTCCTCCCATATTCTTGGGAATGGGCTGGAGAGGAATTGGACTCGGCATTGAATGAAGTACCATTCATTTGCTGATTACAGGAAGTCTAACAGGATGTTTATAGTAATTTATAGCAGCTGCCTGCATTTGCCATGCTTTCAGGCTTTTCATTTTCACTATAATCAATAGACACCTGCTCATTTTTTAAATTCCCCAAAAATTTAATTTAGACGGTTTTGTGGTCCCTATCAGATTCAAGACCACTTTTCTAGACATCTTCAGACAGTGTAGTGTCACTCTCTAGATAGTACTGGCTTTGACAGCGACTATGCTTTGTTGCAGTTTTGTTTGCTGCACAGCAAACAAACACGCAAAGTGTAAATAGGCAACAGGTGCACTTAAAATAGCCACATACATGTGCCGTGGACCTCAGAGTGTAAAATTGGCATATCCATGGCAAATCTGCTGGAGATTTTGAGGTGTGAAACTACCCTCCTGTATGTAAGTCCCATTTGCATGGTTGTTGCTGGTTTACTTGCAGAAAGAAATTTGCGTTGCATTTCAGAAGTAATGATATATGAAATGTGTGTTTCATGCTGAGCAGGATATTTGCACTTTCCAATTAGGACCTGCTAGATGGTTCAGGATACGGGTAGTCTTTCTAGAACTGCTAAGATAGACAAACAGCATATTCCTTTTTCAACAGAAACTTGCCTCATATAAGAAACCATTATGGAGATTGTGTAAGTGTAAGCCCCTTTGATATTAACAGTGTTTTCTTCTGAACGGGCATGTTTGGGATTGCTCTGAATATCACTTGCATGAATGGAGAATATTTTTCGTTGTATATTGGCTACTCAGTGCAAAATGGTTGTGTCTTAGGTGGAAGTCTTCCATTCTGCAGTCAACAGTATTTTAGATTTGATAATGATTACTCGGAAGCTGACTTATAAGCCCCAGATTTGACACTTAGAACAGTGTATTCTTCTTCTTCTTTTGTAAAGATACTTGCCTTTGTCTGTTTTCTGACAGTTTTACATATTTTGAGCACTCGAGGGAAAAAGAGCATTTGGTTGCAAAAGTAAATATGTTGGGGTTGGATTAGGCATGGCCAAGCCTTCTGTAGCGCATATGCCAAGAGATGACCTTGAAGTAACAGCCCTTAAAAAGCTCCTTATTGTATTGTTTCAAGAAGCTCAAAGCAGGATGTGAATTTTCTGTGCCTCCAAGCAAAGCTGACAGCACTTCAGGGCCCTCTCCCTGCAATATGTTTAGAAAACAAAAAACCCAGAACCAGTAATAACTGAAGAAACTAAAAAATAAGGTGGTTGGATTTCCTTACGCTTTCTGCAGCTAGCACTGGAAGTGCAATAATGCCCACACCTATCCATGAAGAGACAGTGTCACTGAAGGGGTTCATAGATGCTTGTGGTTGGCAGTGGGGTTCTTTTGGAATGGGAGATTTATGTTTCAGCACTGGAAAGGAGAAGTGCGTATCTTTGAAGAAACCTGACAAAAGGATGGGAGCATGTTGCTTGTGTCCACTTCTAAGAATCAAAATTTAAGTTACAGACATTTCTACGTGTAAGGTAAAGGTAAAGGGACCCCTGACCATTAGGTCCAGTCATGGCCGACTCTGGGGTTGCGGCGCTCATCTTGCTTTATTGGCCGAGGGAGCCGGCGTACAGCTTCCGGGTCATGTGGCCAGCATGACTAAGCCGCTTCTGGCAAACCAGAGCAGTGCACAGAAACGCCGTTCACCTTCCTGCCGGAGCAGTACCTATTTATCTACTTGCACTTTGATGTGCTTTCAAACTGCTAGGTTGGCAGGAGCAGGGACTGAGGAACGGGAGCTTACTCTGTTGCGGGGATTTGAACCGCCGACCTTCTGATCAGCAAGTCAGTAATAAAAAAAACACCACCTTAATATGCAGGCGATTAATTTTATATAAACAATTAGTAAGGACATGCATTCTGAAAGTTTGTAAAATAGCATCTGGAAGTTTGCGTCACATTGCTAATAATCTCGCAGGCAATATCTTATAAATGCCCAGGACACATTTCTGCAGCCAAGTTTTACGTAACACTCGTATCACAATTGATTGCACTGGATTAGGTGAGAAATGATTACAGGGCATAATTCTATGCAACAAAAGCAATGTTTTACCAGTAAAATGTTTGAATTCCCAGTAATAAATGAGTGAGAATTGCGTATTTATTGTGCCATAAACATGTGTAATGGCTTTTATTTACATTCAGTTAATTAACAAGTATTACCTGGCTCAGCAAGAGCTCAGTTGGGAAAAATGAACAGATTCAACTGTGACGGATCTTATTTCCTCCTGGGAAGACAAATAAACAATAACAAGGAATTGTTTCTGAGAGGGAAGGCTTGAACTAATGGGTAATTACTGTGGTTTTCTCAAAAGAGCATTGAGGAGGAATGCCTTCTATTACATGAGACCAAGACAGGTTCTGTTTTGTACAGAGTTTTGCTAAAGACTTGTCTTAAAAACATAGGCAATCTGTTTAATAACTAATTATAAATATACGTTGCTGCTTTATCTGTTAATATCTTTTGTGTGTCACTTTTCTATTTTTTTAATGCTTGTTTGTTATGCAGAAGATAACTATGTGGAAAATGTGATGTTGAGCCTAGAAATATAAAATTCATATTTATAACATACACAATTTGCTATAGCAGACTGTTTGAAATGTCTGATTTGCAAGATTTTTGTTTCTATTCCTTTGTTAAGCATCCTTGACTTGGTAATTTATAACCTACCCTCTCACATTCTTTTCCTGTAGTTGCCTTCTCTTCAGCTGTCTTGTCAATCTGGCTGCAGATTTAAAAAAATATTTGACGAGGCTGAGCAGGTTCTCAATCTCTATATTAAACTATTGTTCTTTCTGACCTTCACTCAGTAGCAGTCTAATTTAAGGATAAACATCACTCTAAGACAGAAGTTACTTCTTTTTTTAAGTAATAATGACATTTGCAAGAATGACATGACAGCTTCAGTTTCTGTGCATGTGTTTTTTCTGTCTTTCTTTCTTTCTTTCTTTTAAAAAAGAGCTGTTACCTGTTGAGTGACACAACGGTCCTTAGACGGCAAATAGAGTTTCTGGTGGCAATAAATGAATGTAAAAATGCTGTATGGGCAGGAGAGTCAGGTGGAGTCAGAACCAGAAATACAGCTAATGAGGGAATACAAATGAATGCTAAGAGGGAATCCTAGGAGCGTCCAAATCTGGATTTCTCTCAACATTAATTTGGAGGCTGAAGGGTATACACAGGGAAGAAATCGAATGGACGGAAGTGTGTAATCTTTCCCAGCCCACTTATTATTATTTTTCCTGCAAATGTCCTATATTGTTACTAAATTAGACAAAATTAGATTCTGGAACTAGAAGTGATGCTCCATTAGAATGCGGGTTGCCTTTTAAGGACTGGCTGCAGCTTAAAAAACCCCACTTATGCGCCAGTCCTCCCCAGTGTTGCTGCACTCTCTGTTACCTCTGGAAAGGTAGGCTAGTCCTAAGGGTTTGCTGAAAGCATCTATTTCAGCCTTTCTCAACCTGTGGGTCCTCAGATGTTGTTGAACTACAACCCCCATCACCCCTCGCTAGCAAGGCCAGAGCTCAGGGATGATGGGAGTTGTAGTCCAACAACACCTGGGGACCCACAGGTTGAGAACAGCTGATCTAGATAGACCAAAGGGAACTATGGGTGAGTTGCCCGTGAAGTTGGGAGCAATAATAGTGGCACTTCAGCTGATGACATAGACAGTAGAGTTCCAGAGTTGGCATCCGTCTGTTTCAGGAGACAATGGAGGAGTGTGCCTTTGGGGGTGAGGTCAAGCTGTTGGAAGGTTGCAGCACCAGTTGTGGCTGTAGAGACCGATGCCGGAGAGACAAGGTTTGTTACAACTGGGGCAGATGAAGGCGTCCTTCTGGTTGTGCTACTGCAGATGCACCATGGCTTTTCTTCTTCTCTCTGTGCTTTCCTCCTCTGGCCACTGCTAGGGATGCATGAGTTGATTGCCTGTCTCCACGCACTGTGGTGAAACTAATCCGTATATGGAATAGCAAAATTTATGATACAAATGCATAATTACATGCAATACAGTAGAGAGAGAGAGAGCGCGCTTTGCAAGAGCTGTGGTATGCACAGGAGATCTCAGAGTGAAGATTAGTCTTGATCACTCCTTAAGTGGGGGAGTGTGAGAGCTTTTTGTGCACATCTGAGCTCCTGCTTTGTCAAGGAACTGCCAACCAGACGAACCTATCTGGGCTTTAACTCTAAAACCTGCTTAGTTTAGGTGTGTTCTTGTTAACAGTTCCTGCCATGTGTGTGGGGGGGGGGGAACCATGTGATGCTATTGCATATTTGAAGAGGAGAGTCACATTCCCTTAAAAACATGTAGCTCTATATAAAGCATCACAGTAAAACCTCCAGGTTTTGTAGTTGTGAAAGGGCAGAAATGATGATGATACAGTCCAGTATGCTAAGGATGAACTGTACTTCCTAGCAAAGATTTTAATTTGGATTGCTGCTTAGGTGCACACGGTGACTGCATTTCATGGCATCTGTGCCATATGGCTAACTGCTTTTGTTTCATGAACAGTTTGAGGAGTTGCATTAGGAGTTGGGTTTTTTTTCTGAGGAAAGAAAGTTTAGAGCCCTTATGGGGTTCCATTGCTCTTTCAAAAAGAAAAGAAAGCTTGATGAGGATCGAGTTACCACCCAGTCAGGTTTTTGTAGAAGTTTTATCTTCTAAGCATAGTTATATCTGCTGGTGAACATGGACAGGTTAAGCCGGCTATTCCAAAAAAGCACCACAGATTATTATTTTGTGTGTGTATTACAATCCTGTCGTACAGTGCTTTGTTTTCAATCCATCAAACGAGAACTTCAAAGGGTGAAGGCATTTCTTTCTCACTGTCTATTCAGTTTTCATTGAAAGCAGCAACTGTATCCCTTTCCTGATGCTTCTGTAAGGCTGGTTACTCCACCTGTCAGGCTGCCAAGTGATTTGACTGGGAGCAAATGAGCTCTGAGTCATACTTGTACTGCTTGCGTGCTTTTATTACAGCAACAAACTATTCCTGTCAAATAAATCGGACTCCGCTACAAAATCAGATGCATTTAGGGAGAGGGGGGGAAAGTCAGTGAAACGTATGTTCCTTTTCACCATCTTCACAGCATACAAGGTTGCTTGTAAAATGAGATTAGAAGTCATTGGTGGGAAGGCATGCATTGAAGGAACGGATGAGGTTGTTCTTTGGAATATTGGTGTGTTAGCTTGGAAAAATCTTTCAATGACAAGACTTGGCTTTTTTGTGTTTACTGCAAGTGTGTCGCTGGAGTTTTAATGGAGAACTGTTTTAATAATACGAAATAGAAAGTAACATTACATTCAATAAACTTCTCTTTCTAAAAAGGTTTAGGCCGGAAAAAAATGCTGCACTCTTCAATGTGAGTCATGTTATTAGGATTGGTTTATGCTTTGAAGCAAACGTCTTATACTATTAATTGGTTACGTGCAGGATTGTTAATTGACTTGCCATTTAATAATCTGGCAGCCTGAGACTGTTTTATCACTACAGAGTGCAGAGATGAGCTGTTATTTTTGGATTAGGCTGGGGGAGCTTCAGAATAGCAAGAGTCAGACCTGCTTGTTACAACTGATGCATCGGTGTTTGGGCTGTTTTCCCCCCTCTTGCGTCATGTGCAACAGAGTACTGTGTTTCAAGGGCATTGGAGCATTTTAGTGAAGCCAACGGAACAGCCACATTTTTGTGCTAGACTATGCAGATGATTCTTAGTAACGTTTTAAAAATAGGCCTCTTTTCAACAACACTGTAAGCCAAAGTATGGCATAGCAAGAATATGCACTGTTTGTGTGATCTTGCTAAGCCATAGTTTAACTTACTATTTCAGGTGAACCAGTTTAGGCAATGTCACTTTCTATATTCGTTTTGTTTTGTAGTTGAAATGATGATGATGATGATGATAATAATAATAATAATGTATTAGTAAGTGTGCATAGCTTTTTATGATATATTTGAACGCTGTTTCCAGTATCAGATACAAATATATTCAGTCAGTACACAGGTTCCTCAGGTCATGACTTCTGATAAACTATGACTTGTACTTTGATTTACAGTATATATGAATATCATGTCAGTTATGGAGGGCTATACATTGTTTAATTTATTGCTTATCTTCTTTAACACTTGCAAAGGGGGACTGGAAGAGGTGTCTGTTTGTTTGTTTTTAGTTTTCCCACTTGATTATTACTTGATTGTTTTGAAGAAAAATTGGTAAATTACAGGCAGTGTTCGAAATTAGCCAGGCGCTGGGCGCATTTTGCACCTGGCTATTGGCGCTGTGGGTTAAACCACAGAGCCTAGGACTTGCCGATCAGAAGGTCGGTGGTTCGAATCCCAGCAACGGGGTGAGCTCCCGTTGTTCGGTCCCAGATCCTGCCAACCTAGCAGTTCGAAAGCACGTCAAAGTGCAAGTAGATAAATAGGTACCGCTCCGGTGGGAAGGTAAATGGTGTTTCTGTGCGCTGCTCTGGTTCACCAGAAGCGGCTTAGTCATGCTGGCCACATGACCTGGAAGCTGTACGCTGGCTCCCTTGGCCAATAAAGCGAGATGAGCACCGCAACCCCAGAGTCGGTCATGACTGGACCAAATGGTCAGGGGACCCTTTACCTTTATTGGCCACTTGAGACCAAGTGAAGATACCTGGGTGCCAGGATCCCCCTGTGCTATTGGGAGAGTCAGATTTTAGCTGGCACTAACAATATGCACAATTCATTTTCAGCTTTGTAATCTTGCGCAAAAAGGGTTCCCAAACATTCCTTTAGTGCACCCGTAACCCAGGTTTAAGCGAATAGCTTTTATATCTCAGTTTCTAACACTAGTTGCTGCATCCATAAGGCCCTACTGCATCATGGTGTCTATGCTTTTGTCTGTATGCATTGTGCCAGTAGACAGTAAAACGCCAGGAAAAGCATAGATGTAAAATATGTGCTCAACAGCATTGTCTTACCTTACTTGATGTTGGTTTTTCATGTCTAACTGCAATTGCTGTCTATATCAAAGCCCTTTTTAACTTCAAAGGGCCGGTTTAACCTTGCAGCCCATTTTGATAGGTAGGCACGGCATACTTTTAGATGTGATCAAATGGTCTGAATCAAAACAAAAACTAATTCCTCCTTGACAGTTCCCTACAGTTCTTGTTTTGGGAATTTGGGTGTTTTGAGCTGCTCTTTACTAAGGTATTTCTTTAATCCACACTGTTAAGATCATTGAGAGGCAAGTAGTAGCATGCCCATTTTGACTTTGTATGTAGGAACTTTGTTTTACTTTTTATTTCTTTTAACAGAGACGTTCTTTCAGGTTAGGTTAGTTTTTTTTAGGTTAGTCTTTTTCTCTGTGTGGCTTCTAGTTCACTGTCTGTGACCGGTGAAACCAAGGTATGATAGTTTGTTCATGGCCCTAATTAAGACCTCATTCTGTCAAGTGTCCAGTTGGCTGCTTTTCTAAAAGCTTGTGTTTCTGGAAAGGCAAGAATAGAACTTTGGAAAGGCATTCTAGGTGACTTTTGCCTGCGCATAGGAACTCTTTGAAAGCTGCCTTAAACTTGAGCTCCAATATTTGGCTCTGCTACAAGCGACTATGTGGCTGGGGGGCAACTCAGTTAATGACTTTGACAGCTCTCTTTTGCCTGAAACAAGTGTCAGCATTAATTGCTGTATATGTAATGCTTAATAAAAGTTGTAATAGGATAGTGAAGCTAATATTAAGAAGGTCTGCTCAGTCTGTGAGCAGAAACCAACTTGCTCATCAAGACCCTTAACTGATACAACATTTAATCTAAGGTTTTGCAGTGAGCAGCAGGCCTGTGCATTTCCATCCCCTATCCTCCTCTGGCATGACCACAGTTTTGTGATTTAGAAGTTTTCACTTTCCATTTTTAAGCTAAGTAATGTTCCTTGTGGTGACTGAACTTGGGGAAACAAGGCAGGTTCATAAATTACAGATTGAAACTGGATTTTTAACAAGACTAACCACAGTTCTCCGAGTTGGGAAATAACAAAGATCTCTTGTTTTGAAGCATCCACTTGTGCTTTTACTCTCCTTTTCATGATTGCATTGAACAAGTGGAATGCAGAGTGTGTGATGCTACATGTGCACAACATGTTGAAGGTATGTTTCAGGTCTGTTTTAATATATGGTGATATTTCATAGGCTGCACATTTAAAGAAATGCCCCAGCACACGTGCAAAAATGTGGCTGGTATTTTGGAAGAGCTTTTCATATAGCTCTATTGTTGGCTTCAAAACAGGTAGTATCTCACAGACTCAAGCCATTAAAAAAATAAAATAAAATGGCACACAGTTGCACCAATGCATGATGAAAGCAAAACTAAAAGGTGCTGCACCAGATTGGTTTTATTCCTAGAAATGATCCAATGAGCGTTGAGTTTTTCAGCTATTCAAAATTACATTTTCCAACTTTTGCAACTTTCCCCCAGAAAGAAGAATTGCTTTCTTTCTTTCCTCCACCAAAGAGTCTTTTGCTGTTTGATTTCTGTGTCTGTGGAAAAACGAGAATCTGCATGCTTTGCAGAAAAGAAAATGCCTGTTGAGAAAAGCTGTAAAGGTCAAAACCAGTCTATTACTGCATGTTTGAGGGGTTTTGCTCTTTGTATTCTTTTTCTTTTGGGAGGGGGCAGGGGAAGCCATATGATGTAAGAATATTGTAGTGTAGAATTGGTATTCTACTCACCTAAAAGTTCCTAATTTTAACAATAGGTGTACAGATAATTTCGAAGTGGTCTTTAAAAGCCATGCCTTGCTTGAAAAAAAAAAGTCAATGAGGATAACGCATAGTGTCAAGAGCCTGTACCGGGGGTCAGCAAACTTTTTCAGAAGGGGGCCGGCCACAGTCCCTCAGACCTTGTGGGGGGCTGGACCCACCCTCTCCCCAAAGCACCCCCCTCTCCTGAAAGGACCCCCGCTGCCGCCACTCACACTGACACCGCATCGTCTTCGGCAGCATCGGTGGTGTCCTCTGTCTCGGCAGGGCGTAGAGCCCATGCCACTGGCCTGGGTGGCGGAGGCAGCCTCTGTGCCGCTGCTGCGGTGGCTGAGCGGGAGGAAGCGGTCAAGTGGGAAGAGCTGAGCGGGAGGAAGCGGCAGTGGTGCAGAGGCCGTGCCAGTGTTGCCGCCCACCCAGAGGCATCCGCTGCTTCTGATTGGCTGCAGGAGCTTCCTGCAGCCAATCAGAAGCCGTGTCGCATCATGGAAGTCATTCACTGTGTGGCGAGGCCTCCGCACCGGTTTAGCACAGGGACTGACCACGTGGGCAGCAAGGTCCACGGGCCAGATTAACAAGCCCAGAGAGCTGCATCCGGCCCACGGGCCTTAGCTTGCCGACCCCTGGCCTATACTTAGTTTTTGCTTACTCCTTGAGATTAGGAACAACGACCACTTAAGTATCAGTGCCTCCAGGCTACTTCACATTTCACTTTTCTTACAGAAATATTAATTCCATCAAAGGAGCAGTCTGCATAGCTCATATATGCATGTTGCCACTCCCTGCTGTAAGTGTAATGCAAAGTATTCTGCTAATGTTGCAAAGTATAAGCTTGCTGGAAATACACAGGTATTTACAGAATTAGAGAAAATGGTTTCAGTTTATTATATTAGCAACAGCTGAATTTGGAGATGGTATGTTGAGCAGCTGGGCATTTCCTTTTCTGCTGCAGAGCTTGTGATCCAATCAGTTGCTTTCTTGAATGATATGGAAGCTTGAAAAATATGACCCAGATGTTTTTGGTGGCTGTCAAAACTGGGGACATTTGAAGCAAAAGGATAAGGAAAGTTGGAAGCAGATTGGGATGAAGTGAAATATTCTGCTGTAGACATAAGCATAGAACCAAGGTCCATGGCGGTTCCTTCCTTCTCATGCAAGTAGTGCCAAACCATGGTTTTGTTTGATGTGCAGAGACAGACAGTATGTTGCTTAGTGTGAGATGTGTGTAATAGACATGCTCTGTGTGCTAAAATAACTTGGAGAAGAAGAGAACTAAAACTCTATTTAGGTCTATACCACCTTGGCTGCTTTCTCACTAGGATTGAACCAAGTTATCTGGGGGGAGAATTTTTGGCAAGAAAAGGGACATTTAGAGGGCTGGCAAGCTTACATGCAAGGGATGCGGGTGGCGCTGTGGGTTAAACCACAGAGCGTAGGACTTGCCGATCAGAAGGTCAGCGGTTCGAATCTCCGCGACGGGGTGAGCTCCCATTGCTCAGTCCCTGCTCCTGCCAACCTAGCAGTTCGAAAGCATGTCAAAGTGCAAGTAGATAAATAGGTACCGGTCCGGTGGTAAGGTAAACGGCGTTTCCGTGCGCTGCTCTGGTTCTCCAGAAGTGGCTTAGTCATGCTGGCCACATGACCTGGAAGCTGTACGCCGGCTCCCTCGGCCAATAAAGCGAGATGAGCGCCGCAACACCAGAGTCGTCCACAACTGGACCTAATGTTCAGGGGTCTCTTTACCTTTACCTTTAAGCTTACATGCATTCCCCCCCCCCTGCACCTGTTATGTTACCTGTCTCTCAGGAGCTGCTTTGGTACCATTTCCTAAACAAAGTGTCTTTCCCCCCTTCCCATCCCCATTCTTGCTGTCGATGTGCTCTCAGCCAATCAAGGAGCACATAGCCAGCACAATGATCTCATCAAGGGCAAATGAGGCCTTTGCATTGTTTCGCTTTGAATGGAGGGGATGGGGTAAGTGGAAGTGTTGGCCTGTTGCAAAGGCAACCATGCTGTTGCTCCCTGTTCCACTACACAGTGCTGGCAGGCGATGAATCTCTCTGGGGAGTTTGGCATGCAGAGAAGGCTTCCGTGCAACTGTCACTTACTTCGTGAAGAACTGCATCTTAAACGGGATGCATTTTTGAATGCAAATGTCTCCGTACTGCATTGACTTCTGTGGGATCCAGACACAATATGAGTATACTAATGCACATCCCATTGAATGCAATGTAGCGCAGCATCTAGTATCTATACTGGGACAAGGATTCCTATATGTTTTTATCTGTAAGCAGCAACTTTGATCCAGTAAATGGAAGGCACACACAAGCCTGGTTCTGCAAACTACACTCTGTAATTGGATCAGGTCGTCTGTCCCATCCAGGCCATGCTGTATTTGATTTTCTGCCACTGCAGCAAGATGGGGAAGTGTTAGTGTAGTTGTTCTGGCGCATGCTTGTGCATTCCCTTCTTCCTCTCTCCAGACAATTTCCTGTCCGTCCTCCCTGCAAAATCACTGGAAAAAGTAAAGGTTGTTTTCAAGAACGTGAATGTCCATAGCTTTCCTCTCCCTGTTTGGTTCAACTTTAATTGTGACATCAGAGGAGTTAAGTCAGAGGAAGCTACATAGATCATGATGCTTTTGCCCGAAAAGCCCTAGTATGAAAGCAGAGAATATCAGCTGCTGCCATAGGTATAGTGTCATCAGTTTCTGGAGCAAACAGACAAGAGAAGTTGAAGCATGCTGCAAGATTTTAATGAGAAAACAAAAATACAGGCTGTTACATTTATGAATTCTTCAGTGAATGCGTAGAAATGACAATTGAACCCCTACCATAATTAGATTTGTGGTGTACAGTGTATGTTGCAGAATAAAGACAAATTGAGAGGAGGAGGATGGCAAGATAATTCTGCATAAATCACTTTTGTTTCTGTCTCGGAGACATATGAAAGAGACAAGATGATGTAAAAATAAAATAAAATCCAAACCTGAGTGGTTGAAAGGACAATCTGAGGGCTGATTCTGATTTCCCTACAGTTTTCATTATTGAGAACCAGGGAGAAAATGTGTGCCATATTTTCAGTTTGTCTTTTCACAAAGTGTTGACAGGCACAAATAGTAAAGACGCTTGTTTTTCCTTGGTGCGTAGCAGTAATAACAATGTGACTGTCTCCTAGATCCCTCATTGTTAATGCCTTGATTTACTGGAATGCGCAGGGACCATTAGGGTTCTAAAGGAAATAATTCATTGAAAAATATACAGTACAATGCAAGTGAAATCCATGAGAGATTACAGCCCCATCTGAAGAGCTGATGTGGTTCAGTAACTGGAGAGATGGGGAGAAAATTTCATTTGTCATGGACTTGTTTTTGGCAGGTCATGGTCTGTCACCCTTGGTTCCCTTTCTTAAAACGGGGATAATAGTCATCACAAAGCTGTTGTGAGAGCACAATAAAGCTTGTAAAGCACTTTGCCATTGCCAGCCCTTTATAAATAACAAGTAGCAACAATACTTAGCATTTAATCAATTGATGCAGTCTCTCTGCCTAGAAGAAAACTGGCAGCTAGCAACCTTGCCGTTCGAAAGCCTTGTCTGATCGCCAGTGGTGTGTCTTTTTGTGTTCATAGTACATTTAATGTGTTACCACTTCAAACTTTGCCTATCCAAACAAGGAAAAGTAAACTTTAGAAACTGCTCAAATGTAATTTTTTAAGATATTGTTAATTGTGTAGCTTTTTTTTTTATAGTTGTAGGGCTGTTATGCTGGCCACTGAGGTCAGGAAACTAGTAGAACAGTCCTCTGTTAAAGTTAAGCAACTAAGAGTTTTGCTTTACAATGTCTGTATCTTTTTATTATGTCTTTATTTATGGCAGTTCTAAACAGTTTTCATATTAAAAAAAAATACTCAGTTTGTCCCACAAAACACATTTTGAACAAGAAGACGGCTAAAGACTCAGCAATAAAAGGAATAAATAATAAAAGGTATAGTGGAAAACCAGAGCCGTTTTATAGAAAATAGCAAATTAGTCTTTTGTAATGGTCAGCAACCTGCAATACCAGTTGAAGCCAGCCATTTGAGGCTACAATTCTGTACAAACTTGCTTACGAGTAGACATTCATAGGACTGCATTGTTGGTGACCCTTGGAAGAGTTTTGGTGTACCCTGACATGTGCACAGGCATTTTTTGTTGCTGTAACGCCTTTTCACAGATTTTCCAAGCATGCTGCATAAAATGGGTGGCAGAATGATAGTGGACATGCCTGTTAACATGGACACCAGGAAAATAATTTTGAAAGGGACTGGCTGCCTAAAGAGTTTGTCCCCCACTGATGTAGTGAAATGCTGTTTCATGCTTATCCGTTGGATGAGGACAATTACAGGAAGGATAACAAACCTGCGACTTTCATGAAGATGCCTTCTCGCTGCAGGCTTTTCTTCTGATGAAAGGATTAATGTGAAACTAATTGAAGGCCAGAAAGGTCTCTGTGGTTGGTTGAGTGTGCTGATCTAATCTTTCAAAGATGAGGTGAATAACGTAATTTTGGATTTACAGTGGCATTTCTCTGAGTCTTGCTTTTGAATAGTATTTTTTTCATACTCATCTATAGAAAGAAGGCCAATAAGTCCAAACATCATGAATGCTGCTACTAAATACTTGAATAGCCACCTTCAGTTTTGCAGAAGTAATACCTCTGTTCTGTAGTGTGGAAAATGTTTTCGTATCTGAATGAGCCCCCGAATTCCCCACTTGTTAGTTTGAAAACACTCATGAGGGTTATAGATGGGAGGAACTACTTTGTGAATTTCTTAAAAGCTGTTAACACCTGTTGTATAACTTTAGTTTTCGTTACAAAACTTTAGATTTAGCTCCATTTTGCAGTTAAAGACAAACCTACCTAATTTGCACACTGGAAAACAGTAATTGAATCATATCCTGCCTGGTAAGGAGCAGAACTGTCCAAGAAGTTTAGATTGCACAACTTCCAATGGCTTGTGACAAATTCTAATTTTGGAAGTTAATTGCTGGTTGTGTTACTGGGGGTGGTGAGGGAAGGGAGGAATCTGGTACATCAGTATGTGTGCAATTAGAGCTTAGGACATTAAGGCTGAAATCCTGTACCCACTTAACCTGTGAGCAAGTCTAATTGAAATCATTGGAATCTTTGAGTAGGCATGCATAGGATGGAATCCAGGACTTGCTTAGAGGAACAGGTGAGGTGTTAAGGGCTCCTGTGCATGTTGTATAAGAATATTTATAAAGGCACAACTCTGGCAACAGATAAACCTTATTTTATTTTCTTCTTGTTGCTTCTATTTAACTCCCAAATATGATTCTGAGCTTCATGGGAGTATCTAGAATTTGTGGCTGCTTAAGAACAGCTATGCACATTTGTTTTATGGTTGAAATCATTTAGTATAAACAAGAATTTTAATTAATGCAGCTCATTAATAACTGTTATAAGCAAGCAGATGCTCAGTGCTGCTATCATTGGCTTTTTACATAAAATGTGCACTTCCATATTCATTGCTACAGATTCTATCGTGGTAAGGGAATATTAATGACCGTAAAGTTTGTGTGTCAAATTATTGTATGTACTATTGTGTTCGAATTCATTTTCTGTAGTGCTCATTATTTGAAATGTCATCTGTCTTACCATAAATGGCATTTATCAGAATGCCTCTTTCTGTAATACTTAATGAAATAATCTGGTGTTGGAGTGGGCACTGTGTAATAGGAATTTAGTTACAGATTTTCCAGCTATCAAACATTGTTTTACCTCCACCGCCCCCCGCCAAATTTCATCTACAACTATGAATATTAGATTTTGTTTTTTATCAGATAAGTTGGAAAACGAGTGCCTGCACTCAAAACCGAAGCTACTTTTTTATATGAAATAATTAATAACCTTAATAGCTAATGGCTGCTTTGAACGCTTGAATTTTCCGGTCGAAAATGGTCATGGAAATGCTAATCGTTCTGACCAAAGACATGACCATTTTTGACCAGAAAATTCAAGCGTTCAAAGTAGAAGACAGGGGCTGGCCTTCAGTTTCCTACTCTAAACCTTCCCAGTTCTCATAGCAGCTACTCCAAGTTGCAATTTCAAGTTTATGTAGTAAAATACAACCCAGGTGTTCCATGGAACAAACCTGTGGAACAATGAGACACTAGGGTAGCAGACATTTTGAGGTAGTTGTGAGTCGCATGGTGTTGAATAAAACTTGCACCACGCTTTGATGGGCATAGTTTTCCTCAGCAGAAAATTATAAGCTGTCAGCCAGTGACACACTGGAGCTGGACAGGTCCCCTGCTGGGCAACCATCACAGTGAGAAGTCTCCAAGTGGAGAAGAAACAAGAAAGGTACATACAATCCGTACCCTGCGGGTTCAGCAAAAAGAGTGGGGAAACAGTCCTGTTTGACCAAGCCACCTCAGTTGACTGTGGCATACAACTCCCAGGCAAAGCAAATCCGCTGGATGCAAAGCTGGGGTCGCTAAGGCCTTTCATGTAAACCACACAACGGCCCAACAAAATTGTGGGGCGAGGTGTTCACCACTGATGAACCCACTGGTGGTTCTGGCAGGCATCATTAGCAGAGCAGGTGAAGTAAATGCTGAGGTAAAATATCACCCCCAAAATGGCTGTCCTGCTTCTAGAGGTTCTGGACAGGCTGCACCATCTCTTGAGTGTTGAAGGAAGAGAACGCTCCAAGCACAAGGAACCGACTTCTCAGAACTGCTCCCCATTCCCTTCCCTAAAAATAAGACTGTGGGGATAAGTTTTTGAGAGACAAATCTCTCTCTCTCTCTCTTTTGATGGAGTTACAAGTTTGGTGGATCAGGGCATGCTTTTTGACAAAGTCTCCCATGATATTCTTACAGAGAAGCTGGTAAAAAGTGGACTGAGTGAGGTGGATTTGTAGTTGGTTGACTGACCGAACCCAAAGAGTGCTCACTAATGGTTCTTTGTCATCTTGGAAGAAAAGTGACAAGTGGGGTATGCCACATGGTAGATACCAAGACAGTGTTGGAATCTTTCAGGGCGAAGGCATAGTTCCAGGGTTTATACTTTTTGGTATGTGGTCCTTTGATGCTGCTGTGTTATTACTTAGAATGTAGAAAGGAGAGAGATTCCTGTGAGCGAGGAAAAGCCTGTCAATACCAGTCCTTGTGAAGGAAGTATTGTTGTTCAAGATGGCTGTAGAACCCATGGTGTAGTTTTACCTGGGAGCTTGTAGATGTTCTTCCTTTCTCTCCTGAGCCTGTCCTGTCTACGCCTGTCTACATTAAAATACGCTTACAGGCTGGCTGTAGAAAGACGCTTCCATCAACAGTATGAAAGTATCTACTTTAATAAGGTTACAAGATGGTCTAAGTGCCCTTTTTAAAAACAAATTAATCCCATAGTGCATATGGGACTATTACCACCTTTGTACAGTGGTACCTCTGGATACGAATGGGATCCGTTCTAGAGCCCCGTTCGCATCCTGAAGCGAACGCAACCCACACCTGTGGGTTGCGATTTACCACTTCTGCACATGTGCGTGACGTCATTTTGACCGTCTGCACATGCACGAGCGGCGAAACCCGGAAGTAACGCGTTCCATTACTTCCAGGTCGCCGTGGAGCGCAACCCAAAAACGCTCAACCTGAAGCATCTTCAACCCGATGTATGACTGTACTGTGATAATCTCGGATAGCATTACCATATTTTTCCGTCTATAAGACCCCCCCCCCCCATTTTTGGGGACTAAATTTTAAGAAAATGAGGGGAGATGGCCCAAAGTTGTTGAGCTTCTCCCCCAATACAGCCACTGGACTTGTTGTGGGGAAAGAATGTTCTTAGCATGTGTGTGTGTATGTGTGCCTGATCATCCATAGCTTTAAAGATTTTTTAAAAAGCTTATATTACTCTCCAATGCACTTACATGATAATTTAATAACTACTTTACCTTCTCTCTTTCAGATATTGTTTTGTTTTTGCTTTGGGATACCTCACTGTGTGCCAAATTTCTAGAGTCTATATCTTTGATTACGGACAATATTCTGCTGATTTTTCTGGGTAAGAATAAATAATACTTTCTATATCCCAGGTGTTTCTCTAGCTAAATATAGTGGATTGTATCCAATTAAGACAGATTCAGAGCAGACCCATTAAAATCAATTGACATTAGTTATGTATTAGTTGGATACAACCCATTGAGGATGGATAGATAGATAGATAGATAGATAGATAGATAGATAGATAGACAGATGAGTTAAACATGTTTTCCTGGAACTGTATACATGTGTGCACAATTTAAAAGTTCTTTAATCAGTTTCTATGGGTTTCTTTTGAGATCTTTGCCTATTTATCTATAATAGGAGAAGAACTCTGTACAATCCTCTCCATGCATGTAGCTTTATACTGAGATATCTGTCTGGGAAGGACTGCTACCGCACAAATTTCTACCTAGATTCATCACAGCTCCTTTTGGAGTTTAGATAGATGCAACATAGGAAATCCCTGGTGCCACTTTCCTGTGAAAATCCTCCCGCCCAAAGCTGTTGTTTGCCATTTGGGGCAAAGCATTTAATACTGCCTCTCCATTTAACTTTGCGTATGGTGATGTGCAATAAAAACACAAGTATTAAAAATTGCTCTCTTCATGCTGTTCTCTTCAACCAATCTATCTGCCAACGTGCTTTTGTCATCTTTCTCCTCTCCTTGGTACAAGAGGGTTTTGTAAAGCCTGTTGAGGGAGTCAAAATCCCTCCTTTATCTGTGGTTGGCGTGGGACCTCCAGATTACCATTTATTTACACTGTGAAAATGTGTTTTGATTTTTCTAGTCTGAATTGTGTAATCAGGGAATGGTGTTTCTCCTGAGTACTGATGGATCTTTGCTATATTGCTTTCTCTGTTATTATAATTACCATTACCCAAGTGACTAAAAGGCAGCAAACAATGTCTTCCTCGACATGCAGGAAAACCAATATGCTCCCTACAGGCTGGCTGTACAAAGACACTAATTACTTTTTATTGCTTTTAAAATAAGTTCAATTTTTCAAAGTCAGCTGCATTCTAATATTTATGGAGCAAATATGTGGCTGACGGCGTGTGTCTGACAGGCTCAAACAACACTACTATATTTACTAGGGGCAGCCGTTTTTTTCAGGTACCTCTACCTGGTGAGTAATGCCCCAGATTTGGGAGTGTCTCTTAAAAAAAATAACCTAGACTTGCCATTTGCCAGGTTTTAGTCTCTTCCATTGGCTTTCAAGAACACCTGTGTATATGGGAATGGCCTTCATGGTAGGAAATCATGCATTTTGTCTGTGGCATAAATAAATGCATAAACATGAATGCCAAGGAATGGCTCAGACACCCTGAGAACAAGCATTCAACAGGTTTGACTGCTCCATCCTCTTCTTCACACTCTTCTGATGAAGGAATTCTGCCGCTGGTTTGTGGGAAACCATGTTGTTGTTTTTACCCCAATCACAAGGCTTGTCCACAAATCAAGGTTGGAAATAAATGGCAACCCTGATCAAGCTGTTATCTTGTTATGCTAGCTCAAATGAAATGGTCATTTGTTTTCTTACACTTGTCATCCCACCCTTCCTCCAAGGTCTCCCTTCTTTTAACCTGTGTATATATCTGGCAAAAAGAGGAAACCCAATAGGTTTCCTTTGGGGAAGCATTCCACAGTTGCATAACCACCACGGAAAGGTCATGCTTAGTTGCTGAATAGCCCAGAATAGCTTCAAAATCAAAGCCTCTTGACAATGATCTGAATTCCTGGGCATCAAACAATATAGTTGGTTGGTTTAGTATTGATGCTAATGCCACTGGTTTCTCTTCCACACAGGCTTACCTAAGACCTACCCATAAAAAGACTTCTAGTGGCATGTTTTAAAAACAAATTAATGGCACGTTCAGTTCTATCTTTCTGTTGGAAAGCAATACTTTTATGGGTGAGATCTGCATGTTCTGTTTCTGAAGTCTTTTATTTTTTCATTTCCCTCTCACTTTGTCACAGCCCAATGATGATAATTACACAGAAAATCACAAGCTTGGCGTATGAAATTCATGATGGTAAGACTTTGGGGGGCCGGGGGCAGGACGGTGAGCTAAATCCTCTCTTGTTAATGCCTTCTCTTGCGGTGTGGAACATAAGCCATGTGGCCATGTTTATTTTCACATGTCTTTAACAGGAATTGGAGATGCATAATTGTACCAATATGTTTAACTGTTAATGAGGGGAATGCTATGTGACAGTAAACAACAACAACAACAACAAAATACGACAGCCAGAACTATGTAAAAATTCTCAAGGAAGCTTCTTTGCTCATGCTGAACATGGAGCAGGTCATGCAAGGATATCCTTTATTCTCTATTCTGGCAGTTCTTTACAATAGGTGAAGGAGTTGTGCTTATTGCCAAATTAACAAAACAGATAACTGGTGACTGTAAGGGCTGAATACTATACCACTACTTAGCTGTTCTGTGCCTTGTTCAACTGTTCTTGGTTTTTGTATGCAATATGTATCTAGCAATATTGTGGTATGTAAAGTTATGAAGACAGATAATAAAAGAGTTCAGATATACTAAACTATAGCTGTCGTGACTGATCAGTTTAGATAGCCACTCTTATAAGGAGGAGGATGTTTTGGGACTAAGCACCGTATTTTTCGTTCTATAAGACGCACCAGACCACAAGACGCACCTAGTTTTTGGAGGAGGAAAACAAGAAAAAAAATATTCTGAATCTCAGAGGCCAGAACAGCAAGAGGGATCGCTACGCAGTGAAAGCAGCAATCCCTCTTGCTGTTCTGGCTTCTGTGATAGCTGTGCAGCCTACATTCGCTCCATAAGACGCACACACATTTCCCCTTACTTTTTAGGAGGGAAAAGGTGAGTCTTATAGAGCAAAAAATACGGTAAGTTACCCAGTTCACCTGAAGAAAAAAAATAGGGACATAATGCTAAATCAAGGTTTAGTGTTAGAAAAATCTCGACAGTCGTTGGGCTTTTATGTTCCCCTCTTCAGTGAGGAGAACAGAACCTTCCATGGTGGATAAGCTGCAATTTTATCATGCCCCCAAACCCTACATTAATCTTAACTAAGGTTACTTGAAGCAAGCCTGCTTTTTAAACCATGGTTTGCAGTTGGTTGGTTTCCACTGACCATAGTTAACATTCACTGTAGCTTGTCCAGATTTGAACAATACACCAAGCTGCAGTTTATCTACGAGGGAAATGTAAGCTACTGAGCTCCTTCTTTATGGCTGCACTGAGGTGCGTTGGGGAGTCCGATGGCCCAAGGTTTACCGCAACCCATTCTTGTGACGCCAAGTTATGGTTTGGCATCAGTGTTGGACCCAGCCCAATACGTTACACTCCCATTTCTTTCCTCAACCCGCAGGAATGTTTCGAAAGGAGGAAGAACTGACACAATCACAGCGATGCTTAGCTGTGAGGTAAGTTTTCTCTGCTTCAGTGTAAGCTGCCACCTGGCCCCTCAGACCTGCAATTGGCCATTCTGCAGAAAACAGGAAGCTAAGGAGACCCCTTAAAACTCTGGGTTGCATTCTGCTCATTTGTGTAAAGTACAAATGAAGCCATTTTGAGTTTTTCACCCCCAAAAAGTAGGAAAGAATAATATGCTTTGAATTAATAACTTTGGATATATTATGCTATAGAGACTAATGCAGCTCACTTTACATTTGATATGAGTCAATTCCTCCCAGACCCTTTATTTATATAGACAAGTTTCTAATAGAGTGTTGACTCACCCCTTGGATTTCCCCTTCATTCCAGAAATCAAACCCCGTTAAATAATGCCTGTTAAGAGAAATCAATAAAGTTTGGCTTCAGGATTAAGGGGATTAAGGATTAAGGCTGCACTGGCTCCCGGTGGAGTACAGGATCAGGTTTAAGGTGCTGGTTTTAACCTTCAAAGCCCTGTATGGCCTAGGACCCTCATACCTACGGGACCGCCTCCTTTGGTATGCCCCACAGAGAAACTTACGGTATGCAAACAACAACACTCGGAAGATCCCAGGGAAATTAGACTGACCTCAACCAGAGCCAGGGCCTTTTCGGTCGTGGCCCCAGCCTGGTGAACGCTATCCCACAAGAGTCTAGGGGCCTGTAAATAGAAGTAATTGCAACTAGAATACAATCAGTGTGTGGTTTTAGTGTTGTTCTCTTAGAAAATGTCAATGAAAACCTCACCAGATGCTTGTCTTTGAATTACAGGCGCATGCCAAGTCTGCTGGAGTATTTAAGTTACAACTGTAATTTCATGGGTATCCTGGCAGGCCCATTATGCTCTTATAAAGACTATATTACTTTCATTGAAGGCAGATCATACCAACTGACACAGTCTGAAGCAAATGGGAAAGAAGAGATAAAATATGAACAAACAGATCCCTCTCCAAATGTAAGATCTACGGCTTTTTTTTGCTGTGCTGCTGTTCTTCTAGTGCATGAGAAGCTTTGTTTGCGTTACGTGTTCTTTGCAGGCGCAACTCTCTCAAGCTGTATCTTGAACATGAGTGGTGATCATTCACGAATGGCACAGTTCTGCCTTCAAAAAGAAAATATTACCTATGTCTAAAAAGGTAGATACTCTCCATAGATAATCATTAATGGACCTTGTGGGCCAACGTATAGTAGCCTCGGAAGCAGTTACATATTTCAAAATGCACTTTTAATGTAATTTCCCTGCTGCTTCTAGTATTAATGAGTTCTTTTGCAGCAGCAGGCAAGAAGAATGAAGGAAGAAACTATGTACAGCAGTACCTCGGTTTTCAAACACCTCCGTTGACTAACGTTTCAGTTTTCGAACGCCGTAAATGCTTCGGTTTTCGAACGCACCTTGGAAGTTGAACATGAAATGCAGCTTTCGTATTGAGTTTTCCGTTTTGAGGCTTCTGTTTTCGAACGTTTCGGAGCTCAAATGGTCTTCCAGAATGGATTACGTTCCAAAACTGAGGTACCACTGTACTTTTTGTTAGATCTTATAATCTGAAGTAATACAGGGTGGTATTCCAACTAGTTTTATCCCAGGGGACATCCTTTGAAGTTAATGAATCTTAAGATAGGGCCATTGAAATGAATGAATCTACTCTGAGTAAAACTTGGCTGAATAGCTCCCTGTATTATTTTGGATTCTAAGGTCTAACAAGTTTGTTTCATTTGTTGCACTAGCAGAATTTGTCATGCTGGCTCCTGCCAGCACAACTGTTTAGTTGAATCGGGCCCCATATCTGCTTAGATGCAGTCTTTGACTTTATCATCTGCTGCTGTTTCCACTACCATCCCCAAAGCTGGTGTAAATATTGGTGATGGGAGAAGTTGCAGAGGAAATGACTGATGCCAAGCATTGTGAACCAGGGTTAAATGTGAGTTTGGGTGGCTCAACTCATAGTAGCTAAGGGACTACTGAACTTCAGGAGTCCATTGCCAACCTCCTCCACCGCCCTAGCCTAGAAATGAGAAAATCTTCTCTGTTCCTAACATAGAACCATGTGGTAGACAAAGAGATGGCCCTTTGCATTTTTACTGTATAAACTTGCTAGAAAACTCCCAAGTGTTGGTCAAGCGCAGGGTCTATAATTGAGCCTTTATAAAGAACTCTTACCTTCAAAATCTCGGCCGATCACACAGTACAGGTAAGTTATCTTTAGCTGTATTGCTCACATGCTTGACATTTTTAGTTACTTACGCTGCACTAGCTTTCTGACATTACTTTTAAGGGAACCTGTGTTTGCTCTTGATATTTTACACTTCCCAACTGGCGTTAAAAGAGAAATCTGGCTGCATTTTATAACGCCAGTGAGTATTGTGTGCTTCTTGGGAAATAACGTGGATCGTACAACTCTTTGCCCCCTGCTGCGTTTGCTGTATCAGGTTGCTAGCTCAACTTGCTTACTTACATAAAAGAGTTGCACTTCAGTTTGCCATCTTGCTGAAATGCTTATCTAAGTGGGGGATTTTGGCTGAATTTTCATACTGATTTTTTCTTTTATTTTTAAGAATAACCATGCATTGTTAGATTAAGTTTAGCTTTCTTGGGTAATGAGGATCAGCAAATGGGAAGCTCTAGATGAAAGAACTCTCTTTCCCCTAATCTAATAAGCTTCCTTTCTCGTTTGAGTTTTATTTCTGTAGCATAAAATTAACAACAGTCCCTTCTCCTTCTGCTAACTTCGTTAGGCGCATGATATGAGCTTAATGTAAGTTTCTACTGTGCTAATTGCATGTTAACTGAATATAGTCAACATTCTCAAGTGATTTTTACCTCATATCTCCCTCCTATTGTGCCTTTTTACAAGCTATCATTTGTTGGTGCTCAAACTGGTGTCAACTGTCTGAAATTAATGTCTATCTTCGTAAGTTTATTTTTCTTATAGCTATTAGCTACCCTTAAACTCCCATGTTCTTGTGGAACACATCCCCTTTGCTTATGGCTTCTTAGTAATATTTTTAGCTATTTAACCCCTTGTTAATTGCCTCAGTGTGTGTGTAACTCTTTGTGCAGCGGTCCCAAATGCCACAAGCTTTGCTGAACTAATTATATTTTGTGAAGCTGCCAAGCAAGCATCAAAATGAGCTCCACTCCAAACAGGTGCCTTAAAATAAAGTTTTAACCACCTAGGACCCGCTTAAACATCCACTGAGATTAGTTGCTGTCTTTCCCAGTGGGACATTGAATCTTAGGCATCAGATACAGAGTTAACACATAAAGTAATAATTTCTAAAATGCTTTCAAGCGCTCAGAATGTTTCATAATTTTGTGGGTGCCCATTTATGTGGAGTTAGTGTAGCAAAGTGGAGAGTGGTATGGTATAATATAATTGGATTTTTAAAATTTTATTTCATGTTTAGCCCATGGATATATTTCATGAATACATATTCTGTGGAGGGCAGTATACATGTTTTCCATCTAGAAACCGACCAGATCTAAACCTGATTAGCTTCGGCAGGGTTGTTGTATCCTGTCCCTTCAGGCCATGGTTGTGAATTATGACTCAGGAAATCACAGCTTTAAATCTCAGTCATGAATTAATGGAGTGCCCTTTGGCAAGCCATTGGCTGCATTTTGACATCACGCTAAGCTGTGGTTTAGCTAGATGTGAACATGTCTAGCCCCTCCTAGTTTTGTGTGCTTCTGCTTTTAGTTAATTCCAATTAGTTATGCTATCCAGACTTGACAAACGCTAGTTAATCATGCAAGTTTCAAATAAGTCAACTTTAGACCCTGTTTTCTGAAACAGGTTTGTTTAAGCTATCCACTGTTAAGAGCAGTTCCACAGCAATCTGTGGCTAAACCAAAATGGTAGCCAAAGCTTCTGAACTCCACCCAGCCTCATGGGAAGATGCTGGACAAATCTGTATCTCTATTATCTATATCTATTTAGAAAATTAAGAACATCTAAAAGCATTTTAAAACAGCCAAATACCCTCACAACTAATGATTTCAAGGTTCTTGGAACAGTATTTTTCAGTCGTCATATGACTGGGTAAATAAGAGGGTTTTTTTAAAATTTCTCCTGGGCATTAATGAGAGAGAATGATGGTGTCTTACCAAGGAAGGCATTCCACAAGCAGGGAACTTGCCAGTGAGAAGGCCCTGTCATGAATCATTGCTAATTGGGCAGTCGTGGATCATTGCTAACTGCCCATCATCAGCCCTGAGATGATTGCTATCATATCTTTCTTCTGAGCATTTATAGGACACCCTATAACAGGTTTTAGGGTGGCTTACAGCAAAGTTTAAACAAATTAAACAGTCAGTGAAACAGTAACACAATGGAAAATATAAGCAATAAAGCTAGTATTGCTTTCAGGGTCATTATACTCTTACTGAAATGACATTGTGTGAAGAACTTGAGTATTCATCATCAGCATCATCAGCTTTGTATTGGAGGCTGAAATGGTGACTTGCCCAATGGGCCCCTGATAAGCTGAGCAAGTAGCCGAAATGAAACCAATATCCAATCCCAGCACTCTGTGCTTCTTCACCACACCGACACAATTACTGTATTTTTTGCACCATAACACTCACTTTTTTCCTCCTAGAAAGTAAGGGGAAATGTCTGTGCATGTTATGGAGGGAATGCCTACAGGTTGCGGGGGGGATGTGCTGCAGTCGTGAGCAGAGGATCTATGGTTCCCCTTCCTTCCTTCCTCCGTGGCTCGCTTTGAAACAGCAAAGCGGGAGAAGAGCCGCTGAGTGGGGAGGAGAGAGGGACAGAGAGTCTGCTTCTTTAAAGGAGCAAAGCGGGAGAGGAGAGGAGCCGCTTACACTCGTGTCCGGTTGGTTCCTTTAAGGCAAGCAGGCTCTCTGTCCCTCTCTCCTCCCCACTCAGCTCGCTAAATAGCAGCAAAGTTTTTCAGCTCGCTAAGCCGGGGATGAGCGGGGAGGAGGAAGAAAAGCAGAGCCTGCTTGCTTTAAAGGAGCAAAGTGGGAGAGGAGAGGAGCCTTCTCCCCTTGTACCCCTCTTCTTCATTATTAGCAGCATCCTTCTCCACCCACCCCACGCGTGCTCCTTGTCCCTTGAGTGCTTTTCCTTCCCTCCCCACTTAAAACATGGTTACAAAGCACGGATCCACATGGATCCTCAGGATTTTTGCACTGGGTCACCCCAAATTCACCATCAGATCACATAGCATGTCCATGGCTACATCTTGCACCAAAAAAATCAAGCACCCACTGTTGCCTGGGGCTGCAGTGGTGCAAAAACATGGTTACAAAGCATGGATCCACATGGATCCTCAGGATTTTTGCATTGGGCTACTCCAAACTCACTGTCAGATCACATGTCTGTGGCTACAGCATGAACCACAAAAATCATACATCCACTGTTTCGTTTAGAATATTTCTTTTCTTGTTTTCCTCCTCTAAAAACTATGTGCGTGCTATGGTCGAGTGCGTGTTATAGAGCGAAAAATACGGTAAGTATTTTGACTTAACAAAAAAGAGAGACCAGCATTTTATAGATAAAAACAGTAAACGAAGGAAGGTCAGTTGCTCATGTTCAAACGTGGTGAATATGTAACTGGAATGGATCTTTGACAATCACAAAAACTTAACACACAAAATGGCCCAGTGCAAACTTATGTAACATACAGTAAGGCAGAAAACAAATAGTCTTATACATATGCAATAATTACCCATTTGCAGGACATTGCAGAATCATCAGACATTCTTGTAATGAATATAATTGATGGATAGCCAGGAAAGAGCTGTTTTGATTAATTGTTCCTAGTGAGCAGGGCCAGCCCACACATGAGGCAAGAGGAGGTGAGTGCCTCAGGCGGCAGGATCCACAGGGGCTGCAGATCCCAATGTTGATCTTTATTTCTCTCTTGTTCCTGATGTAGATCTTCACTCGCCCCTTCTTGCATGGTGGGGTGAGGGTGACACTATTTTGGGGTCTGCCTCAGGTGCTAAAATGTTTTGGGCTGGTCCTGATACTGAGTATATAGTGCCCCTCCTACCTGTAACATAGTTTTTATTCCTTTTCCTCTTTAAACTGTTTAACATGGTTGCGTTGAGATACATCTTTGTTTACGTTAGGGCATATGACATGCAGCAATTAAATAAATCTAAAACAACAATGAACAATCAGATAAACGTTTCTAGCATATAGTAATTTTAATGGGATTGCTTTATTGTGTATTTAATTATGGATGTTTACATATATTAATGTCGGTGCAACTAGTTTTATTCTTTCTAAATTTGCATAGAAGCTTATTTTGAGATATATATATATATATATATATATATATATATATTATTTTAGAAAGTTTCCACTCTAAAAGGTACTGAATGAACCACCCATGTATTTTGAAAACATTGATAATTCATATTTCATTTGCAAAGGAGTGTCACTTTGCTCACCCAATGAAATCTCTTTTAGAACATTTTTTATTGCCTATAGAAAACTCAAACAAACTGATGAGTTAAAAACATCTCTTAAAATCACTTTTGAATATCACTAATGCAAATTTTGAAACGTGCAAAAAAACTTTCTCATTTTAAGGCTTGACTTTAAGATAAAAAATATATATGTGAAAAATGATAAATATGTCAGAGTTGGCCCCCACTCTAAAATGGGTTAAATGAACAAAAAGCCATATTGAATAAAAACCTACTCCAATTTTCGGATGATTTCATATGAGCTCAAAATTATGTAACACATGAATTAAGGAACAAGTGCTGTTAAAGAAACGAGGACAAATCTAAGTAATAATTTAGCTCTCTGAGGCATTGTACCTAAGTTTACTTTCATCAGCAAGTGTATGATTCCAGTTCTAGGAATTTTTCTATATGTAGTTTAAAAATCTGTTGATAGATTTGGCATTTATTTTCTAGTTTTGATAAATAGTAATAGCTCAGATTGTTACGATTAGTTAAGACTGGCTATTCTGAGAAAACAGCATTAAGGATTTCTGTACGTACCAAAATATATTGACTTATTTGAGGTCTCCTTTTGGCTAAACATCTTTCAGATCTTAAGATCTAAAGTATAATCTTTCTCTCTCTCTCTGTTGCTCTCTCTCCTCCCCCCACATGTGTGTGTAAATTCTGTTTCAAATAGATATAAAATTCTGATAGTTAGACTCTTGTATTTCACATGACCTTAAAGTGTCAGATATGAAAATTAAAAGTCATAATGGATTGACATTTTGGAGGGAGCACAAGTCTTGTGACTTGAGTGACTGAATTTTCTTTTGGATGCTTTCCTGGCCAAGTTATTTCTTGTCACTGTTGTTTACTTCTTAGATCCATTACAGCAATGTAATATTTTGCTGTAGGCTCTTCCTTGCTTTCCCTGAAGGAGGAAGTTATTTATTTACAGGCTCATAACATGCATAAAGATTTTGGGATCGGGATAACACAGATTGAAAACAATTTGGAAAAACTTCATTTATCATGACTGGGGAAAAACAGCTTCTGTATCCATTGTCTTCATCCCTAAAATACTGTTCTTATTCATAACACTATCCTTGAAAATAGAAAGCTCTAAACTCATTGAAATACAGAAAAGGATCATGAAATTCATAAGCTCCAAATAAACCTAGTAGAGCATCTAATGAAAATCTATATCACAGGATAAACAGTGGAAGACTGGGATTACCCAATAAAATAAGATACAATCAAGCTTCAGAACTGTGATAGATTCTGGAGTGGTTTGAAGATAATGATAATACACTATGAAAGATTGAACAGGAATTTCATAAGAAACAACTATGGGAACTACTTTGGTTTAAACCAAAGAATATACATGATTGCACTTTTGCCTTGTTTGCAGAAGTTAACTCCAAGTTAACTGCGGAAGTTACCCTTGTTATTAAAAAGTGAATGTAGCAAACTAAAATAATAGACTGTTGATCTCTCTGTCTGGAAAAAGCTATAGACAGAATTCAACGTAGCGCTAAGTGAGTTATGCACAATGGGAATGAGGTCCACTCATGCAGTAGGACTTCCCTCCTCTCCCCAACTTATTACAAACTGATATAAAAGAAAGCAATTTTAAAAATTCACTTAATTCTCTCCCAGATGCAAGCACTATATAAGAGAAAATGGGAACGGAACGTAATGAAATCCAACACTACAGTGTCAGAAGTAGTATGGGATTGGGTGTTTAAAAAAACACCCCAATAACATTATTGCATGTTAATCTGAAATGAAATTCATTTAAGGCAACACTTCAATGTTATTTGCCTACTTATGGGCTGAGTAAAATACACAGGCAAATACTCCTCCTCCTACTACTACTACTGGAGATGTAAAAGCTAAGGCAGATTCTGTGCATATTTTCTGAAACTGCATAAAACCCTTTATTGCGTTTTGCATATAATACAGGAAATGACAGAAATCCAAAAACAATTCTTCTTGCTCTGATCTGAAGTTATTAATGCTGATCTCCAATTGGTAGCAAGTAGCAACCCTGTTTAGCTCAGCAATGGAGAAATAAAGATGATCCAAAAATCATAGGAAAACATGGGAGAATGTTGCGATGATAAAGCTAACATACAGCAGGAATGCTATGAATTATAATTATCAAAACAAACCTTGTTCATTCAGCTTTGGGGATGGAAGTACCTCCTTGCAACTCATATACACTAATTTAACAATTTATCATCATGTAAATTTCTGACCTTTCCCCTCATCCCTCTGCTACTTTTATTTTCTTACATTCTTCTTCTTTTACTTAATATTAGTGGTTTGCAATATTTAAAATTTCTTTTCTCTTTCCTGGTTTTCAAATGAAAGTCACTTGATAAATTAACAGTGGATTGCTGAAAACTCCTTAACCTTCCAGAATTAAAACTTTATAGCTGATCAGAGAAAAGAACCTTGAGAAACAGATATTTGGTAACTCCATAAATGACAAAATTCATGCAGTTTGAAAGCTGCAATCCTATACTCACTTACCTGAGCGCAGGACTGGCCTACTCATGAGGCAAGGTGGGGCGATCACTTCAAGCAGCAGGATCCTCTGGGTCAGCAAATCCCAATGTCCATATTTCCCCCCCCCCCTTTGTTACTGAGGTAGATCTTCCCTCACCCCTTCTTCTCTGGTGGGGAGGGGGACGCTGTTTTGAGGCCCCATCTGTTGCCACATGTCTTCAGCCAGTTGCCTGAGAGTCAGTCCAACTGAACTCAGCATGGCTTACTTCTCAGTACTCATAATGTACAGTTGCAGTGCACATAAACTAACAGGAAGTCATTTCAAGTACATACCCCTCTTTTACCAGCACAGCTCTGCATTTTTATACAAGCACTAATGCTTTAGAAGCTCTACTTCTTTTAAACTGACTCTTGCACTTCAGTAGCATGCCTCTACAGACCTGTTCACAGCAGGTTTTATTCTTAGAACAGTGTAATTTTCACTTTTCTTTCTTTTTTTAAAAATGATATTTATTAAGCATTTTAAAGTTACAAAAGAAACAAAGAAGAAAAAAAAACAAAGGAAAAGCAAACAGCAGTCAAACCATACAAATCAATAAAAATAAAAAAAAGACAAAACACATCAAAATCCAAAAAACAAAAGTAAACCACAAACAATTAAAAACAGATCCAATATTCCCAAATCCACAACTGTCATTGCCTTATTTCATCGACCTCCTCAAACCTCCCTTTTTTGTATTCCAGTTATTAATTATAACAGCAAATCCTTCCCATTTTTCATAATATTCTGTCATTAAATTACCTTAATCTATTTTAACCTTATCTTACTTTAAAAAACCCTAAAACTTAAAACTTAAATCTTATTTATACCAATTTCTCATAACCATAACATATTCTTGCATAGTTCTTTTTAACATTTCTGCTAAAGCCAAATAGTTTCATTCCAACATTTTTCTAATACTCATTAATTTTACAAAACAATCCTAAATAGAAATTTTTAAAAAAACTTTCTTCCAATCTTCCTCCAACGTCTCTTCCTCCTGGTCCCGGGTTTTGTCAGTCCTTTCTGTCTCATCCATTTAGTTCATTAACCTGGTAATCTTATGTCCGAGGCCCTTAAGTCTCTTCCATGTCCCTTCCGCAGATCTTCATATTTATACCTGTACTTTACTTTGTCTCCTGGTCCTTTCACTCATGGAAACTCCAACTTGACAGTATTTTTGTCCCTTCTCGACAGATCAGCCCCTTTTCCATAATCCACACTGAACTCCATGTGGTATTTAAAAGCATGTTTCAAAGTCCCTCCAAAGTTGGGGACCCCCACAACCCCAAACTCCTCACGGCCCATTGCCAGACTTGGAAAGTCAAGACATCCCTGCATAGGGGGTAATTTTCACTTTTCAAGTCTTGGTACGAGATCAGATTAGATGGCATTGAATAGCAAGTTTTGGTTACCCCTTTCTCTCTTTTTACTTGATTCCTAATATACTAATCTTCTTAGATTACATGCAGCTCGACTGTATAGTATACAATTGTTACTGCGTGCTGAATTTTCCTCTTAACACCCCCCCCGCTTGATTGCGTGAGAAGGTATTAGTCTCATAAACTTGGAACCCCTTCAGATATTTATTTGCCTATTTACCATGTATTAACAAAAAACCCCCAGACACATTTGTATATGCCTTGGTAGGAAGAGAACTTTTCAAAAATATTGGCACTGTATTTTAAGATACCCTGACACTTGAAAACCAGCTTGCGAGGAAGAACTAAATCTGTTTCATGGGGATGGTATGTACATGTGGGCAATCTAGTCCAATTTTGTCCAGTTCGTGCCCTGAGGCATCATCCTGCTTGGACAAGCCAGCATCTGCCTAACACATGAATGCTCCTTCTGCCAACTCTGTCCTACCATGATGAAAGAGCAGGAACAAATATAGAAAACCTGCTTGTTTAGTTGTAGCGCTGCAACTGTTCTGATTTGCTTGTTTCTGGATATTTATATCCTGCTCTTCTTCTGTGCGGACGCGGGTGGTGCTGTGGTCTAAACCACTGAGCCTAGGGCTTGCTGATGGGAAGGTCGGCAGTTCGAATCCCCGCAATGGGGCGAGCTCCCGTTGTTCAGTCCCTGCTGCTGCCAACCTAGTAGCTCGAAAGCATGTCAAAGTGCAAGTAGATAAATAGGTACCACTCCGGCGGGAAGGTAAATGGCGTTTCCATGCGCTGCTCTGGTTTCACCAGAAGCGGTTTAGTCATGCTGGCCACATGACCCTGAAAAACTGTCTGCGGACAAACGTCGGCTCCCTGGCCAGTAAAGCGAGATGAGCGCCGCAACCCCAGAGTCGTTTGCGACTGGACTTAACAGTCAGAGGTCCTTTTCCTTTCTTTACCTTTACCTTTACTTCTTCTGTGCAGAAGGTAACTAGAGCAGCTTGCAGAATGGAAACAACAAACAATAACAACACATGCGATCCAGAGTAAAATATCAGAAATATGGGGAAGGGATGTAGCTCAGTGGTCAAGTGGGTGCTTTTATGAGCAGGCGATCCCAGGTTTGGTCCTTTGCATCTCTCAGGAAGGGGTGGCAGTGCCCTCTGCCTGAAATCTCGGGTAGGTGAGACTGTGCTAGATGGAGCAATGGTTTGACTGGGTGTTAACGTGGCTCCTTTTGAGAGCTATGCAGTAGCGCTTAAAAGCACAACTTTTAAAAGGGCCAAAACCCCACTGAATGAGTAAGTGTCACATTTCAATCTCATAACATCACTAAGTTAAAACTGGGCACGTGGGGAAAGCATCCCAGTACACAGACCATCCAATCTCAGTTGCGGATTTGCACTTCTCTGCAAGAAAATTTGTTGCTTCCAGAAATTCTGAAGAGGCTAGTGCCTACGATGGAAGAGATGGTTCACTCCAGTAAGCCTCAAACAGGGGTGCCAACTTGAATAAAACACAGCCCCGCCCTGCATAATCAATCACATCACGTGGCACGCACACACCATTTGAATGGCAACTGGGGCGGGCATCCCCCTCAAATATTTTATTGGGGGAGGCAAAGGAACCTCGGCCCCCAGGAGTTGGCTCCTATAGTCTGGAGCATTTAGATGAAAAGCAACCTTACTATGTATATGGTTCAGTCCACAGCTGGTTGATAGCATCTCTAACGAGGAAGTGCTCGCTACCTGTTGGAAGTGTAAGAGTTTTGTCGACCCTTCCCCCTGCCAAAAAGAAAAAAGATAAGGCACCTTCTATACTGTAAGATGGCATCGCTTGTAAGTTTCGTTTTTGAAAGATGCTCACAAAGTTTTACATCTTGCATGTTTCAGACAGCTGTGGCGCAGAAACTCATAGTGTGCGGACTCTCCTTGTTGTTTCATATGACTGTTAGCAAAACTTTGCCTGTAGAGTACAACATCGATGAACATTTCCAAGCAACAGCTTCGCTGCCTACAAGGGTTATCTACTTGTACCTGTCTCTTATGGCTGCCAGACCTAAATACTACTTTGCGTGGACGTTGGGTAAGTAGACTTTTTTTTTAAAAAAAAGAATGTTCTTGCGCCAAGCTGTGTCATGTTGCATAGTTTGCAGAATATGTTTGAGACACTGCCCTCCTGTGGATGGTGAAAGAACTATGGATTCTTTTGCAAGGCAGTAGGAGGACCTTATTTAACAATATTTCTGTAGTGATTAGATTGAAATAAATCTGAAACAGGTTTAGAAAAGTAAAAAAAAAAGGCATTCATATATAAAACTGGGCTTTCATAAGAAGCAATAAATGAAATGATTTGCTAGCCATTAGCAATTTATTTCAACTGGATTGCAGCTTTAAGATGTTGCATGTCAGCTATAAAGTTGGGGGGGTGATGTATGAAACATTATTTTAAAGAGAGAGAGGAGTGTGATTGCTTTGATTCTCTTCATTTATTGTAACATATATTATGAGGCTGTCTTTTGAGAACCAATGATTCTCTTCATTTGTGGTGAAATAGAGACAGCAGTTTCCTCTTCTGCTCCAGAAGTTAAATTATTTAACCCATTCGTTTTAGGATTGCTTTTGCCAAGTGCAGTTCATTGTGAATGATCCCTAGGCTTTGTATGTGTATGTGTGCACCTGCACCTGCATTTAAGCTTTAAATGCAAGCGTCACAGACTGTGCTTTTTGCATTTCATTACCGCTTACCCCCACTGTTCGCAGTAGCTTCCCTGCTATATCCACGTGGGTGTAATCCCGCCAGCTAAAAAAAGCCACTTTATGCATCCAATGAAGTGCACTCTGCTCTCTAGTCCATAAAAGCTTGGGCCATAATAAATGTGTTAAGTCTTTAAGGCTCCATGAGACTCTGTGTTGTGTTTTACTTCACCCAAGCATTTTTCATCATTAGAATAATTTACTTACTTTGGTACCTGCATTTCACAATAAATGGTCATTATATTTATACAGCTCTTTTAAAAATAGGTGTGTGCGTCTCTCTGTGTGTGTTGAAAGCAGTAATTAAAAGCAGTTGATTTCAAAACAGCAACATTTCCGCCCCCCCCCCCGATTAGGTGTACAGTGGTACCTCAGGTTAAGTACTTAATTCGTTCCGGAGGTCTGTTCTTAACTTGAAACCGTTCTTAACCTGAAACACCACTTTAGCTAATGGGGCCTCCTGCTGCCGTGCTGCCGGAGCACGATTTCTGTTCTCATCCTGAAGCAAAGTTCTTAACCCGAGGTACTATTTCTGGGTTAGCGGAGTCTGTAACCTGAAGCGTATGTAACCTGATGCGTATGTAACCCGAGGTACCACTGTACCTTCATATCAGCCAGCAAGGCAAGTTTTATGTTAACTTTGCATTTAGTCATTTAGAATATAGCAATAGATTATCTATAATTCTGACGGAAAAGTTTTATTTATGCCAATGAGGGAGGAAAAGAGAGACTTACTTGCTTTTGATAGTGATGTATATTATGACAAGAGAGCCAGTAGGGGTCAGAAGCATCACAAAGTTTTATAGCTGTGATTGATGGCAAATAGTATTGTTATGGGAGCTGTTGTCACTACAGTTGTAGAAAGTATACCACATTTGTGGTGGCAGAAGATGTCAATGATGGCTGGGAGTTTGTTAAGAGGGAGATAGTAAAAGCACAACTTCAGGCAATGCCAATGAGACGGAAACATGGAAGGTGCCTAAAGAAGCCAGGGTGGCTATCTAAAGAACTTTTAACTGAGTTAAGATTAAAAAAGGATGTGTACAAAAAATGGAAAAGGGGGGAAACCACCAAAGAGGAATTCAAACAAATAGCCAGCACGTGTAGACACAAAGTCAGAAAAGCTAAAGCACAGAATGAACTCAGGCTTGCTAGAGAGGTTAAAAGCAACAAAAAGGCTTTTATGGGTATGTTCGTAGCAAAAGGAAGAACAAAGAAACAGTGGGGTCACTCAGAGGAGAAGATGGTGAAATGCAAACAGGGGACACAGAAAGGGCTGAACTCCTCAATGCCTTCTTTGCCTCAGTCTTCTCCGATAAAGAAAACAATGCCCGACCTGAAGAATTTGGAGCAAATGATTCAGCAGAGGAAACACAGCCCAGAATAACTAAGGAGATAGTACAAGAATACTTGGCTAGTTTAGATGTATTCAAGTCTCCAGGGCCAGATGAACTGCATCCAAGAGTATTAAAAGAACTGGCAGATGTGATCTCAGAACCACTGGCAGTCATCTTTGAGAATTCCCGGAGAACAGGCGAAGTTCCGGCAGACTGGAGGAGGGCAAATGTTGTCCCTATTTTCAAAAAGGGGAAAAGAGAGGACCCAAATAATTACCGCCCAGTCAGTCTGACATCAACACCAGGGAAGATTCTGGAGCAGATCATTAAGCAAACAGTCTGTGAGCACTTAGAAAGGAATGCTGTAATCACCAATAGTCAGCACGGATTTCTGAAAAATAAGTCATGTCAGACTAACCTGATCTCGTTTTTTGACAGAATTACAAGCCTGGTAGATGAAGGGAACGCAGTGGATGTAGCCTACCTTGATTTCAGCAAGGCATTTGACAAGGTGCCCCATGATATTCTTGTAAAGAAGTTGGTAAAATGCGGTCTTGACTATGCTACCACTCAGTGGATTTGTAACTGGCTGACTGACCGAACCCAAAGGGTGCTCATCAATGGTTCCTCTTCATCCTGGAGAAGAGTGACTAGTGGGGTGCCATAGGGTTCTGTCTTGGGCCCGGTCTTATTCAACATCTTTATCAACGACTTGGATGATGGACTCAAGGGCATCCTGATCAAATTTGCAGATGACACCAAACTGGGAGGGGTGGCTAACACCCCAGAGGACAGGATCACACTTCAAAACGACCTTGACAGATTAGAGAACTGGGCCAAAACAAACAAGATGAATTTTAACAGGGAGAAATGTAAAGTATTGCACTTGGGCAAAAAAATGAGAGGCACAAATACAAGATGGGTGACACCTGGCTTGAGAGCAGTACATGTGAAAAGGATCTAGGAGTCTTGGCTGACCACAAACTTGACATGAGCCAACAGTGTGACGCGGCAGCTAAAAAAGCCAATGCAATTCTGGGCTGCATCAATAGGAGTATAGCATCTAGATCAAGGGAAGTAATAGTGCCACTGTATTCTGCTCTGGTCAGACCTCACCTGGAGTACTGTGTCCAGTTCTGGGCACCACAGTTCAAGAAGGACACTGACAAACTGGAACGTGTCCAGAGGAGGGCAACCAAAATGGTCCAAGGCCTGGAAACGATGCCTTATGAGGAACGGCTAAGGGAGCTGGGCATGTTTAGCCTGGAGAAGAGGAGGTTAAGGGGTGATATGATAGCCATGTTCAAATATATAAAAGGATGTCACATAGAGGAGGGAGAAAGGTTGTTTTCTGCTGCTCCAGAGAAGCGGACACGGAGCAATGGATCCAAACTACAAGAAAGAAGATTCCACCTAAACATTAGGAAGAACTTCCTGACAGTAAGAGCTGTTCGACAGTGGAATTTGCTGCCAAGGAGTGTGGTGGAGTCTCCTTCTTTGGAGGTCTTTAAGCAGAGGCTTGACAACCATATGTCAGGAGTGCTCTGATGGTGTTTCCTGCTCGGCAGGGGGTTGGACTCGATGGCCCTTGTGGTCTCTTCCAACTCTATGATTCTATGATTCTAAGTGACACATTTTTCTTTCCTTTAGGTGTTTGTATTGAGGAATAGTTCATTTTTGTTTGGCTATTAAGCAAAAAGAAATAAGTAAGGTTTTCTCTCATTTCCATTGCATCTGAAGCATATGATTAAGATTTTAGTGTGACTACAAAAGCACAATACACTTATAACATTAAATTATCACCAAAGCCCACATTATACCAAGAAGTCCATACTTTATTAGTTAGGCGTGTGCATGAAATGAGAGCATCTTCTCAGACTGGCAGAGAATTTTTTTTTATTACCTTTTCCCTTCTCATTTGACTGAAACTTCTTTTATTGCAACTTTGAAAAGTGTTTTAGATGTCTTGCATCATCTATCTGGTCAAACCAGCCTTGTCGGGGACTTGGCTTTTCATTGAAAATTGTGACCGGCGTTACGAAAGCTTCTAAGTAGACATTTCAAACTTAAAAACGCGAAAGAAGCCGAAATGTAAATCTCATTTTATATGATTTTTAAGCTTCTTGCAAATTATTCCCTTCTTTCTTTGCAGCAGATGCAATTAATAATGCAGCTGGGTTTGGATTTAGAGGATATGATAAAAATGGACTCTCGCACTGGGATGCAATTTCAAATCTAAGAATTCTTCATATAGAGGTTGGTATATGGATCTTCTGAAAATGTTAATGGAAAATGTTGAAAGTTGGATTTGTATCGGGCCTTTTCTGGTAGAACTTTAGTAATGAGATAAGTGTAACGTGAGACGGGAATGGAAGAATTCCAGTTGCCACTGGTGCATTAAACTCAATTATGGAGACTAGCATTCAGGTTGCTAAAATGAGCAGCTTTGTCACATTCCTCCTGTTGGGTTACTAGCCATCTTGCTCCCGCTGTCTCCTCCTTATGTTCCATTTCCTCTACTGGAAATGAGGACTTGCATTCTCCCTTTATGAAAAGAGAAGAAGCTGAATTGCCTCCTTTCTTCCCATGTGAAGAAAAGGAGCATTGCTTATGTAGAGGAAGTCTTCCCATCCTACGTAGTAGATGGTGCCGGTCCATTGCTTTGAATGGAGCACATCAAAGAGAAGGAAACAAGTGATGGAACTTCTGCCACTTTTTAGGTGCCTGTGTATAGTGAAAAGTTCAGCCCCGGCCAACATTTCCAGGTTTTCAATTTAGAATCCTCATTACTGCACTTTCAGAATTCTGTTTCTTGAACAGAATTTTGTTGTAGAGGGTCAGGGCTGAAAGAAGAGATTTTTTATTTTATTTTGGGGGCCAGCTGTACACGTTTGTCTCCTCAAATGGCAGGTCCCCAAGCCACTTTCTTGAGTTAAGCTCTTGGAGGATAACAGTTGCTGCAGTATTCAGCAGTTTCTAACCTCAGGCAAGAGTGACATAAGGAATATCCACTGCTGATCATGCCTAAATTGTGTGGGTGTGGGTGTGACGGGCAGCACTCTTTTAAACTCTTGTTTGCCCAGTGGCACTATAAGAGAGGCATAGCCTAAATATACTTAGACAAACCTTGAGACAAACCCTTCCACATCCTGCGGCACTTGCTATAGGGGTGTCTGTGTTTGTTGTGGAAGGGGCACACTTGGCAATCCATCCCCACTGTGAGTCATGAAATGCTCCTGGTATAATGAGCGCACCTTCGACAGTGTAGCCTCTTCATCTCTGTTTCCATATGGTGGAGCCAGTCAGTGTAGCATGCGACATGTCTAGGTGATTGTCAGCCACAACATTTCGAAACGCAGCCAAGATGGCTCAAAGTAGATTATACTTTTGTCCCCACCCTTGAAAGAAACCTTTTTCATTTGCCCATCAATACATATTGCATAATACATACCTCCTTCTTCTTCTGCGATCACTCGTAGCCAAGTAAGGTTGTAACTAATGCATATCAATACATACTGCATAAGGGACGCGGGTGGCGCTGTGGTCTACACCACTGAGCCTCTTCGGCTTGCCAATCAGAAGGTCAGCAGTTCGAATCCCCACAACGGGATGAGCTCCCGTTGCTCTGTCCCAGCTCCTGCCAACATAGCAGTTCGAAAGCATGCCAGTGCAAGTAGATAAATAGGTACTGCTGCGGCAGGAAGGTGAATGGTGTTTCCATGCACTCTGGTTTCCGTCACAGTGTCCCGTTGCGCCAGAAGTGGTTTAGTCATGCTGGCCACATGACCTGGAAAGCTGTCTGTGGACAAACACTGGCTCCCTCGGCCTGAAAGCGAGATGAGTGCAGCAACCCCATAATCACCTGTGGCTGGACTTCACCGTCCAGGGGTTCTTTACCTTTTTACTTTATCTTATTTCATAATAATATGATCTCTTTTAAACCCTAAGTAATGACATAATGATTACCTCTGCTTTACAGAAATACAATAACGGTGTGTTAATTTTACAGTTCTCAACAAGTTTCAAGATGTTTCTTGATAACTGGAATATCCAGACAGCTCTTTGGCTGAAAAGGTACTATCTGTTATCTATTTTTTTTCTTACAAGCCTGTCGTAAAAAGAGTCATGTTATGCCATTCCTAAGATGCCAAAAGCACCAGACACATTGTTTACTGGCCTTGGCGAATGCAGGAGAAAATGGGTGGCCTTTGACTAAAACCTTGTCTCCTAAGAGACATTTTATCAGATGATTTGTGTGTTCATTGGGGGCTGGGACTCAGTGCACAGAGTCCCTTCTAAGTTTGAAACTGCCAATGATAAATACATTAAGTTATTTCTGCTAGGCTTTATTTTTTTTTTTTTTTTTTGCTGAGCTTCACTTCCTCCTGTTTTTAATAAATGTATTTTTCCTTGGATTTTTAGAGTATGTTATGAACGGGCCTCCTTCAGTCCAACAATACAAACCTTTATCTTGTCAGCCATTTGGCATGGGGTATATCCAGGATATTATTTAACATTCTTAACAGGAGTACTAATGACAATGGCAGCACGAACTGTAAGTACCGCTGCCTCTCTGCTCTTGCCAAAGAATTGTGCGGATTCAATGCGGCTCTTAACGTTTACATTCAAAACCTTAAATTTGTAGGAGGGAGGAAAATATCTGCTTTTTTTAAAAAAGGCATTTTGTAGTCCACTTCCATATTTTTGACTGAATTAACCAACCAAAGCACCAGTGTCTGAGTAATATAAGTGAATAATTGTGTGGTGCTTCTTCAAACTTGAAGTGGCAGAACATGGAAATTATTACTCTGTTTCCATCATTGTAGAGGAAAAGCATCAATGAATGACTAATTCAGGATGACCTTGAGCCTCTTTGGTGGTTGCCAGATGGTTGCCTCACCTTCTTTAATGATAGAACAGTTGCTGGGAGTAATGTTTGGAACAATTTATTTGACAAAGGTCAGCTAGAATGTATGTCTTTATCAGCAACTGCGCATGACATTGATGCATTTAATGCATTCAACAACTAGTCAACCCCTCTGCTGGGAGATGGTGGTAATCAGGATTGGAACCCTGGCAGACAGGAAAGGGACATTTAACCCTTTCTGTTTGATGTATTACAGTATTTTAATATTTTTTTGGAAGCCGCCCAGAGTGGCTGGGGAAGCCCAGCCAGATGGGTGGGGTATAAATAATAAATTATTATTATTATTATTATTCTCCCCACAAACTGTGACCCCAAGCTACTGCTTCTCCATGAAGAGAACACATTTAAAATAACATCCAGTGGGCAGTCTTGTCAGGATTGGTTTTGGGGATATAATTAGTCCTGAAAGGACTAGGGAATAGGAGCTTTGGGAAACTGGCAATAAAACTACCAGAGGGTTGCCAAGTCATAAGCAATCACAGTGGGTCACTTAATAAGAACAGCTCTTCCATAAATTAAAAACATCCAGAGTCAAAGCCAGAGATGCTTGTGTAAAGCTGGGAGCATAGTGCAGGAAGATGGGAAACTGAGGAGGTGGTAGGTGAAGAAATTTGAATGTCTGTTCCCAGCAAGAGACAGTAACAAGCAGACAAATGCACTGTTTTTACCTATTCCAGAAAGAGGCCAAGAACTGATCAGGAAATTTATTACAGCCAGCTAGGGGTGGGGCGGTGGCGCTCACCTGACGTCTGGCCACCCATGTTACTTACTGCATACTGGGATAGAGGGGAGGAGGGGTGAGGTCAGTGCTGTGAAACATGTCTGCAGCAGTGCTGGATTGGCTCCACTGGTGCATTTGCATGGCCCCGCCCTCTGCTTTCGCCCTCTCCATCCTGGCATGCGGTAGCGATGCTGGTTGACTGGAGGTCAAGCGAGCACCGCCGTCCCACCCTGCTATTGGCGGCTAGAGCAGAAAACCTAGAAGATTCTCTATTTGAGGGTCACGTCACAGCCATTCATCACATCCTATATGATTCAATCTTAATAAAAATTGAAGGATTTTACTAGAACGCAAACAATAATATTAGAAAATGGGAAGATGACGAAGTCAATGTAATGTCATTTTAATACAGATACAGTGGTTCCTTGGTTTGCAACTGTTTCGGATTACAACCATTTTGGATTACAACCACGTCAAACCCAGAAGTGCGTGTCCCTTTTTTTGGATTACAACCCCCCCTTTTTTTTGGATTACAACCCACTTTTTTTTTTCAGGCTCCATTGGCGAACGCGCGCCTTGGGTTACAACCTGTTTTGGTTTACAACCAGACCTCCGGAACGGATTATGGTTGTAAACCAAGGTACCACTGTATGTATATTTTAATTTTAAAAAATACCACCTAGCAGGGGCCACACTACAGCTTTCAATGTTATGAAAACCTTATTGGATCAATAGGTAATCAAGGTCAACACTGTTTGCTTTCTGTATTTTGGCTGCATCTAGATGTAGCTTCTTGTAACTTCTGATGACTACCTATTCTGTGATGACGATCCTGGTTCTCCTACTAATTATTTCCTCTCTTTTTTTGGTTTAGATTAGAAAGAACATTAGGCACTACTTTATTGACTCCCCAGCCATTAAATTATGTTATGATATCATGACATGGATGATGACTCAAGTAGCAATAAGTTACACGGTGGTCCCATTTGTACTTCTCTCTGTAAAACCATCATACCTGTTTTACAGGTGAGTTGACACTTTGTGTTTTTAAAAAAGATTTAAATGGCGAGTGGAATTATTCAGGGGTTCTCTCTCCCTGCCCCCGAAAGCTGAACAAGTAGTAATCTAGTCTTCAACTCCATTTGCAGAGAATTTCATGTGATACTTGATTCTTGGTTGAGGGATTGGGCAGATGGGCGAGGGAAGGTTATGGAGTTAAAGTAGAAAATCTGAACCCAGGTATGTTGAACAAGAAGCACCCAGTGGCCATCATCCACTTTTTTTCCACAAGTTTCTTAAGAAGGTGATGGTACCATCACATGCTTGGAAGAAGCCTATTATCTGGACCCATTCCAGTCGGATTTCAGGCCTGGGTATGGCACTCAAACTGCCTTGGCCGCCCTGTTCCAGTGAGCTTTGTTGGAAGAGGGACAAGGGAACTGCAGTCTTGTTTGTTGCCCTCCAGCTCTCAGAAGCTTTCAATACTGTTGACCATGGTACCCTTCTGCAGTGGCTCTGGGGGGCTGGGAGATGGGGGACACTGTGTCCACAGTGATTTCGCTGCTGCCTCAGAGGCTGATTTCAGAGATTAGCAATGGAGGGACCTTAGGAGCTAACTTACAGGGTTCCCCAAGCTTTTTGACACCTATATAGGACAGAACATTGGGGAAGTGTAACGAATCCAGAGAAGATGGAGGTTCTGAGTGTGGGAGGTTCTCAAGTCCAGGAAGTTGGGGGGCTGCCAGTTCTGGATGGGGTTGCATTCCCCTAGAAGGAACAGATGCTTTGCTTGGAATAATCCTTGATCCTTCTATGCTGCTTAAGGTCTTGGTGCTTAGTATAGCAGGCCTTCTAACAAGTAGGTCAGTGTTTATAGCTTTGTCACAAAACACTCCCGAGTTCAATTTGACTTAATATAGTTTCCTCCCCTATTTTTCATTATTTTTATTTGCTTAGTTCCTGTTACTTCTGCCTCCACATAGCCTGCATTTTAGTACTGTTGATATCTCCATTGAAAAGAACTCAAAAAGGAAATAAAGAGCAAGAAAGCATCCAGCCCTCTTGGTCCAAAAAGCAGGGTCAACCTGGAGGAGGAGGAGGAGGAGGAGGAGGAGGAAGAGATGATGAAGAAGAAGAAAAAGGCGTCATGGGACATAACAGTTACTCCACGGCAAATAATTTCAATCAGAAAAGAGAAATCACCTGCAGAAATACAACACTGAAGCAATGATTAGGAGATGCTATGATGGATATATTTTATATTTCGAAACCCGTTTATAGCACCTTTTAAAAGGGGTTGTTGTATTTGCCTGGAAAAGATGGGTTAGTAAGGAAAGAATGCTATATATCCCTAGGGAATATTGAATACACTAGTAAGAATGGAAACAAAGCAAATTAACCTCTCCCGTGCCATGTTCCTGTGGATCACGCCTTATGTGAAAATATTACCATTATTTCAATGGGCACTCAGGACTTGCAGCATATGTCCATTGGGTCATAGGTGTGCCCCTTTGCTGAATGTATGTTGCGCATCTCAAGGCACTTACGGGGATGGTGGGTCATTGTGTCAATTCAGAGTAACAGAAGGAAAATACCTTTAACAAGCAAATGCCTTGCCTTAAACCCTCTATCTACTGAAATAATGTTTCTAAGTGGTATTTTCATAATATGTGGGAAGCATAGTTCAAATATGGGGGTTTTTTGGGGGGGAAACAGAGAAATGGAAGTAGAAAGTCAATTATAGCGTCTGATAAGAAGGAATTGCAATAAGCATCTCAGTATTTGGAGGGTTTTCTTAGTATATCGAATTCATGCAGTTCAGGACTGCAAACATTGCCAATGCAGAAGTGGTTCATTTGATCAACACTCATTATAAGAACTCTTGGCAAATTTCTTTTTTAAAATCAAAATTCACCCTTTTCAGGGTGTAATGCTCTAGTTTTATGGGTTCTTTTCTTTTTTGCTCTATCAGTATATATGAGTTTTGCAACTAGATACAAAATGGCAGCCATAATAAGACACTCACAGAGTTTCTGTTAAAGCCACAACTTTCCAGTAAAACTCATCCTTTTTTGTCATGTAGAAATAAGAGTGACCTTAAGATAAAGTCACTTGGAAATTTTTGTCAGAGATGTAAAAAAATAATTAAAAAAATAGTGTGAGAAAGTGCTTATGATATAAGTATAGCCAGATTATATTATGGTTATAATTCAGTTTATATTAAACAAAGAGTGAAATTGTTAAATAGGTATTGTCTAGCTCATCTTTGACATTATATATCCTGTAACACTGGAGAACCTGTGATTTAGGAAATCCCTAAACCAGGATTTCATTCATGGAGGGTCATACTGTACTTTTTGATAAAATATTCCCAACTGTTCTGTTCTCTAACAATTTTATTTTGAAACTATATCAAAGTTGATAAATATTAATCACTTTCTGGTGAACATTAACAACTGCTAAAGAATTGAAGTACTAAAGGGCTATAATTTTTATTTTTCTTCTTTGCACACCATTTTCTTCGTCTTTAGTAAATGGGAACCATTTTAACATTTAAAATGTAAAGGAAGTGCCACAGCAAAAGTAATGAAGATCAGAATTGTTTCTAAAACAATTTTATTATTTCCAATAATATTGTATCTCAGTAATAGGAACCTGTGGCCCTTCAGATCTTGTCGAACTACAACTCCCACCAGCCATTTGCTATGCTGGCTGGGACAGATGATAGATGCAGTCCTCTAGATGTTGTTGGACTCCCAAGTTCCTCATCCCTCCCCTAATACAGTATATAGCAGCTGACTGAATATTTTAAGTGAGCAGAGAAAGGTAAAATTAGCTCTTTGCTGTTAGGGATGTAGAAAACAAATGCGTTTTCCACATGTAGAAATCTCAAAGCATCTTAATCCGCACAGATTCATATTAAAATCAAGAGTAAGAAATAGGATATATTTCTTGTTTAGAGTGTTCCACTTCTTTTCATGGTCTGCCTCCATGATATCCCGGGATAGTTAGAGGCAGGTGCATTCTGTCTAAGGAAACTGCAAACTAACGCATGTTGTTGATCTCATTGTTAGAACGGAAACGCAGAATGGAATATGTATTTGAAGATCAGGGCTTTCACGCTGACTTGTGTCATGGAAATGAATATTAGCGTTAGAATAAATAAACTTGTAATATCTTTGGAAATTGTGCTAACACACAGCATTATTCCATTATCATTATACTAAAGAAATGCATAGAGAGAAGTTGCAAGGGAAGAGTTCCATATATTGCTGATGGGAGTTCAACACAAGAGAGGTGGCTTTTTGTGTTTCTGAGTGTGTGCACATACCATAGGATCTCTGTCAGGGGAGGTAGGGTAATCTAGTAACAGGAGGCTGGAAATCGTTCCCCCATCCCCAACATTGTCCATAGAATCATAGAATTGTCGAGTTGAAGGGGACTCCAAAGGTCATCTAGTCCAACCCACTGCAATGCAGGGATCTCAAGTGGATCATACATGACGTGTGGCCATCCAACCTCTGCTTAAAAACCTCCAGGGAAGGAGAGTCCACCACCTCTTGTGGGAGTCTGTTCCACTGTCAAACAACTCTTGCTGTCGGAAAATTCTTCCTGATGTTTAGTCAGAATCTCCTTTCTTTTAACTTGAAGCCATTGGTTCAGGTCCTAGCCTCCAGAGTAGGAGAAATCAGGCTTGCTCCATCTTCCATGTGACAGCCCTTTAAATATTTGATATCTCCTCTCAATCTCCTCTTATCCAGGCTCAACATATGCCCAACATCCTCAACCGTTCTTCATAAGACTTGGTTTCCAGACCCTTGATCATCTTGGTTACCCTCCTATGCACAAATTCCAGTTTGTCATTATCCTTCTTAAATTGTGGCACCCAGAACTGGACACAGGTGTGGTCTGACCAGGGCAGAATAGAGTGGTACTATTACTTCACTTGATCTGGACACTGTATTTCTGTTGGTACCGCCTAGAATAGCATTAGCCTTTTTTTGCCGCTGCACCACACTGTTGACTCAGGTGGAATGCTTTATTTTTCCCTAACAAATGGTAGCTGTTTACTTAAATGGGGAAAAATAAAGGGATGTATTCTTAACAGCAGTAGGAGTTGACCCCCACCTCACCCTGGCTAATCTCAGAGTTTGAGTTGGGGGCAAGCGTATTCACCAGCTGTGTCCAAAATGGCAGCCCATTCTTCCCTCCCAGTATTCAGTGGGAACCTGCTTAGTCCATCTTGCTTAGTCCATTCTGACTCCTGTTTCTATACATTAAGCTAAAGGTGAGTCTAGATTAAAGGTTGGGGGTTAACCTAACTTTCCCACAAACACATACACATTGAGAAGCCAGTGTGGTGCAGTGGTTAGGGTGTTTGACTAGGACCTGGGAGAAAAGGGTTCGAATTCCTACTTAGCCATGAAGTTCATTCAGTGATCTTGGGCCAGTCACCCTCTCTTAGACTAACCTAACCTACCTCACAGAGTTGTTGTGATGATGATGATAATAATATGGGGAGGGGGAGAGCCATGTATGCCACTTTGAGCTCCTTGGAGGAAAGGTGGGATTTTTATAAAAGCATAAATAAATAAAGTAGGTGGCCTGATCCTGCCCATAGCAATAGCAGTGGCCTCAGTTGGAACTAGAATAGTGAATGGGCACAGGATCAAAGGTTCTTCTATCCATATCTTACTCATCTGTCCACCTGCTTTTCCCAACCAACTCTGACTCCAAGGACCTGAGAAGGAAGTGTGGAATGTATTCCATCCACACCAAGCCAAAAGTTGCACTGAGGATAGACGGAAGTGGAAAGGATTAATTCCTTAAAATCCAGTTGTCTTCTCCACTGCCTATTAACATAATACTATGATGCTATTCGGATTATTGCATGAATATTATAGTTGCATAATATCTACATTGATAGACACTTGCAAATAATATATTTTTGACATCATACATTTGCAAACATGAATATAAAGTTCTGTCCTGTGATGCAAAAAGAAAAAAGAAAAAGGTTTAGTGCTTACGACTACTCATATGCACACATACCTAGAAGTAATCTTATTGAATGCAGTGGGATTCCAACATGCATTGAGTTGCGCAGTGAATACACAACTGATTCTCTGCTTCATTATATCTAGTCCTATACTAGATTGAAAATTCAGCTCAAGATAAGCAATTAATTGTATGACTCTCTAGTTCTTTCAACTGTAAACAAAATACATTCTTAGATGCACATGAATTAGGCTTCATTATAGCCGCAGTTGGTTCAAACTAACAGTGCAAACTAACTGATACATATCTACTCAAAAGTAAGTCGGTTGAGTTTAATGGATTATTCCCACGTAGGCAGTAAAGGATTATAGCCTTATTCTCAATCAAAGTAATGAGATTAAAGTTAATCAGGACTTGTGGCTTATATGTTGCATTCATTTCGGTGAGAAACAACTCTTTACTCCCACTGGATTGGAACCAGGAATTAGAAAAAAACACACCATTTGTCTAATTCTAAGTGAGTTGATATTTTCAAATAGTGATTTCAGCCAGAGGAAATCACTGCAAAGTCTTAGTATTCCAAATCAGCCTTTAACTTCTAATTGCCACTCCATAAATTAAGTTAGGATTCATCTGAACCTAATTTATACATGTCTCCATTGGCTAAACGTAACTTACTATTATTGCCTGCCTTCTTTTTATATAAAGTGCATTTACAAATTTGCATTCTGAAGTCAATTCTGACTGCTTGCAATTTAACATGAACCTGACTTGTCCTAACAGCTACCCGTGACTCTTAAACATTTCCATATATTCTTAAAGGAATATACTGACACAACAGCTCCATAGTCAGCAGAGTTTTAGCTTTAAAGGTAGGATATCTTAAAAGCCTTGGCATCCAACTGAAATTTGACACTTGTAAGTTGTTTAAGGGGTAACTGTCACTTTTGCAAAGGATATTTTGCTTTTGATGATGCATTTTGTAGTACATTGTTTTGAGAAACGTCGCATTTGAACATTGCTCTTTAAAGAAATGATTTGTCAAAAGACCAGAATCCAATCACCCAATCTGTTCCTTTAATAATAAAATGGTTAGGCTAGGATCCAAAGAGCCACATGCTCTCTCTTCCTACTGTTGGGCCTTGTACCCCTCCCCAAAAACACAATCTTAAAAGTTGGGGACACCTGAAAAAGCATAGGAACCTAGTAGGCTGCCTTGTATCAATACTATTTGACCATCAATCTTAATATCATCTACTGTGACTAGTAGCAACTTGCAAGGGGGTTGGGTAGAGATCCTCCATATGTCCTTTGCAAGATCCTTTTAATGGGATTAGCCCTGGAGTTTTCCAAATGCAAATCAGTGAGGTATGGTTCCTCATTCAGTTTGGTACAAAGAGCCGTAGTGCCATGGGGGAAATCAGGACACGCAGATCAGTGCTTTTCTGCATGGGGTGCCTGGACCTGGCCTCATCTTTTAAGGTGCCACCAAACGCTTTGTTTTTGCTAATGTAGACTAACATGGCTACTTTACTGGAATCCTGTCCTAGTTACTCAAGCATAAGTGCCATTGACGTCCATAGGGCTACCCATGCATAGCAGGTGCCAGGATCGCCTATGTTGTATGGCTGAAGCTCTCATCTCTTGGATGTCGTCAGGCTGTGTGACATTGAAGTGGACTTTGGCTTTTGTGAGCTGGAGCTAACAATATTGGGATGGTGGTAGCCTGTTGCCCCACCTTGGCAAGAGCAGTAGCTACATAGTACCATCCTTTGTTAGATGACTGGCCTCAAAGGTTTCTAAGCCGTTGTCTTAAAAGTTGAGCCATTTCCCATGCTATTAATTGGTTCTGGTAGGTTTTTGCTCTCGTTCCTGCTAAGGTTATAGGAAACTATGTGTGGTCTCAAGGCTCACACTTTGAAGCCTGGCATTAAGCAAACCCACACACTTCAGATTTAGTATTTGCAGTTTCTTGCTCTTTTGTTTTTATTTTGGATGACGTTCACTGCAAATATTCATTCAGCCACTGATGTCTACTATATCTGGGCAACCTGCTGTGTGAGCAACAATAGAGTATTGGAATCCTTTTCCAAAGGAAGAAGTTGGTTGCTTTCAGACGAGTGGCTGTTTTTTAAAACCCTGAAACAGTGGGCTGCATCCAATCTTGCCTGAGCAGATTTCTAATGGTGCAGTGGGACTTTCTTGCTCCCATCTTCCCACAGAATCCCGAGAATTCTCTCTGGGAGATCAGGGGACCCTCGGGAAAGGCCTGAGATGGGATGGGATGGGAAGTTGCAGTGGGATGTTGAATTTTGTGCCAGCTGCCTCCCAATTTTAGGCAACCCCTCTCCTCTTGCTAGATCTCAGGCCTTGTCTGAGGGCCCCTCTTCGCAGAAGAGGCTTTTTAGAGGGGGCTGTGGTGGAATAGAAGGGACGGGAAAGTGCTGTTGCGCAAGCACATTTCCACTTGTGCGACTTTCCGTACCACTTCCTGATACTTTAACCCTGGTATGTGACTTCGATCCTGGACCCACTTGAAAATACTGGAAGCTCTCTTTCTACCCTTTTATTCAGCCCCACTGTCCTGCCCGTCTGGGGAAAAAAACTGCTGTTACTTTTGGCATTTACTCAGGTGAGCCTCTTTGGCTTCATCGTCTGGTTCGCTGTTGCTACAAGACACGTCGGGCTCATTTGGGCTCTTGTATTCCCACTTAACATGCGAGATGTGCTGCCTCCACCTGTAGATGACTCAGAACTTCGTTTAGCTGTGCATATCAGCACTTAGACCAGAAAAGGTTTTATAAAAGGAGCATTTGCCTACACTTTTTGTTGTTGTCGTTGCCTTGAATGTATTTTGTCAGGTTCTTAATGTTTAATGACGGTCTCATTTCATACCTTTGTTTTCAATGTTCATTGATTTTGACTCTCTTTGAAGTCTTTGGATGTGTCTTACAGTGGCAAAAATGTCATGCAAATACAGTAGTATGTAGAGAGTTATTCTTGAAACAGACCTCAAGCAGATGCTAGCTCAGAGAGAAATTTCTATATGTGTATTGAAAGGAAACTAGCACCCCGATTCATGATAATTAAAATAATATAAAATTATTCAATATAGGAATATAAATATGAAATTTAGCTATTTCTTACCTGGCCACATATTGAAGGGGTCTATTCTTAGCTCAATGCAGAGATAGTTATGCTCCCCTCCCTCCTCAGATAATCTGCTTTTTGAGATGAGAATATGCTTCAAAAGTGGATAGTTGCAGTATTTCCTCAATTTGCCTTCCCTGATTGAAAATATAAAGGCATTGCCCATGAGTTTCATTTTTATTATTCCAATATATATATATAAATATATTTTTAAAAAATTGTTATTTTTCAACAGATCCATAAAATTAGGTCTTGGTGTATGGTAATTTAAAATACCACTGTGTTAGTTTACACTGTGATGTGATATTTTAATAATTACTTATTTCTAGTTTTGTCTCAAGAGATGCTACGTACAAGTAGCAGACTGCTATGTTTTAAAAGGTGTTTTTAACTTGCCTATAAATGTTTTTCTAATTTGTGTCTTTCAAATCTGATTAAACAGTAGTTTAAAAAAAAGAGAGGCCTGGGATTGTTTTTCTCCATCTGTTTGGTGCTGTTTAACTTACACAATGCGATGCATTTAAAAACAACTGTTTTATCCCTTCACTTGATGAGAGGAGTCACTGCAAAAAGACGCAAACAACCCCAACTTCTACAGCAGACCTACAATTCACTTACTGAACAGTGTGCAGTGTGTTTTGAAACATACCATGAGCAATGTGACTTTATAAATGAAATCTGGAGATTTAATAGAATCTGGTCCGTCTGGAGCCTGTTCAAACATTACTTTTTACAAATGCAAGTGAAGTTATGTTACTCCCTTATCTGCAAATAGGGGAAACGATGTTATGAAAACTGGTAGCATATGAGTCTGGCAGCTCTTTCGTCCAGATTATCCTTTTTTTTAGTGGTTATCTCTTTCCATGCATTTGGAAACATTGCTTTCTGTAGCACGAATACAGATGCACAGTAGATTTGGTTCCCAATACGTTCTGAGGAAACGCTGTCTCCAAATCCAGCTGGTTGCACATAATGGGACTTTGAGATTACAAAAAGCCAGACTCTGACCAAAATTTTACTCCGTGGTGAGAGAGACTCCATTTCTGATACTAGTGCTCTGAATTTTTTTTCAGAGGCTGACAACTCTGCACTTGCATGTCCAAAACTCGAGCCAGTTCTGATCCAGAATCGAAAGAAATGGGATTAAAAGACAGGCTATCTATGTCTGTTGCAGACTTCCAGAGAAGTTGTTTGATTGGAGTTGCACTAGGGGGCACTGTTGATCTCTTATCAGAATGCAGGGCAGGAGCAGTGGGCAGAAGCAACCTCTTAAGAAGAATCATTGAAATGGAAAATTACTTTGGAAATGGTGAGATGTGGGGATAAGGGTCAAAGACGCGTCTCTCGAGAAGCAGCTGACAACAAAGCTGCAAAACAATACAATTAAAAAACACACCACAATGGGAGGAATTCAGCATCACACACTTCCAATTGTTCCATTCATACAAGCATTTCTGTTTGCCTGGAGGAATGATTCCCCTCTGCCTGCCATGTGGTTTTCTGGGGAGTCTCCAGACCCTTCCCCACCCCGAGGAGAAAAAGTCCTGCTGTGCCACTTCCTAGTACAACTACTTAACTTGAATCCAACTCGCTTTCATGGCATAGCTGTCAACTTACAGATCTGAAAATAAGGGACCAGCAGCCAAAATAAGGGACCTGCAGCCTCACCTGTTCCAGGCACTCCAGTCTTCCTGTCCTCCTGCAGTCTGGTCAAACTCATGCTGGGTAGCTTCAAGAACACTGTCCAACCAACTTTGTAACCAGAGGTTCAACTGAATAGAATCTGAATCACATGCACCACAAGGCCTATGCAGCCTCAACTTAAGATGGCTCCCCGGCCTGGCTTTGCACTGCAAAGTTTGCAGCAGCACGTGCAACAAAATGGCGTCCAGCACTCAAAACCCCCCTCAGCTTGCATTAACTAGCCGCACACAAGGCATGCAAGCTCCACCCCCCAGTCGTTCTTAGACTTCTTATTGGGTGAGCAACACCGCCAAGCAACACAGTTGGAGCCTCCCTCCTCCCTGGCTGGCAGGGAGGGAGGGAGAGGAGCTGCTTCCTTTGAAATTTAAGGAACATCATTTAAGGGACATTTAAGGGACATCCATCAATAAGGGACAGCAGCGGGACATGGCGCTGGAATAAGGGACTGTCCCTTCAAATAAGGGACACTTGACAGCTATGTTTCATGGGTCAGCGGAAACCAGACAGCACCCAATCAGGGGTGGAGTTAGCTGCTCCGTCACCTGGGGGCGGGGCCATGGGGTGGGGCGAGCGTCCCAGGGGCGAGGCAAGCACCCAAGAGGGTGGAGCAAGCCACCCATGGGCTGCTTCCTGGCCGGTGGGGGTAGGGGGAGGAAGTTGTGCTGCTCTGCCAGCAGCCTTCCTCCCTTCCCTCTTCCTTTCGACAGCTTGGGGGAGGTTCCCACCCCCAGGAAGCAGCCCGGGATCGGGGGGGGGGCAAGCCTCTTCAAGCTGTCAAAACGAAGGGGTGAAGGGCGCTAGCAAGGTGGCGCAGCTCTGCCCATTCCCCCGACGGCTAGGAGTAGGCTTGGGAGTCGCAGGCAGGTGGCGCGCCAAGTGTCACCCCCCTCCGTAAGGACACTCAGGGTGGGCCGCCCCCACCTGCCCCCTTCCTCCGCTCCTGCACCCAATAGTGACCCAATGTGGCTGATATTGGGAGAGGTACTGTTTTAGGTGGGATGAGGGTGGTGCTGTGGGTTAAACCACAGAGCCTAGGACTTGCCAATCAGAAGGTTGGCGGTTCGAATCCCCGCAACGGGGTGAGCTCCTGTTGTTCGGTCCCTGCTCCTGCCAACCTAGCAGTTCGAAAGCACGTCAAAGTGCAAGTAGATAAATAGGTACCGCTCTGGTGGGAAGGTAAACGGCGTTTCTGTGCGCTGCTCTGGTTCGCCAGAAGCGGCTTAGTCATGCTGGCCACATGACCTGGAAGCTGTACGCCGGCTCCTTTGGCCAGTAAAGCGAGATGAGCGCCGCAACCCCAGAGTTGGCCACGACTGGACCTAATGGTCAGGGGTCCCTTTACCTTTACCTACTGTTTTAGGTGCTATTCTCTTTCCCAAGCTACTTAAAGTATATGAAAGTGTTGGGAGCCATCACCCTGGGATTTTTATTACGGATTCCTCTCTCGCCACTACACCTGATAAAAGAAAGAAAAAGTGTATACCTTTTAGATATATGAGCGATTTCTTTTAACATTCAAACTGGAACCTTCATCCGTTTCCTGCGCTCTAGTTCCATTCCTGACAAAGTAAGACTGCAGTCGGCAAAAACACTTGTTCTGAAAAACCAAGTTAGTATTTTAAAGCACTGATAAAATCCAGTCTGTCTTTGTTAAACAAACAAGAGGCTAACCATAGCCCTGAACCTCTAATGAAAGGTGGGAAAGGAAAATTTGAAACAATGCAGCGTTTTCACAAAACACAGCATTCCAGAAATTTCACTGCAAAAGAAGCTGCCTTATATTAAGTCACACCACTGACCCATCTAACTGATTATTGTTGACACTGACAGGCAGCAGCCAGGAATTGAACCTGGAGCTTTGTGTCTGCAAAGCAGGTTACCCACTACGGAGCTACAGTCTTCCCCCTAAGTCCCAACACATCTTCCTCGAGGTTTGTCAAACAGAACTACAAAACAAGAAACTAAGAACAAGGTCACACGTTACAAAATGAGACTGTAGTGCTTGCTTCTCAGTTGTCATGGAAACCTAGCAGTTCTCCCAGTAATTTGGGACTGAAAATGATTGGAGAGTAACAATTGGCCTACTTGGCTTTTTTGGATTAGAGCAAATGGCAGGAAGTTTTAATAGCTGGCATGATTATTCTCTGAAGCCAGTGCTTTTGCCTTCACAAATTATGTACACAGAAGCAGCGTGATATCTGGAGGGAGTTCATTGGGCCAAGGAATACAGTATGAGGACCTCCTGGATTTTCAGTGGAAAACGAACCAGATGCTAATCCAGTGTGGTTCCAACAGAGCTGTGTCAGACTCTGTTTGTAGTTTACTTTGCTTAGCTTAAATGAAGGATGAGGATTCTGCGGCCCTTGGGTAAACACTACAACACTTATTATGCTTGACCACTGACAGTGGCCTGGGGCTGATGGGAGTTGTAGTCCAGCAATATCTGGAGGACCACAGGTTCCCCCACTTCTGGTGTATGAGGAGCTTGGAGCTACACATTAGCAATATTTACTTGTCCATTGTCTTTTGTTGTGGACCAAAAGGAGAAAAGAAAAGAGCTGTGTAGGCAATGCTGAGAGAAACTAGGCACAGAAGGGCTTAATGAAGGAAGTTGTCCTTATCCCCCGCCCCCCCATTTCTACCGCCAACAAAACAACAAGTGTTCTAGACTGTTTACAAAGAGCACAAAACATAAAAACCCCATAACACACACAAAAGTAACACAAAAGAATGGGAGAAACTAGGAAGAGCCAACACTACAGCAGAAATAAAACGCTATGCTGAAAGTTTTTTTGGGGGGAGGGAGTGTTATGGTGATGGAGCAGCAGTGGTAAATAGGGAGACAAATGAATCGCTAGGGGCAGAGATTTCCATACCATAGATTCCACACAGTGCTGGTTGGTGCTCATTGGGACTGGTAGGGCAGAAGACAGAAAGCCCACAGTAGGTAGATGCAGAGCCCACTAAACCTTGTTTTGCCTCCTATCTTCTCTTTGCTGAGTTCGCCAACAAGCAACATGGAGAAGAAGAAAGAGGAAACTGACAGTCAATGACACTCCCTGAGCTGGATATGAGTAAGAAGCTAGGCAAGTTGGGGATGGCTGAAGGCAGACTGAAGTTGGTGGGATAGTGCCCCATTTACCCTACTGGTGCCAGCCTCTGTTGGTGCCACAACCAAAAAATACCTCCTGTTGTATCCCCACAAGCCAAACCTCAGGTGAGAAACATAATGAGGCATGAGGACCTCTTTAGATGACCTCATGAGGTATCTGTATGTCATTGTCACAAAGGTTTATGGGAATCGTGATATAGATGCATGGTCAGTTCAGCATCTTAAGGCATTTAAATATGCCTATTATAAGGCCTTGTCTGCATAAACTTGCCATCCTGACCTGATGGAAAGTTTAATTTGTCCTTGCCCCCATCACACCCCTCTGGTAACTCTATGTTCCTGTCAGAGAAGGATCAGGGTGCAAATCCCACACCCATTTTCTGGGGTATAAATCTCACTGGATTCAGTAGGATTTCCTTCACAGTGGAGGGGTTGTTAATTGGCTGTAAGAATAATCCATCTCAGTCTAAACTTTCCTGCAACTGTAGGATCAAAAGGGGCGATGCTTGCAGGCCAATCCTTAGGAAGCCCAATTCAACACTGGATTGAGCTGTGACCAGTGCACTGCAAGGGTTAGGATATGAAGAGCACTTGGCAGCTAGCTTGTGTTCATCAGTGAACTGAATGCCCCATGAATTCAGGTTCCTTAGGAGTTTAAGAAGTGCATCTCCAATTGTGAAATCTGAATGGCAGGCTTTAGAGAATATGTCAGCTTTCTAAGTTTCCTGCTGTTTGCGTTAATCCTAATACATGAAAAGCCAAGCAAGCCAATTAGTCTTGAAGCATTTTCAGTCTATTCCTGGAAAAGAGCCGACAAAATAGTTGCTAGGTTTCTATGACAATTTAGCAATGCTTAGATTCAGGCTCATCTTGAAATGAATTCTAGGAAAGTCACATGACCTTAATCAACACCCTCTTTTATATTTGGCTGTTTGCCAGGTTGGAAGTCTTCCATTTCATGACATTTCCAGAATTCCATGCTTAGTAAAACAGCAACAATAACCTTGACCAAACTGGGCATCTATGCAGATATGTGTAAAATTATCCCAATGTTCCTCACCTTTTTTTGGGAAGGGGGAGCCGTTTTCTTAAAGGATGCCCATTTATTCTTTTCCTCCCTTTAACCCACTCTTAAAGGCATTCTCTCCAGGTAGAGTTTAAAATAAACATCTGAAAATGCTTGCTACTGTGCTGGAAAGGGCATTATACCTGGGGAGTGCAGTTACAATTTCAAATTACTCACAGGAACTATTATTAGAGTTGTATATACCCTGCAGTCAGGCTCTTCCTACAACTTCTGATGGCAGCAATTAACTTTACTCTTCTCTTAACTTGTTCATAAACAGAGGACACTCCCTTCTGTAACTGTTTTATAATGTTTATGGGCTAGATTACTAGTTCCACAGGGCAGGGCAGGGTTAGTAAACCATATTTTTAAAAATAGACTAACCCTAACCGCATTTACTGGCAAACAAGTGCCCCAGTGCAGAGCATAGGATGGTTTGATTTCAAAAGATTTAGGCATCCAAAGGTCTATGCCTCTCCTCGCTAAATTCTATACGCATAGACTCCAGGTTTAATCACATTTACTCGAGAGCAAAAACCCCCATCAAACTTAATGGGATTCCAGAATAAACCCAGTGAACATGATTGCACTGCTAACCTCTTGTTGAGTGTGCCTACAGGAAGGGCCGGCCTTCCAGAGGGCCTTCTTGGTAGTGGCTCCAACCCTGTGGATGTCAAGGAGATGAGTAACTATATAACTTTTAGAAGACATCTGAAGGCAGCCCTGTATAGGGAAGCTTTTTAAGGTTTAATGTTTCATTATGTTTTTTATATGTGCTGGAAGCTGCCCAGAGTGGGCTGGGGCAACCCAGTGAGATGGGCGGGGTACAAATAATAAATTATTATTATTATTCTATGAAGCGAAATGGGAATCAGCGCCTCCTGCCTCAACCACTTCCATGGGCGGAGTGCCCTGGCTCTTGCCGAACTTAGCTGCAGCCAAGGTGGCACCTTAAAGCATCGCCGCTCCGCTTCTCTGTGTGCTGGAGAGCCTCTGCCCAGTACCGGATTAAACCCTGTGGAGGTCCCTAGGCATTTGAAATCTTGGGGGTCCCCCCACACCCCCCTGCAAATTATCTCCTAATACTTGGTTGCAATTTTCTTTCAAGACCAAATCAATATTATTTTGATCCATTGCCTCACAGAGTGGGACAGCGCTGCATACAGTCATATGGCATAAACGTGTTATATGGGATATAGCTCTTAATGATAAATTAACATGTGCCGTTAAGGTAAGACGGGGAATGTGCAGGAGAAATTATTTCGAGGAGATATGGAAGGTGTTTGCAGAATTTCTGCTGTTATAACAGGAAAGGGCTCAAACCATCGCATGAGGTGCTGAAATTTTGGGAGGTTAGCTAGTTACAATGGAATGGTCTCAGTCAGGGCGGGATTTAGATTTGACGAGGCCCTAAGCTACTGAAGGTAATGGGGCCCTTTATATGTCCAGCTGTCCTTCATCAACAACAAATTGTTGCTGTTTTTTGTGATGAATATATGGTAATTTATGGACCTAATAGGTATTGAAAGCCATTTGCACGTAACAAAATATGTATTTTATCAAAGTAATTGTTGACCTTATCTTATATTTTGGAAATGTACATCCAGTTTCCCCCTTTAAATTTTTTGACGGCCCCCAATAGAGTGGGGCCCTAAGCTATAGCTTGTTTAGCTTATATGTAAATCCGGCACTGGTCTCAGTGGTGGGGTGCACATTTTTTATTCTTATATATTTATGATTATTACTTGGTCAAAATAAAAAAATAAAAGGGGGGGGGAAGGACTTCCCGGAATGTGTGTGTGTGTGTGTGTGTGTGTATGTATATATGTATATATATATATATATATATATATATATATATATGTATGTGTGCTATAGATTTTGTTTCCTTTTTAACTCCCTCTTCACAACCAAGAGGTGTATAATATCAACGTGATAAAATAAAATAAGGAAGGAAGGTGCATAGCTGTCAACTTTTCCCTTTTCTTGCGAGGAATCCTATTCGGAATAAGGGAATTTCCATCTCAAAAAAAGGGAAACGTTGACAGCTATGGGGGGGTGCCACAGGGCTCTTTGTTGCACAGTAAACGGAGAGGTCGGGTCCCCCCCCCTCTGTGGAGCTCTTGACATGGGCGTAGCCTGGATTTTTGTTGGGGGGGGGGCGACAGAAACTCAGATTTGTATTGATTTGTATTGATTTAGAGAGGGGGGGCTTTGCCACCCCCATGACCCCGGACACGGGGATGCCGTGTTGTGGTTCAAGCAGACCCAGCCCAGCAGCGCTCAACCCCGAGCAGAGCGCGCCTCCTGCCCCCGCCCCGCCCGGCGTTCAATCTCGCCGCTCTCAGGCTCGCCCGCCTCAGCCCGAGAAGGAGGAGGAGGAGGAGGCGAGCCGCGCCCACGTGACCGCGCCGAGAACGGAGCGAGGGGCGGAGAAGGCAAGATGGCTGCCGCCGCTACTTGCGGGGAGTGGTGAAGGAGGAGGAGAAGCTCCAGACCCTCGCCGGGCTCTGAGGCGGCCCTGACGCTGCCACGACGACCCCCTTCGCCCTCTTCCTCCATCCAGGGTCTCCCGTTCTTGCTGGTAAGGAGAGTTTGATGGGCTAGGGGCTCCGGGGAAGGGTGGTCGTGTGAACCTGTCAAAACAAAGGGAAGTGGAGCCGGCACCGCCCAGCATCCTCTTCCTCCCCCAAATCCCACCACCTCGCAGTCAGGCGGAGGAGCCATGGTGGAAGGCACAGAATAGCGGCGGTGGGGCTGGTTGTCGCTGCCCAGTTACTTTTGGAGGAGGACAGGTTGCTGCTTTAGCCTCTTCAGTATGTATTTCTTCCGCCCTCCCCCCCTTCCTCGATGACGTCCCCGAACGTGTGAATGTTTTGGACGCGCGTCTGGGTGGGTTCTTCTCTTCAGTCCCCGCTTGTTTGCGGTGTCAGTCAAAACCCCGCGAGTTGGCGTTGTCTTGGGGGTGAGAAATTGTAGGACAAGGGGGTCGCTGTGTTAGGCTGAAATCCTGCACTCGTTTACCTGTACTCAATGGGGTTTATTTCTTTACCTTGTCGCCCTTTTATTTCTTAGTAGATGTGCGTGTGGGTTGTGCTGTGTCACAGAAAACACACCCGTCTTTTGTGTGCCTGAAAGTCTAACCAGTGTTTTTTGGTGTATAAATCTCCCCGTTTAGCCTTTAAGGAGCCACTGTTTTTTCCTAGTGGGAATGAGTAATTGGTTTTCCCCTAAGGAAACAAAACAGACAAGTAATCCCATCTACCAGGGGATATCTTGTAAACCTGTGTAAAAGCAACAGTCTCAGATTTAACTCTCTGTGTGTGTGTGTCCTTGCATGCATACTCATAAGCAATACCTATTGACTTAAATGAGCCTTACTTCCAGGTAAGTTTATTTCATTGCTGCTTTATTGTAGCCTTGTCTTTGGTGCAGTACATGAAGGACATCTTGAAGCTTATTGTCAAAGGAGACGCTGTCTAAGCATGGTTGATGGCTGAATTTTGTTAGCATTGTTATCTTAACATTTTTTTAAAAAATCAGAGAATAGAATTCATACTATTGGCTGTGTGCTAGGTGCTGTGCAGACACAGTGTCTAGTTGATTTGTAGTTTAAGAAATGCAAGAATGAAAGTGAATGGAGAAATGGCTGGAAGCCTTCCAGGTTTTATATGTGCCCTAAGAACAGAATGGTTTTTTTAAAAGAACATGAAAAAGTGGAATTTCAAAAACAGCACATGGTAGGTATGAGCAATAATGGTTGCCAGATCCAGTTAAGTATGTGGTGTCTGAATGGTATTACAGTATTCATGTGAGTGGGTGGAAGGATATATTGTGATCAAAAATATTATCACTGATTGTGATTATAGTAATTCCTTTATTTTTAACTTTTATTTTCATTCAGTTAGCTATTTCTTTCATTTTCTTGTAACAGGAGAATAACGAGAATATTTACTGAATTACAGTTGTAGAGGAATTAATGTGTTGAGGGGTGGGGAATCCAAGAAAAGGGAAGCAACAGTGTTCTATAAGAATTTGTGAAAACAAATGATTAAGAATGAAGAGTAGCATTAATTATTTTGGAAGTGGTGAACCTGCTTATTATTTCTATATTTGACTGGGGAATCATTATATAGGGTTTTCTGAGATGAATACATCCAGTGTTTAAAATCTAAATGTTCCTGAGGTTATTAATAATTATGCAGTGTTTTTAACTGTCTGGTGTTGGCCTCTTCATATTCACTTATTTATACAGTGGTACCTCAGGTTACATACGCTTCAGGTTATAGACTCCGCTAACCCAGAAATAGTACCTCGGGTTAAGAACTTTGCTTCAGGATGAAGAACAGAAATCACGTGGCGGGGGCGTGGCAGCAGCGGGAGGCCCCATTAGCTAAAGTGGTACCTCAGGTTAAGAACAGTTTCAGGTTAAGAATGGACCTCCGGAACGAATTAAGTATGTAACCAGAGGTACCACTGTACATATCTGAAGAATTTTTATCCTTCTCTGACCAAAAAAGATCCCCAGAGTAGCTGTTCCCTAATGAGATGTGCCGGGTGCTAAAATTAATATTTTTTTGGCTTTAGGCGAAGACTTTTCTCTCCTCCTAGGCATTTGACACTTAACCTGCTGGGTGTTTAAATTGGTCTGTCTTCCTCTAGTTATGAGATGTTGCTTTTAGAATTGTGTTGACAAAGTGGTTGGTTGTTGTTGCGTCTGTTTTTAATTCTTGTATATTGGGTTTTTTATATCAGGTGGCTATGAAATAGTATAAATAATAAATAATAATTAGAGATCAAAAGGGAGACAGTCCTTGTCCTCAGACTTACAGTCCAAAACAGGGGAGGGCTGGAGGGGAGGAGGAAAAAGTCAACCCAGGCCCCAGGTATTAGTTACAAACTCATAGAACGAACAGCTCGGATTGGAACTATTTTGGAGAGATGACAAGCCAAAGGTTTCTGCGCTCTGAGTTGGGCTAATAGTGGCCCTGCTTTCACTCCCTCTCCTATAGTCCGATGAAATAGCTTTTGCCAGGTAACAATTCATGGAGGGAGGAATATAACTGAATGCATTACAAATGATTGTGTTATACCTGTATAGTGTTCTTACTAATGGCACCTGTTGTGTGTGTGTGCTAGGTCTGTTTGTAGCCTTGCAGATCAGTGAGTGATTGTGTACATCATGGATAGGAAAACTAAGGCCTGGGGGCTGGATCTGGCCCAATCACCTTCTAAATCCGACCCGCGCACGGTCCGGGAATCAATGTGCATTTACATGAGTAGAATGTGCCCTTTTATTTAAAATGCATCTCTGGGTTATTTGTGGTATTTATTTTAAGTATTTCTAAACCACCCAATAACAGTTTCTCTGAGCCAGTGGTATAACTTAGTTAGTAGACAGTCAAGTAGTGTAGAAGAAGAAGAGGAGTTTGGATTTGATATCCTGCTTTATCACTACCCGAAGGAGTCTCAAAGCAGCTAACAATCTCCTTTTCCCTTCCTCCCCCACAACAAACACTCTGTGAGGTGACTGGGGCTGAGAGACTTCAAAGAAGTGTGACTAGCCCAAGGTCACCCAGCAGCTGCATGTGGAGGAGCGGGGACGCGAACCCGGTTCACCAGATTACGAGTCTACCGCTCTTAACCACTACACCACACTGTAGAAATGAATTTCATGGAAGATGGAAATGGGCATGGCACATGCTGGCCCACCCCACCTCCTTGTGTAGATCAGAGTTTGAACATGGAGAGAAAAGGCTTAACCTCTCTCCCCACTCTTGCATATAGGGCCTGAATGTGGAAATACTCAAGTTATGGTAAGTGTGTGGCCTCTCCTGTGTTTCCCACAGTGTTTGACTAACTGCCCAGGACATCTAAGGCAGTTTTAATATGTTCGTATTGGGTAGTCTGAATATACTACTGCTGGGTGAAGCTGCCATCGTGGTCTTGATATTGATACATCACCCAAGCCTAGTACTATGTATCCTAATGAATAAAGAAATTAACACCTTAGAAATGTGTTTCATAGAGTGCATTTCCCCTTTTTGAGCTATGTATAAGTGTTGCTAACACAGGAGAAGAATTGAAATGGGGGGGGGGGGGGCAAATGAGTGTTCCAGCCATTACAGGTTTGGGATTTCTGTTGAGGGAGGCGCTGATTTAAGCTTTGGGTGTGAAAACTGTATCTGATGCTGCTCCAAACCATCCTAGATGGGACAAAATCAGATGATGCTTTGACTTATGGTAAGACTTTGTCATCAAGCAATGATAGGAAAATTATGAGCTTTCTCCTAGTCAGAAGCAGAAATCCTAACAATAGCACTTCCTTTTGAACTATCACACACACACACACACACACACACACACACACACTGACCCATCATCCGGCAAATCCTAATGAAGAGCATGTTCTTTGTGAACCCCGCTAAAACGTCCTTAGCATTCCTGAAGCTTCTTGGGTGGTGTGATGGCACTAATGGTTTGAAAATTGGAGATAAGTATCCATTCTGCATATTGCAGAGAGATGACTGCAGAATCTGCAGTTGGATCTGATAGATTGTAAATGGATCTGAACAGCAGGTATCACCCAGGCCTAACTGGTATTGTCTGCCTCTGTCCTAGACCTAGTTTTCAGTTGTGTTTCTGCAGGAACAGCTCTTTCTGTCTCATCCCTTGGCTGTGTCTGTAGTTGGTGGTATAACACTTATCCCTGTTTTCAGTCCATATATAGTTACTGATTTCTAATATTTTTGTACTTGGAAGTTTCAGTTGCTCTTTCAAAAAGTTTCTCTTAGTCTTTAAGGTGCAACAATACTGATTTTTGTTTTTGCTGCAATAGATTAACATGGCTACCCGCCTCGAAATGGTTAGAAATGAGTTTGTGTGGCCATGGTAGACGTTCATGTGTAGCATATGACTTGCAGTAATTGACAGATGGAAACACAACAGACCATAGTGCAGAAACTTCCTTTGATGTGCAGCAGTATGTAACTCTTTTAAGAGTTTTCTAGGAAGTTGCATAGTAGACTGTTTACATGGCAGTTTTTAGAAACTGTTAATTATGAATAAGGCAAGCAGAATATGGCAATTACTTGGAATAGCATGGTTAAGAAGTAAGTGTTACTGTTGAGAGCTATTATCTTTCAACCTTTTCCATCTGTCTTACGGCAAGTTAGATTACTGTGAAATTCTTCTCCTGTAAAGGGAGTACAATATGTAACCATGCCAAAATCTGTTCCATATTCTATTATTCCAAGCTTATAACAGACAGTATTAATATTTCACAAAGTTAATACAGTACAGTACTAAGATTCATTGTAAATTTGAAAGGAAATCTAGAATAACTGAAAGTGCAATCCTGTGTATATCTACTTGGAAGTCAGTCCCATTCATTTTAGTGGGACTTGCTTCCAGCCAGGTAAATGGGTATAGGACTGCAGTGTGAAACTATGACTTTCAAAAGCCTCCTCCATCTGAGTTACTGGAGGTGGGAAAATCCTGGTATTTAAGTTGGCTGATAAGTTTGGAAATATCTACAGTAGTACAAAAAACATTATAAAGTGCAGTATAGTCAAATCTGTATCCATATATGCAATCTTTTTATGTGAAAATTTGTCAAAAATACCTCCCCACCCACCCGCAACAAGTCCATAAAAGTAAGAGTCAAAAATTAACTTACTTCACCATTGCATATATGTGGCTGAGGGCAACATATGTTGATGACACTTCCTGCATTTACACTGTATGTGGGTTGCTTTTATGTGGAACTGTCTGCGGACAAATGCCGGCTCCCTCGGCCTGTAAAGCAAGATGAGCGCCGCAACCCCAGAGTTGTCTGTGACTGGACTTAACTGTAAGGGATCCTTTACCTTTTTAAGGCAACATAAACATGCTGTAAATATTTTTTTAAAATTATTTTACTTCCCCCTTTTTATTTAAATGAAATTGGTACAGTGCTCTTGATATTACATAGGTTCAGCCTGTCTTGCAATTTATATTGAATCTCAGGCAGTTGTGAATGTTGCCATTTCAAAACATACATGCTGTGTGATATCACATACACATGGTTCTTTCAGGAATTTGTTTTTGGCTTCACTGATGTGTTTGTGTTTTAATGGTGATTGCTTCCAGTTGCTTAGAATATTAACTTCATCACCATTGCCTTGTTACATTTTGTCTATTCTAGCAAGCCCCCATTACCATTGTACTGTACAACATTTTTTTGTGTGTATAATAGTGACTGGCCGCATGCCTCAGTGTCTGCAGCTGGAGAGGAGAAAAGTGCTAAGAGTAGTTGCCAGGACTAAATTACATGGTATGGAAGTAGAGAAAGAAAGCATCCTTGAAAGTCATTAATTTACTGCATGTTTACTCACCTGTTTGTTTCTTGTTTACCTCTTCCGTATGTTGATTTGGGCTGCCCCTTTCTCCATTCTGTCACTTTACGGGCTCTAGTCATTAGAACTAGTTTGGCTATCTCCTTGCTGCTGTTTGCAGAATCATTGTTTTATAGCCTGTTAGGGATAGGCACAGAAGGTATGATAATGGCATATGAGGGTTTGTTACATGTCTCTAGTAATTGGGCCTATTCAAGTGGCTTTGCTTGTCCTTAAAAGTCGGAAAGGGTTGGAGGGTGGATTTGATCTAATTCTTGTACAGTTGAGTTGTACCTTGAAAATCGAATGGAATCTGTTCCAAAAGTCTGTTTGACTTCCAAAACGTTTGGAAACGAAAGCCCCGTCAGACGTCTGGCTTTCAAAAATAGTTCGCAAACTGGAACCGTCACTTCCAGGTTTGCAGTGTTTGGGAGCCAAAACGTTCAAGAACTACCGTAAGCTGTTCAAAAACCAAGGTACGACTGTATTATGAAAATAATTTATATTAATAATCATGTTTTGGAGAGCATCTGGGATAGCCTCACAGATGGTGGGGAGCAGAAAGATAGATGGCATGAGGAATGAGACGAGAGTTTGTTTTCCACTTTGAGTTACTGCTTGAGGTGTGCTACTGCTTGCCTTGGTCGACCAGGTGAGCAGCAAACTGCATGGCTGATAAAGATATCATGTGCTCCACTGGTTCACTTCAGTTGTCCATTTAACCACAAGTAGCAAGTTTAACAGGCCAAAGATAATATTTTACCTTAACATGGCTAATTTACTGAGAATAGACTAGAGACCAAATATGACTACCTGAACATGCTAACATGCAATAGGTGGGTTGTTGTTTTTCCACTCCGTATGAAGTTGGAGACCTATGGGGAGTGTTAAGAGCACACAAAGGCTCAAAGCTTTTATGACTGAAGAATTTGTTAAGGCCATCTCTAGGGCTCAGGCTTATTCCACAAAGCAGTGAGACTTCTCTGTCTTAGACAGGAAGTGCAAAGTTACAAACACCAGCTTACCTCAAATGCTGCCTCAGCAGCTGGACTTTCTGCCCTTCAGGCTTCTGTTTTCATTCACCTGCACCATATTGCCTTTTAGGGTCAGCAATCTAAAGATTGGGTCACCTCTAATGCATCACTGAATGCTTTTACTCATGTGTATAAAATCAGTAAGATGTGTTGTCGATCTTAGCTCCTTGTTTCTCTACAGATGACAACATGTATGGCTGATAAAACCCCACAGGGTGCACACATTGGTCTCTTACATATACACCACATATGATGTGCCCTTAAGTGACTTTTTTCCCTTTTTTTTTGCAGGGGGGACTATCTATCCTAACAGACTATTGAAGGAAACATTATTTCCACATTACTGTAGCATCAGTCGCTTGCGGTTTATATTGAAGTCGCAGAGTAAAGCAAGCAACATTAAAGAGAGTTCTCTGCTGACTCAGCAGCTAAGTTATCACAGGAGTTTGAAATGTGCAAAATGCATATATAGCAAAGCAGCAATTGCGTCTTACTTTTAAGCAGTGTATATGCTGGAAGCGTAGGTAGCAAGCTTCCAGAAAGCACATTCAAATCAAGGCTTGGTAGTGTAATTAGGGGAAAGTTGACCCAGGTATCCAATCTGAACAGGAGTGCAAAATTGGTGAAATTATGTGATGTTTTCTGCTCTGTTTAGGATAGCTAGAAATGTTTTCAAAGCAGTAGGTAGCAGCTTTGTAAGAAGGAGCCAGTGCTTTTCAAGGGCTGTGAATCCAGTTTTTACTGACAATTTCAGATGAAATATATGATTTATCTCTCAAATTGTTGTGTAAAAATTTGTATGGTGCCTGGTTGTGCTTGGGTGTGGTAGGACACAGAATAGAGGGACCTGACCTAGTTGTGGAAGTTAGTTATTGCTGCTCATCTCAACAGTTATGTGCATACAGGATAACTGAGAATATATGACCCGATAGATGTCATGTAGGAAGATCCATTGTATTCTGGGGAAGGTGTGTTAATTTTTTTATAGTTGTTGTAAGTTACATGCATGACAGAAATTGCAAATGGAATAAATTATTTTACAAACTAAGTTACTAATCAAAAATTTACCTCAAAATAATTCGTAATATAAATTATAGTTCTTTTCAGTAAATTTCCTACCTTTATGATTATGTCTCTAATGCACTGCCAATTTTATTAGACAGATTACCTCCATAGCTCCAAACGGCCATTCTCTCTCAGGTTTCTACTTTGCTTGCAAATGTGAGGCTTGCAACCATGAATAAATAAATACAGAACAGGCTCATATAAGTTTACAGCAATTAGTAATCTTAAACAGGTAAGATGGCAGGTCAGAGATCCTGGGTTTATATTAACTTCAGTCATCAGTGGTTTTGATGCTGCTTTTAAAGTAGGAAAACTAAGAAAGTAACATACCTCTGTAATCTGTATGGTGTAATATGCATAGTTCAACATTGCCCTGAAAACTGGTTATTTCAGTTTGTTATAAAAATCAGTTTCTCCCCAAATTTGATCATCTGTGCTTTTCCTTCTGTAGTTGTACAATGTTAGCAGAATTGTAGTCCATGTATTATTTTTTTTAGTTTGCTAATAATGGTACAGTTGGAGACATTCTAAGAGGAAGCAAATCTTATTTTAGCTGATTTCAGGTAGCTTACTTAAGCTTGTCTTCTAGAATAGTTTATTTTAAATATCCCACAGTAGCTAAGAGAGTAGTATAATGTTTCAGTGCAGTTCATTATTATACCCTTATTGCAGCCTTGTTGACAGTTAGTAGTTTACAGAAACTCTGCAGTGTGGTCCATAGTTAATATTGCCGATGATGTAGGGCTGAGACTGGTTTAGATTCCTGTTCATATGCACACGCCATGCGTGAACACACACACTTCTCAGGTTGGAGTAAATTGCCCCCTGTGACCTCCTTCCAGGCTAAATCAAGCAACTCGGCTGCATGCAGAAAAGTTTGATTCCTTTAACTTGCATGCAGACCAGTTTCACTTTAAAATGTTCAAAAAATGGGAGTGGGAAATATATATGAAGTAGGACCCAGGTAAGAGCAGAGATTCCTGCATTTGGTGCTAGCTTTTGTTTTTTCAGCCTCCTGAGCTACAACGGGAGGTTACTGATTCACGCCATGGATAGGCTGCATCATTATTTTGCAAGTCCTCACTTGGAACTCATTCTGGGTACTGATCCTAGTGTAGCTGAAACATGCAAAAGAGGGAGGTATTGGAAGGCTTGGGAGAACTACAGGATTATTTACAGGAATATAAAAGATATTGGTGGGGAAAGTGAAATGGTGGGGAACCATTGAGGACTCAGTGGGTACAGAATCCAGACTGAGCAGAAGGAGAGGGGGGAAAGGAAAACAGGGTGGGGAGGTGGCAGAGAGAGGATGTAGAGTCCAGGGAAACCTGAATAGGAATGTTCTGCACTGCAACATTTTATGGTAGGTCCCATTGACTAAGTTCCATTTTAAGGTGATTTCCCAATTTAAATCAGTACTGTCCTGGATAAGGTTTAAGCAGCCCAGCTCATCTGCCCCGATGGCAGTTGGAGCTCCCAGTGGTTGCTTTGAACTTGAAGTCTCTCGCATCAGAGGTTCTTTGGCTCCTAGCTGTAAAGCTTGTACCAAATAGATGACTAAACATTTAGCAATTCAGTTAAACAACAGCTACCAATCTATTTTCTGTTGAAATCTTTCTGCATTAAAAATGCATTTTAAATGTTTTATTTCAAGCGGAATAAGTGCCAGACAGAACACCCAGAAGCCAACTCTACAATGGTGGGTTAATATTTAAGTTTCGGGGTTGACATTTTTTTAAAAAATAAAAATTTAGCAAAGCTTTTCACAAACCACCACAGCCTCTGGTTTTCTGCTTTTTCATGGACAATCTTCTATGCCACCCTTCTGCTCTCTATTAGTTCATGCCCATGTTTCTCCGTCTCTTCAGGATGACATGGCTACTCCTTACCACCTCATATGTATGCACAAACTTTTAAAATCTTCTGGGTGAGGACTGTATTGCCTCTGTTGTTTGGAGCACCCGGAACAATTTTGGCACGATAGAAATTGTTTCTTGCAGTAGGCTTTCAGTCATTGTATTGTTCCACTCAGTGCAAAAACCTCATGTGATACATTAAAATTGTTTTTCTTGTTAACATAGATAACTAGCATTGTGGAGTTTGGCTAAAGATGGCGAGTCTCGTGTCTCAGAGTTTGGTGACATATGTAGAAGAAGAAAATGTTCCTGCTTTGAAGGCACTTCTTGAGAAGTGCAAAGATGTGGATGAGAGGAATGAGGTAAGATAAATTTGTAATAAATATTTTAATAAATATTGTAGACATACATTTTTATAATCGATAAACATATGCTGCTTTGTTGTTCCACAATGTGGAGGTATGAATTGGGGGGAGGGGAGAAAGAATTTTATTTGATAAAAATAAATTGAGGTTTACTGTATTTTTCGCCCTATTGGACGCACTTTTTCCCCTCCAAAAATCAAGGGGAAATGTGTGTGCGTCCTATGGGGCGAATGCAGACTCTCCTTGGCTTCAGCGATAGGAACGCGAAGCCTCCGAAACCTGCACTCCGGAGGCTTTGTGTAGCTTTCGCTGAAGCCAGGAGAGTCTGCTCTTTGAGGCTGGCGGTGGGGGAAAGCAGCGCTTCCCCCCACCGCCAGCCCCACAAGCTGGGTCGAAAAGCCCGCAGGAGCCGCGCAGCCTTTAAAGAGCGCACCGCTCTTGGGGGCTTTTCCCCAAGGAGGGAGAAGGGACAGACTGGCCGAGTCAGTCCCTTCTCCCTCCTGTGGGCTTTTGTGGGAGATGGGGGAATTCCCCCACCTCCTGCAAAAGCAGGCAAAAGCCACGCGCTCTTTAAAGGCTGCACGGCTTCTGCGGGCTTTTCTACGAGGGGGGACAAGGGACTGACTGGCCGTTTCAGTCCCTTCTCCCTCCTGGTCGAAAATCCCGCAGGAGTTGCGCGCGGCTCCTGTGGGCTTTTGCGGGAGGTGGGGGAATTCCGCCACCTCCCGCAAAAGCAGGGAGAAGGTCTTGGAGTAGCTCACAGGCTGTGTGCAGCCTGTCCGCTGCTCCCAGAGCTGTGGGGGGGGGGATCATATTTTTTCCCTTGATTTCCCCCCCTGAAAACTGGGTGCACCCTATGAGCCGGTGCGCCCTATAGGGTGAAAAATACGGTATTTACTTTTTTCCTAATTGTATAACTTGAAGAAAAGACATCTTTCCCCCCCACTCTCTGATAGTTTCTGTGATGCATATGTATAGCTGCCTGCTAAGTCAGAAAGGAATTGCTTTCACTTGTTTTCCAGCATAGTAACTGTAGAGATCTGTTGGATAAAGAAATAATAATAAAAAACCTCTCTGTAATCTTATTGGAGAGAAACCTCATCAAGTCCAGTGGACTTAACTTCTGAGTAGACCTGCAGAGGATTGGGTATTTTAATACGAGATCTCCATGGTGAAATTGAAGCAGGGCTTTCATTATTCTGGATTAATTAATTAAGGACACCTTTTTGTTTCTGGCTTCCCCCATAATTGGCTCTGGTTTCACATAACTACCACCATGCAGCCCCTGGCAGCTTATCCTTGGGGAAGTGTAGTCCTTGACAGGGAAAAAAAAAGGGTTCCTGCTGTCTGCTGTTGATGGGTTTCAGCCTTAGCCATTTCCCTCTCTTCAATGCTGTTCGCTTTAACAGCATAATTAGGGCTAAACACGCTTCCATTTTATTTCCCATTCCATTTGTTTTCAGAAAGTACACTTTTGTACCAAAATTTATTTCCTGTAGGAAATTCAAAATCCATGTAGAATGGTTTTATTTATTTAAAGCAATCATGCTGCTCAATAGTCCATACTCTATACAGTGGTGCCTCGCAAGACGAAATTAATTCGTTCCGCGAGTTTTGTTGTCTTGCGATTTTTTTCGTCTTGCGAAGCACGGTGTCGGGAAAGTTTTGGAAAAGCTTCAAAAATCACCAAAGTCTTTAAAAACCTCAAAAAAGGCTACCACACCACGTTCTATGAGTTGCTCCTCGAAGTCAAGTCGCACCTGTATTAACGGTGTTAAGAAAAAGGAAACAAACTTGCAAGACGTTTCCGTCTTGCGAAGCAAGCCCATAGGGAAAATCGTCTTGCGAAGCAGCTCAAAAAACAAAAAACCCTTTCGTCTAGCGAGTTTTTTGTCTTGCGAGGCATTCTTCTTGCGAGGAACCACTGTAATCATCAATTGTGATTACTTGGATATGCGAAACAAACATCACATAAATGCTACTTTTAAGTAGAGGTACTTCACAGTGTTCAGCTGATTGTCAGTGGGTGGAAAGATACCAAGTGATGCATATGAATTTGTCAATAATCCATCAGGTGCCCACATGGAAAAGTAGATTTAAAAACCTATCAGAACACCATAATTTCAAGGTGGGGTGGTGTTCTATTGCAGTATAGCAACAACAACGAAAATCCTTTATGAAAATGAATGTTTGATCAGAAATTCTTTTTGGATGAAACAGACATTTACAGTATAATATGGGGGGGGGCCACAAGAAAATAATTAGCAGCAGTAAACAGTGCCCCTTCAGTTTGCTAAAACTTGTAACAGTGGACCCATCTTTCTAATAATGTTTTCAGGAGTTCTTCTACAATTTCTGTTTGTTTCTTTAAAAATTACACTTTGTGTGCCATTGCGAAGCAACACATAAAACATTAGCAGCATTCTTGTATAAGAATCTACCTGTAAGACCATCTGTATAATTTATTAGTTTCTGACAATGTAATTGCGTGTTTCACTTAATTTCAGAATGGTCAGACTCCGTTAATGCTAGCTGCTGAGCAAGGCAACTTAGAAATTGTCCAAGAATTGATAAAGAAAGGTGCCAACTGCAACTTGGAAGATGCAGTAAGTATTGAATGGGTGATCTAATTCCTTGCTGTATTATTCTCTCCTCCTGCTGCATGTCCTATTTTGACCACACAATTCTTTTATTAATCCCTCCCATGTGTTGGACTTGGGAGTCTTGTAAGCATGAAAGGTCCAGACAAGAGTGTGTATGTTATCACTTGCTGCACCCCATATGAATCGGGTACCCTCCAGATGTTCCTGGACTATAGTTCCCATCAATCTCAGCCAGCATGGCCATGTTCTGAGATGATGGGAGTTGTAGTCTATATTACAACATCTCAAGGGCACCACATTGTCCTTCCCTATCCTGGGATAAGAAGTCTATTTCTTCAAGGTATAGTCACTTCACTTCAACTGGTATAATCTGTGGTTTTAGTTAGCTATTGGACTGTTAATTTTTCCTTTTTCTCACTTTAGGATAACTGGACAGCTCTTATCTCAGCTGCTAAAGAGGGACATGCTGCCATTGTGTCAGAGCTACTTAATTGCAATGTGAACATGGAACATCGAGACATGGTATGGCATATGGGACCTTAGGGTGAAGGGCGTGTAATAAACAAATAACATTTTAGTCCTTCAAAATGGTGTAGGCCTTTTTTTTTTTTATTAAGCTGCAGCACAGATAGATCTGTACTTCTAGTAGCTGACAGCATTCTGGGGTTGTGCCACTCGCCAGACCTCCCTCTGGCTGGTGTGGTGTAAACAAGTACAGCAGATTGGCATTTGCACTGTGCTGACCATGCTGCCAGCTCCCCCTCCCAATATGCAGAAGCAACTCAGCCGGAGAGAGGTCAGGTGAGCAGCATAGCTCCATCCTACCATGTGCTTCAGAGTTTGTTCTTTTGAAAATGTATCAAAATTCTGGTAACCTTTGAAATTCTTATGGATGATGGGAGTTGTAATCCAACAATGTCTGGAGTGCTGCTGAGAGTCTAGCCACATCTGGAGGGCCACCGTTTCCACACCCCTGAACTAGAGCAAATTTTCAGCTAAAAGTAGTTTAGATGGATTAATACTCCTTGATTTCATTGCTCAGTAGCAAGTTGTTTGCACCAGAGAACTGGGCTAACAACTGTGAAACATTATCTTTTATGCAAATGCTGAAAATAGATTTTAAAATGGTCCATGTATTGATTTCCTGTGCTAGGGTGGATGGAACGCCCTTATGTGGGCATGCTACAAAGGCCGTACTGAAGCAGCTGAACTGCTTCTTGAAAGGGGAGCAAACCCCAACATCACTGGCCTGGTAAGTTTTTTCCATCTTTGTTTCTATTTGCAGTGGGGATAGTAGGGGAAGAATTCTGCGGTAGAGTAATTTGCCATTATTAGCTTGTGGTTTGGATGCATATTGAGCAAATAGAAATTGAATTTAAAGTTCTCCTTTTATTTTTTTGGCCTAGGACTACTCACTGATAATTTGTATAAACTTAACATTTTGCATGGAGCACCTTTGAACCACCTGAAATACTTTGAAAAAAATAAAAAATTGACCCTGATTTATCTCTATTGATGCACAACTAGCTGTATGCAACAAATGGCATGGGATGTACATAACAACTGTACCAAAATATGTATTCAGCTAGTTCTGTGGTGCCTTGATTTTTATCCTAATACAGATTAAGTACTGACTGCACAGGCAAAATCCCATGTCTTATTTTAAAGCCCCTGTAGGATGTAGTAGTGTGTAAGGATCTTTTCAGAGTCCCAAGTCTATTCAGATTTTTTGGAGGAGATCTGCTGAGATTCTGAATCCTTTGGTAGATGCATTCTGAGTCTTTTCTTATCATACAGCCTCCTTTGAGGCTCAGTATTACAGTTTTAATTTCTGTACTATGTTTTACATACACATTTCTCTCCACTCAGAAACATTCACGTGTCCAGGGCTGTGCTGCTACTTTACATACCGGCACATTCCTCCTTTTTATCAGTTCCTATATCAAGTCTAAGGGACGCGGGTGGTGCTGTGGGTTAAACCACAGAGCCTAGGACTTGCCGATCAGAAAGTCGGTGGTTCAAATCCCCGCAACGGGGTGAGCTCCTGTTGCTCGGTCCCTGCTCCTGCTCGGTCCATGCTTCTGCTCCCTCCTAGCAGTTCGAAAGCACGTCAAAGTGCAAATAGATAAATATGTACCACTCCGGCGGGAAGGTAAACGGCGTTTCCGTGCGCTGCTCTGGTTCGCCAGAAGCGGCTTAGTCGTGCTGGCCACATGACCCAGAAGCTGTACACCGTCTCCCTCGGCCAGTAAAGCGAGATAAGCACCGCAACCCCAGAGTCGTCCACGACTGGACCTAATGGTCAGGGGTCCCTTTACCTTTACCTTTATATTAAGTCTACCTTGCCTAAGCTTTCTCTGCTGCCTCTGAGGCTGGTGGTGCTAGTAATCAAAGCTCCTGTCCTGCTATCTCTGCTGATGTTTCCTCCCCTGTCCCAGCTGTTGGATGCAGTAGGGAGGGGAGTCAGCACCTTCAGGCCAAGCCTTATCCTCTCTGGCATAGCTGGGTGTAAACACAGCTGTGTCAGAGCTAGTGGAGTGTGGCAATTGAAGCTGTTTCCAGCTACCTCGCCACAGCCTGCTTCCATGCATCAGTCTCCTGGTTCAATCAAGGCTCTTAGGTATATATCACAGTCATGCTTGAAATTGGTCTTACTGTTTGTCCTTCCAAAAGAAGAATAACTTTATTTTTTCAGTTGTTTTATCCATTGAGGTATCATGTTATATGCTTTCTTGAGGTTTCACTATTAACATTTAGGTAGTATTGCAGTACAGTGGTACCTCAGGTTACATACGCTTCAGGTAACATACGCTTCAGGTTACAGACTCTGCTAACCCAGAAATACTACCTCGGGTTAAGAACTTTGCTTCAGGATGAGAACAGAAATTGTGCAGTGGCAGCGGGAGGCCCCATTAGCTAAAGTGGTGCTTCAGGTTAAGAACAGTTTCAGGTTAAGAATGGACCTCCGGAACAAATTAAGTACTTAACCCGAGGTACCACTGTATAGAATTTTGTAATTCTTATTATTGTCAGAACTTTGTACAGTGGTACCTCGAGTTACAAACGCCTCAGGTTACAAACACTTCAGGTTACAAACTCTGCTAACCTGGAAGAGTTACCTCAGATTGAGAACTTTGCCGCAGGATGAGAACGGAAATCGTGTGCCGGTGGCGTAGTGGCAGTAAGAGGCCCAATTAGCGAAAGCACACCTTTAGTTAAGAACAGTTTCAGGTTAAGAACGGACCTCCAGAACAAATTAAGTTCGTAACTAGAGGTACCACTGTATAGGAATCAGGTATCTTGGGTGAAATCCAGCTTTGCCTGAAAATACTTCCATTCATACAGTGAGACTTCCCCTACCTCTCTCTTCACCCTCCCAATCTATTCTGAGAGGTCCTCCATCCCTCCATTGCAGATTACAGGGAGCTGCGTTGGGTGTGCGGAGGAGAAGGGGAAGGAGAAGTCACATTGAGCACTGCTTGATACAGCCCTTTAAATCGTGGGGTTCTTACAACTTTCAAACCTTTTCTCCTCAAAGCAATACAGTGTCTATCCAATAATTTGGGCAGCAGGACGAGGCCACTCTCGTATAGTACAACTTTTACTGCATCATGGAGCTAAGGTCAACTGCTCTGACAAGGTAGGAGTTTTCTTTCTTTCCGGTAAAAGCTTACCTTGTTACCATAATAAGTTAAAATTGTTAAGAATGTTAAGACAGCATCCTAAGCTCTGTTTCAATACATGGGATTTGAGAGGAATTTCTGTTTAGACTTCATCTTAATTCACGAGGATGTTCTTAGTTAGAAGTTTTTTTAACCCACTTTGCCTGAAATCCTATGCATGCTTACCTATTCATATTTCCATTGGGGTGCTCTGAGCGATCATTCAACAGTATTCCAGTGCTGGCTTCTCCAGTCTTGTGCCCTCCATAGGTTTTAGGCTACAACTTGTCTTGTCCCTGACCATTGGTCATGGTGTCTGGGACTGATGAGAGTTGGAATCCAGTAAGAACTTGAAGGCACCAGGTTGGGGAATACTCTTCTAGTCGCTAAAACATTTAAAATATCAAATGAAATAATTTTTAAGACTCCTTACAAGAGCTCACAGGCTGTATATTGTCCAAACTCTGCCCAATGATAGTACATAAACTGTTAATAGAGTGAGACTGTTGGTTATGGCCTCCTAAGGACTAGCAGATGCTGACCTCTAGGTGCACTATATAATCTTTCATGATATTCCCACCCTCTCTTTATTGAATTAGCTGTGATTTTACCTCACTCTGAATCCACAATATACGCCAATAGCACTTCTCAGCTCTACTATACCTATACTTTGCCTTTCCCCCCCTACCATTGATCTGTCTCCCTGCACCGCTTTGGGAATGTTGCCAACTTAGTAACTCTTTTAACTTCCTTTTCACATTTCTGTATTAGCGAGGTCTTCTGTTATGTTCTGGCATTATCCTAAAATGTTATTTTCATGTCTTCCGCTTGAAATTCTACCTACTTACTTGACACCTTTCTTCTCCTGCCCACTCACAAACTGAGGGAGTTGTTCTGCTTTCAAAACAAAGCTGGAATGTGTCTCATATGTTCAAAATATATTCTACAGTATGGGACTACTCCGCTGATCTGGGCTGCAAGAAAAGGTCATCTGGAATGTGTGAAGTATTTGCTGCATATGGGAGCGGATGTTGATCAAGAAGGAGCTGTGAGTACTTTAAATATTATTCTAATAATAAAGCAGTAGATAGTGTTTAAAGAAGACGGGATCATGGTGTCTGTTAGTCCAGATGGTTTAGTGCTAGGGTTGCCAGCCTGGCATCCGAAGACACTCATGTGCCCACTGAGGACTACCCTGATGACCATACCATCCTATCCTTCTCCTGCCCAATTGAGGGCTTTCTTCAGGCTTAATTGTGATGCGGAGACATTTTCCTCTGCAGCTCTGACAATCACAGCAAATTCTCAAACCCATACAGTTAGGATTTTAAAAAGTCTTTTATTAGCTATTATTTTGCAATTTCAGGAAGGAGTCATAGTTGAGGAGGAAATAATTAACTCTTACCTCCTGAGCTGTGTTGCCCATGCCAGAAACCCATTTGTTGTGCTGCTATTGGGCTTGAAAGAAACCTGTTGTATTGGATTCTAAGGTCTGTGAATATAAAGTCTGGGGTGCAGATTTTCCTGGCTCTGGGGGATTTTTCCTTACTGCTGTTACCTGAAAATGTAGAATTGCTTTTGGCGTAAAAGTAATAGTGGAATGTAATGGTGTGTTTGAAGTTAATGCTACTGAAATAAGATGAACTTCAGAAGCGGAGGAAAAAATCTCCTCCTGTATTGACCAGTTAGTCTCATACCGCCACTAATATATTGTGTGTTTTCTATCTCTTCCCCTCTCCAGAATTCCATGACTGCACTTATAGTAGCAGTAAAAGGTGGTTTCACAGATTCAGTAAAAGAAATCCTGAAAAGGAATCCAAATGTCAATTTAACGGATAAAGATGGAAACACAGCTTTGATGATTGCCGCAAAGGAAGGACATACTGAAATTGTGCAGGACCTCTTAGATGCAGGAACCTACGTGAATATTCCTGACAGGGTAAGTAAGGGTTTTGATAATGTGTATATATACATTCATTATTTTTTAAAATACTTATAACATAAAAAGCTATTTTGGAAGTGCTTTAAGACATCTGACTGTGTTTTGTCCTCATTGCAGAGTGGAGATACTGTGCTGATTGGGGCTGTCCGAGGCGGTCATGTTGAAATTGTGAGAGCCTTGCTTCATAAGTATGCAGATATAGACATTAGAGGGCAGGTAAGTAATTCTGTGTGAGTTCAGGATTTTGAAAAATGCTCTTGTAATATATCATTTCCAAAAGCATCCCTTGGAGACGGGAAGCACATTTCTAGATGGCATCTTGAAAACCACTTGATTTCCTACTGTATTTGCAACTGGAAAGAACAGTGCACTTTAACATGACACATAAAGACAAACATTTTGTTCCTTGGCATTCTATACTTACTGTCTCTTAAAGTAGGTATGTAAAGTAGGTATATTTGTTTTGATCATAAAGAACATCCATGCCCTATTCTGCTCCTTGGGAGCATTGCATCTATCTTAGTTTTAGGCACTTGCTAGTGAGTCTAATTCAGTGAGTCATGAAGCCCTTGCCTACCATCTTTATATAAACTGGTTAACCAAAAATCTGCTGTTGCTTTTAGTCATGGAAGGGGGATTGAATCGAGAGCTCAGAAGCCTGCAAAATGACAGGTGCTCAGTACAGCTTCTGACAGGAGCTGCTATTTGTTGGTGGATCAGAACAGCAACTGATGCTGAGTACATAATCAACTGTCAGGCTGGACTGTGAAATCAGAATATTTCAGCTTTTCACTATAGTAAAAATATTTCTTAAGTACAACTGTTGCAAGGAGTTTCCTGAACCTACAGTTCAGAGGTGATGCAGTACACATTGCAGTTGCTTTGTTGATATGATGACGCTGAGCTACTTTTTAAAAAAAATAAATAAATACGGAAATCTTATGCAATTCATTATACATCCAGTACTGTTCCTAAAAGCAAATACCAGCAGAAGATTCTTCTTCTTCGCAAGGCACACCCTAGATTTCTAGATTTGGTTGTAATATAGTGTTTAGAGAAGATTCTCCATCCCTTTCAATTAAATATATTGTGTATGCCAGCTTTTTGTGAAGTGGTTTCTGAATGCCATGTGTTGAAGAACTTTTTTGAAATACTATAATCCCAATTTTAGCCAAACACTGATATGTAACTTACATTACTTTTTTTTAAAAAACACCCCAATGTCAGTTTCCTTTTTCCATTCTGAATTTTATCACTTTGCTATATAGTGTTGAATGTAACCTGCATAATACGTGGTTTGTGAAGTTAGTTTGATTGCATTTAAAGTGCTTTTCAAATATGTTGTTTATTTGTAGGATAATAAAACTGCTTTATACTGGGCTGTTGAAAAAGGAAATGCTACCATGGTTAGAGATATCTTGCAGTGCAACCCAGACACTGAAATATGTACAAAGGTAAATATACCATGTAATGGCTTTGATCTTCAAGATATGGTTTATTTTTCAACAATGCTTTTTCGGTCTTCCCTGTGTTGCGGAATATGGCATTTTTGTTAAAAATGTTGTCTTCCCTAAATGTGAGGAGAGAGTACTTGAGTACAGTTCTAGTTTGTTCATATTTGCTTTTCTGTGCTTGAAATTTCCTTTTAAAACTATATTCAGAAAGCCTGTGGAGCACATTAAAAATACATATCACCAGCATTTCCCATCACCTTTAAAAAAATAGAAAATCAATATCTTAACTGAAATGCATTTTGAGTGGAGGCTATATGCACATACTTAAGCTAATTTTCCTTCTGAGATGCTTTCCCATAAATAAATTTAATGAGAAATGCTTTACTTTGTATTAATTAACAATAACTACCATTGCAAATTAGAACATCAGCAAAGGAAATAATTCATTGCATGGGGAAAACACCATACCAAATTTGTGTTCAAGGGAATGCTTAACAGCACAATCCAAATCCAATATCTGCTGGGATAAGATAGCTTGGATTTAGAGGGTCTTGGGCTTTCTTGGATCACCAGAGGCTCAGCCAGAACTATGCTGGAATAAATCCCTCATCCCAGCTTGGCCAGGGCTCAGCCAGCAGAATTTAAGCCTGCATTACTTACACCAGCATAATCTCTCCCAAAAGGGGTGGGACTGGACCCAACAAGGAGAGACTTAAACCTATTCCAAATCCTGTTCAGATTGGTCATTCAACCTAGGGCCCAGTCCTCACAACCTGGGGCCTAGACCCTTGCAGAGACTTCCAAACAGCATTTAGAATAGTAGTAATGTATGATGTGGGTGGTGCTGTGGGTTAAACCACAGAGCCTAGGACTTGCCGATCAGAAGGTCGGCGGTTTGAATCCCCGCGACGGGGTGAGCTCCCATTGCTCGGTCCCTGCTCCTGCCAACCTAGCAGTTCAAAAGCACATCAAAGTGCAAGTAGATAAATAGGTACCACTCCGGCGGGAAGGTAAGTGGCATTTCCGTGCGCTGCTCTGGTTCTCCAGAAGCGGCTTAGTCATGCTGGCCACATGACCCTGAAGCTCCCTCGGCCAATAAAGCAAGCTGAGCGCCGCAACCCCAGAATCGGTCACGACTGGACCTAATGGTCAGGGGTCCCTTTACCTTTACCTTTATGCTGGTGTAAGTTATGCCAAGCCAAGTTACACCAGTTTCCTCTAGTTAAGATTGCTCTGTAAATGTATTGAGGAATAACTGAACTTCATTATGTAATACTGAATATCTGCCTTGAAAAACAACAACCTGGGCTACCAGATTTGACCCCAAGGACAAACAAAAATTTATGTTACAATTAAAATTACCCCAAACTTCTAGGCTGGTGGTGGGTACTTAATTTTTTTTTTTTTTGCCATAAAATATGCAAGTGTTCCAGAATTCAAAATTCATTGCTGCCAGAAGGCCTGTTGTGCCTGTCTGTTTTGAAGGCATTCACAAAATACCATTTTACTTTTGCTTTTAGGATGGAGAAACACCTCTTATAAAGGCCACCAAGATGAGAAATATTGAAATAGTTGAGCTTCTGCTTGACAAAGGAGCTAAAGTTTCTGCTGTAGACAAGGTAAACTCTAGTTGATAACCACTGTATTTATTTTAATTTATTGTTCCTAATGCTTTCACCAAACTGTTTAGGGCACATTGTCCTCTATTAAATGAAGGCAGTTGAAAATTATATTGAGGTAGATAACTAATTTTACACATGCTTGTAAAGAAGAAGGACCTGTCAGAATAATTCAGTAAAATTAACCCTAACCTTGGATTTTTCTTTTACAGAAACAGAATTTGCAAAGTGAAGCGACGGGTTATTTAGAGAGCGAAAAAACTAAGGGAAGGTCCTGTTCTAGGGGGATAAGGGATGGCAGTGAAGGGAACTTGTCAGGGCAGCTTTTGAGTAAGTAAGTGATCTACTGCACAATAGCTACATCCTCACCCATTCTCTTTTGCTGTTGTTACAGAAAGGAGACACCCCACTTCATATTGCTATTCGTGGGAGAAGCCGTAGGCTTGCAGAACTGCTTTTGAGAAATCCTAAAGACGGTAGACTGCTTTACAGGCCCAATAAAGCTGGAGAGACGCCTTACAACATTGACTGTAGCCACCAGAAAAGCATTTTAACTCAGATATTTGGAGCTCGTAAGTATTGTGCATTTTCTTCTTAATCTGCCAGCTTCCAAGCTGCAAGGAAGTGACCAAGGCGTCAAGTGAGGACCGTTGCTCGCAAGCAGAGGGGGTCTCTCTGACTCTACCCCTAACATAGCCAGCCTTCTCCACCCGTTCACCTATTCCTCCTCAGCACAGCCTCCCCTTTAGCTCCACAAGCCTATGAAGAGGACAGCTGCTCCGGGACCAAAGAAGAAACCTCCCCCCCACCCCCGGCCACCTTTCCCAACCAAGCAACTTAATTTAGCCAACACTCAGGAGAGGGCAGCCTGGAATGAAGAAAATTAGAAGTTACATAAAGACAGGCCACACTGAAAAGAAACTGAAGTTCTTTTCGCCTTTGTCTAAGGGAGGCTTGTTTTTACTGTTGTTCTAGCAGCCTGCTTGCTCATTTGGGGGGGGGGGGACCTTCCTCTTCTCAGTGGTACCTTGCAGTGGGTGCTCTCCTGTTCTCTCACTCTGTGTGTTTTCTTTTCCTGGATGCAATAGTGTGTCTTCCAGGACCACTGCTTCTTCCTTAATGTGTGTGTGTGGCTTGTTGTGGCAATCTTTTCTTATCGCACCGCTCCTCTCTTCTGTGTGCATGTGCATTTTCTGCAGTTCTTTTGGCACACACACAGCAAAAGAGGGGTGTGATGTATGTGGCTTTTTCTGTGATAATATACTCTGGTTTGACCGCTCCGCAACTTGTGTGTGTGTGTTTGTACACTCCTGCAGTGCTGCTCTCACTGCACCAAAATCATCTTTCAGGTAACAGCATGCAAAAAGAAAATAAATGTGTTAATTTTATGTGGGACTATGAAAAGAAATGAGGGTTTCTTTTCAAGAGTGAGTGGTTTATTTTAAGTTGCTTTAAGCATGCTGGTCATGATTTGCCAATGTATGAAAACCTAAATACTGACGTTCATAACTAATTTACTCCATGAAGCCTGTTTGGTTTTGCAGGACACTTATCTCCGACAGAATCTGATGGAGATATGCTGGGTTATGATCTTTATAGCAGTGCACTAGCCGACATACTTAGTGAGCCAACTATGCAGCCTCCCATCTGTGTTGGGCTGTACGCCCAATGGGGAAGTGGGAAATCTTTTCTGCTCAAGAAACTTGAAGGTAAAAATTACTCCAGTTTATGCTTTTTTATACGAAAGATCTGCACTGAGAAATTTGGAGAACTTAGAATTGTTAAGGATGGCTGTGTTTCAGTTATTGTATTGTTGCAGGATGTGTATTGGGTAGGCTTGCCTTAAAGTACAAATGGAATCTAACCCCCCCAATCCCTTCTTCTTAGTCACCCCATCCTTATCATGCTTTCTAATGGAAAAGTAATTTATTTATTTAAAAATGGTAGATTGTTCCGCAAGGGAGCAATTGTAGCCATACAGAGAACCGCCTCTGGAATTACCTTTTGATTATTTGAATTTGAATAATTTTGATTAATTATTTTCTTTTCTCTTTTTTTAGATGAAATGAAAACTTTTGCTGGGCAGCAGATTGAACCTTTGTTCCAATTTTCCTGGCTGATTGTGGTCCTTACGCTTTTGTTGTGTGGTGGCGTTGGTTTACTGCTTTCATTCACTTTGGATGCAAAACTTGGAATAGCAGTGGCGCTGAGCTTGCTGGCACTGCTCTATGTCTTTTTTAGTAAGTCTTAAATTGGATTTATTAAAAACCTATTATGTGCCCAGAATTAAGCTGAAATTTAGTCCACGAAATGAAACTGTTCGGATGTTGAACTAAATTGTGAAACGTGGATTTTCAATATATGATGTATTCAAGTACACTATCACAAAAATAAGGGTAGCTAAATATTTACAATACTCAGGTTTCGAATATTTGTAAAATTGAGAAGGAGGCCAGTACCTGTCTTTTGGCTCCAGAAATACAATGCTCCATTAATTTTGAAGATTATTAATTACTGTTCCACGACGTTATCAATGACAATGATATAAAGAAATATGCATGCACCAAAATTTGCATGCCCCAAATTTTCACCCCGCCTGCGAAAAGTTGGGTGTTATTGCTTCTAGCTTTTAAATGGGAAATAACATTGGGGTCTGTAGCATCATATTCTTCAGAAGAAGCTCAGAAAAAAAATGGGTGTGTACATAACTTAAGAATTAGGATTGTTAAGTATGAGCTAACTGCTTTTGTCATGCTTTATCCAGAAATGCGCTGTGGAACTAAATGAAAATAGTTGATAATGGTCATAAAATATATAGCAATGATAAGAGTTAAAATGTGATTGGTGTCAAAAGGGTTTGTGATTTGGTTTCCTGTTTAAAGCCCACAACTGCTATTAACATTGAGGGTATTTGTAAAACGTCTTCTTCTAGCTGTGATATACTTTGGTAGCCGAAGAGAAGGAGAGAACTGGAATTGGGCATGGGTGTTAAGTACAAGGTTGGCAAGACATATTGGCTACATGGAGTTGCTTCTTAAACTTATGTTTGTGAACCCACCTGAGCTGCCAGAGCAAACAACTAAAGCCTTACCTGTAAGGTTAGTATAATCTCACATCTTGTTCTTCTAGTTGTGAATCACATCAGAGAACATCTGCTTTAAAAAAGAAAGAGGTCTGATACAGTGGTACCTCGGGTTACATACGCTTCAGGTTACAGACTCCGCTAACCCAGAAATAGTGCTTCAGGTTAAGAACTTTGCTTCAGGATGAGAACAGAAATTGTGCTCCAGTGGCGTGGCAGCAGCAGGAGGCCCCATTAGCTAAAGTGGTGCTTCAGGTTAAGAACAGTTTCAGGTTAAGTACAGACCTCCGGAACGAATTAAGTACTTCACCCGAGGTACCACTGTAGTTGAATGCTCACCTGAGACCAAGTTTCATGGAGATCAACTGATCTGGGATCTTTAGCCGATACTCTAATTAGATTGACTATGCAGCCACTTACCTGTGTAGGACTGTTCACACAGCATAGAAATAGGAAACATTCTCTTTTCAACATTCTATTGTGCTACAATCTCTTGGAACTGAATTTTGAAATTCCTAAGGTGGCAACGCTGTGTAAATGTTGTCATCCTGTGTGTGTCTATCTGCCTGTATTTGGATTTTTAAATGTCTAACTGGGTTGGTTCCTTGAGATCTTGTCCTGCAACAACAGAGAGAAATATTGTTGGGATCACTGGCAAACTCGCCAGTAAAACTGCAGAATATTTTCCTAGGCGTGCTAGGAAACTCTTCATCAAAATACAGTTAACTAACACTTTGTTGGATTTTCTCTAAGGCTGCAATTCTGCATGGAGTGACATGCCTTTGTGACTTATCTGGGGTTGCAGCCAACAGTAGACCTACTCATTGTAAACCAATTTAATTTAATGAACATGACTAATCTAGGCCCATTAATTTCAGTGAGTCTACTCTGAACCCTGGAGTCCTGATTAAGCACGTGGTTGAAATAATTCCCGTATTACATTGTTAGAAGTGTGTAGAAGTTAAGAACTATCATTGCATGTTTTTTAAAAGCAGGGGAGGAGTGGCAAAGAAAAATGCAGAAGATTACTGTATTAAAAGCAGCCCAGCAGTTTAAAGATGTGTATCTTAATGACAGAAAAAAGCTTATTCTATCAGCCAATAGCAATCAAACTGTTTCATGTATTTGTCTTCAGATTTTTATTTACAGATTACAATAGGCTATCCAGTGTTGGCGGAGAAACTTCAATGGCTGAAATGATTGCCACACTCTCAGATGCCTGTGAGAGGGAATTTGGTTTCTTAGCAACACGTCTTTTCCGAGTATTCAAGACTGAAGATACTCAAGGTATTATTATTATTATTTTACCAAATCACTGCTTTTTCCCATTTCTGTTGTAACAATGGAAAAATGCATCTGCTTCGCAAATATATTTTCCCGGAAACATTTAGAAAGCGTATAATAAATGGGAGAAGCTAGAAGGTCTGCAGATATCCCCATGGTATAAAAATGTTGTGGAAAGAATCTGTAAAAGATCTGTAAAATCCTCAGGATCTTCTTTGGATCTGTATTTTTTCTCGGAAGAGAGGCATTACTTTTATCCTTTTTTTAATCTTTTATCTTTTATCCTGGCCTCATAATGATCCTCTGTGTGTAGTTTTTATAACTGCTAAGATAGAAGTGTTGTTGGATGCTAGCTAGCTCCCACCAGCCCTAGCTAGCATGGCTAGTAGATAGGGACGATGGGAGGTGTTGGCCAAAAACATCTGGAGGGCCACAAGTTCTTCACCCGTGGACAAGGATTGCTGAAACTTGTGCAGCTAACTCATTTTGAAGCCATGGGGGACCTCATGTTACTATTTTTCAAGAATATCATGGAATCATAGAGTTGGGATCCTTGCCCTGCGATGCAGGAGTCTTGACTAAAGCCTCGATGACAGGTTCTGCTTAAAGACCTCCTATAGCTGCTGTTCTTCTAATTTCATCTCAGTTTTAAAATATCAGACTGTTAAATTTGGTGGTGGTACTTGAGTTTCCTGCTGAATGTAGAAAAGTGCTTAGCAGTTGTTGGTTTGTTTCATAGGTAAAAAGAAATGGAAGAAAACTTGTTGCCTCCCATCCTTCGTTATTTTCCTTTTCATTCTGAGCTGCATTGTTGCTGGGATCACTCTTATAGCTTATTTTAAAGTGAATCCTGAAAACATGACAGTGAATGCTATTCTGATATCATTTATATGTGTTGTGGGTTTGGGCTTCATCTTGAACTGTCGCACGTGGTGGCGAGTGATGGACTCAGTCTTGAACTCACAGAGAAAACGGCTTCATAGTGCTGCTTCAAAGCTACACAAGCTGAAAAGTGAGGGGTTTATGAAAGTAAGTATTATTATATTGTCATAAAAACTATGGCAGTTGCTTTGAATTGTATGATGCTTGTTTAACTTGAAATTTAAAAGGTGGGGAGTGATGAGAATAAAGCACTTCATCAGTTATATAACTGAACATTTCACTCTTCTTTATTTTATAGAATTTGTACACTACTTAATTGTAAATAAAACCTCTAAGCAGACTTCATTTATATTTAATTCCCAGCGAACCTAAGTAATACATTTGTGGAAAAGGGTTCACTGTTTTCAACAGTGAAAGCAAAATGTGTCATTTCAATGAGATTCGTGTTGGAGGATGGTAACACTACTGTTTTGACACTACTTTTATTTTGATAGGTTCTTAAATGTGAAGTGGAACTGATGGCAAAGATGGCAAAAACCATTGATAGCTTTACTCAGAATCAAACCAGGCTTGCGGTAATTATTGATGGATTGGATGCATGCGAGCAGGACAAAGTTTTACAGATGCTTGACACAGTAAGTAACTACTATTTTACCTTTGAGTGCTCTTAGGCAATCAAACACTTTGAGTGTTCTAAAATCAGTCAAGTATATGAGAATAATATTTCCTTTATATTTCGTTTCAATCCAGACCAAGTAGTTGTGACTAAATCTTACCAAAATCAATGGAACAATTTAGCTGTTTTGAGTTGACTTGCTTTCAGTGGAACTCACAGCCCAAGCCTATGTTCCACTTATATCGGGGGCTTGCTCCTAAGTTAAGATCTTTGCCTGAAGAGATGGCATGAATTGTTTTGGAACTATAACATTGAAAAGCGGCATGTGATTTCATCCCCGCCCCCCCTTTGTGAGCTAACCTGAAGAAACAACAGCAACAAGATCCAGAGAATCCCTTGCATGAGTGGAAGGCACTGTTTCAACAGTCCCTCCTCCTGATTTCTGCCATTTCTACCCCCTTCAGCAGTTCCATTAGTCACATCCCAAAATATCCCGGAAGGCAACTTCTTGTAGAGTGTGAAGGGCTGAAGTGACAAGATGAAAGTGGGAGAGCCCTGTTGTGCAAGTACTTCTCTGGATCCAACCCAATCTGTGTTCCATAAACATAGCCTGTTGAACTTTGTGTCTCAGCAGAATCTTTTGCTTCCTGTGGTGGCAATATATGAGTGCGCTGTTTGCAATGTACACCACAGTACATATTTGCAGCCCCCTTCCACATTTTACCTCCTGCTGAACTGGGAGTGGGCAGCAACCCAGTACAGAAGAGATGGGCAGTGGCGGCGGGTGGGGTGAGCCTTAGTGGTCTTCCAACTTCTGTCTAGGAGTGTCATGAAAGCCTTGCTACCTGAGCCACTTGTGCCATCTTTACTGTGACTAGACCACCCGTGGGATACAGATTTTGAATGATTTTATTCATTTTTCTTTTCTTCTTTTCACAGGTTAGAGTCCTGTTTTCAAAAGGCCCATTTATTGCAATTTTTGCTAGTGACCCACACATCATCATAAAGGCAATTAATCAGAACCTGAACAGTGTGCTCCGTGACTCAAATATAAATGGGCATGATTACATGAGAAATATCGTACACTTACCTGTCTTTCTTAACAGCCGTGGACTCAGTAGTGCTAAAAAGATGATGGTAGCCTCAACCACAAATGGAGACGTCCCATACTCAGATGGTGCAGGTATAGTGTATTATAAATAATCAGGCATCAAATGCCAATAGTGGTGTTTTTTTAAAAAGATAGCATAAATATGTGAACGATTACCACTTAGTAGAAATCATCTGTTGTATGGTAAAATGAAAATGTGTTTTAATGAGAGACATTTCCTAGGATTCCATGAAGATGTTGATCGAAGGGTTTCACAGAATAGCCTGGGAGATGTGACCAAGCTTGGAAGCAAAACAGCTCTCAACAGGCGGGTAAGAAATGGCCAGTTGGAAATCTTTTACACATAATTTACACACGTAAATTATTGTTATGCATTTTAGCAAACAGCTGTTTAGGTCATGTATTCTGGGTTCACATTCATAGACTGGCTTCAGATGTGGTAGAATTCTTTAAGCTCAGTGGCTTAGTGGACCCTGGACTGGGTCCACAAATTGCTGCTAGAAAGTGGTGCTTGGCAAGATCAGATCAACCATGTTGATCATTTAATGTTCTGTCTTTAAGATAAACCCTCATAAGGCATCTTACAAAAATATATACATCAAAAGCAAACATAGTAAGAGTGGAACAAATCTAATAATAAAAATATCTGCATAGAAACCTTAAAATAGGACATATTAATTCAATATTATGTTTGGGAAGTTGTTTTTTGATACAGCTTTTGCTAACAAGTAGGCTTAGTATGTTCAGAAGAAACATACGAGTACATTTCTGATTTGTTTCTTACATTGAGATCTTTAAGCTCCATAGGTGCACACTTTTGATAGCTACACTTCTCATAAGCATTTGAATCTATGATATAGAAATAGTATATTGTGGACAGCAACATCACTAACTTTGTTTAAAAGTGTCACTGAAATGAAAATTTTTGCAAGAAATACCTACCTACTTTTTCTTGGTGAGACATTTTGAAGTACGTTAGTGACTCCTGGTCTTTGTCCAACTCTGTTCACCTCTAAATGCACTAGTATAACATCTTGCCTTTGGGGTAGATAGTAAAACATGAAAACAGTTCATACAAATAATACCTGTGTTCTCTCTCCACCCCCCAAAATTAGGACACTTACAGAAGAAGACAAATTCAGCGTACCATTACACGTCAAATGTCTTTTGATCTGACTAAGCTTTTGGTTACAGAAGACTGGTTCAGTGATATTAGCCCGCAGACTATGAGGCGATTGCTAAATATTGTTTCTGTGACAGGTGTGTTTCCTTATTATAATTTACATATCAAAGTGAGGCATTTAAAACCTACAGTTTCCATGCTATGTGTAGCATGTCAGCCATGTATCATAGTCCGTTAGGTGCCTTAGGAAAGAAAAACTGTTTACCTGTTCATGGAGATCAAGTCCACAGTTCCTCCCTAGTCTTCTAGAGTGAGCCATGGAAATGAGACTTTGGGTGACGAGAAGTCAAATAATTTACACCATATTCATTACACACTGTTTTCACGATAAACATGAAAACTGCGTAAAAGTCAAATTATCCAGAGAAAATTTGGGCAGTGTCAGGTGAGCCAAACTATGGCTGCTGGAGTTGCATGATTTTCTATTTACGGTTGGTGATCAACCTGTGGTGCAGGGGCGCCATCTATTTGGGGCTGTGAGGGCCAAGGCCTCAAATTTTCATTGAAGGGGCTGGGCCCACACAAAGTTCTGTGGTGGCCACACACCCTGTGATGTGCAAAAGTGATGTCAGCATGGTGCAGGGCGTGCTGATGTCATGTGCGCACACCGCATTGATGTCATGCAGCCCCGGGCCTTCGAAGTTGCAGGGACAAGGCGGCATGCCTGCTGTGGCATAATGGCTTTTTGGGTTCAATCAAGAGCTTTTTATCATCCTTCAATAGTGAAGTTGGCTGAAAAATTACAGAATGATCAGGTTTTTCAACAAATTGCCTCTGGTATGATCAGAGAAGCTAACTTGAGAAAAGCAAAGCATAGATAGTATAAAGTACATGGGGGCACATTTATCTGTGCATGAACAGAACGAGCTTCTACTCATGCAGTGGGGCTTCCACTTCTTCCCCTCCCTCCTATAGCTTCCATGCATCTCCAGAATCAGATGTTGGAAGGCTGGTGGGAGGAGAAAGAAAGGGGAAACCTATTGTGGAAGAGAAATGAAATGTGGTTTCAAATCAGGCAAGGTTTATTCCCGATTTCCTAACTGTGGTTTGTTTTGGGGAAAACAAACCATGAGCGCTGGCCTGGATACAATGTTGAGTCAGTTGCTGCATGCTTTGTTGCCCCACTTGAAGGATTTCTGCACAGTACAGCTAAACCAACTTGTGACCGCGTCACGTCCATTTGTGGCCATTAAGTTCCTTCCTGTGAACTCAGAACTTGCTTGGTTGTTGGTGACATTTTGGTTGGTCCAAATAAAGGTATGGCTCAGCTGTGGATTTTGAAATTTACCTACACAGCCTTTCATATTTTAAAGGTCGTTTACTGAGAGCTAATCAGATCACTTTCAACTGGGATAGACTGGCTAGCTGGATCAACTTGACAGAACAGTGGCCATACAGGACCTCTTGGCTCATATTGTATTTGGAAGAAACAGAAGGTGTTCCAGATCAGCTAACGTTAAAAACGATATATGAGAGGTAGGCGTGATTTTGAAATTTCCATTTGTTGGTGGGTGTTCAAAAGTCAGGATTTAACTATCTTTGTTTCCTGGGTGAGAGAAAGTAAATGTCCACAATAGATGGGAGTTAATTATTTTGGGGTTCAGGTACTTACAAATTAGCATATGTCTGAATGCTTTGCTTTGTTGGGGCAAATGCTTCAAACTCACAAAATAAGCTGTGAGTATTTGTGATATGCTATTACTATTTTTGATTACTATAACTTGTGATTCCTAATTACTATGCTAAAAGATACAGGCATGGCCAAACTTGGCCCTCCAGCTGTTTTGGGACTACAGCTCCCAGCATCCCTAGCTAACAGGACCAGTGGTCAGGGATGATGGAATTGTCGTCCCCAAACAGCTGGAGGGCCAAGTTTGGCCATTCCTGGATTAGGCGCTATGATTCGTTAACAGAATGGGGTCTAATTATATCTGTTAAATGAAGAGAGTAAGGCATTAATGGCTGTCGCTGTCTTCTAGTTTTTTCTTTTGTCCGTCATTGGAAAAGCAACAGGGACACAATATAACATAATCTAATGGTATTATCCCCTCTATCCATCCAAATCTACTTGGGAACATAAATGTAAGGAATAGTTGTAGTATAGTAACTAGTTGTTGTATAGTAACTCGTTTTAATCTCTACTCTGCCATGAACTGAATAGGCTTTGGGCAGTTGTCCACCTCTGCCATGGGGTGTGGGATAATGACGTTGATTCACCCCATAGAGTAGCTATAAGGATTATGACTAGGTAATGCACGTTAAGGTCTTCAAAAACTTGTTACGTGTTACACATCACACAAATACTAAGTACGGGATTAAACACATTTACTACCTTCTGTGTGTCCTTGTTCCCCTTTGGGATACTCCTTTGATACATTCATTCATCATTTTATTTGTGTGCCACCTTTCCATAGTTGTAAGCCACCTTGAGCATGGTTTTGACATGAAGAAATTTACGTAATTACATTCATAAGAAAGTTAGTCATAAACAGTAAATAAAACACATCAACAGGTGCACAGCCAAACCAAACAATTTCAACGTAAATCATAGTATGATCTAAAAATAAAGATGCAAAAAAATAATGTCCATAACAGCAGCAGCCCTTCCCCCAACAACCCCCCCCCCCCCAAGAAATAGCACCCCAATGCAAGAGTCTGTTCAGCAGCCTCAGCTTCTGCAGCTGGAGTCAGTCAGGGCCCTGCGTTCCCAGGCCAGGTGGAAAAAGGCCTGTAGATCTTCCAGGACTCACAGCCAAGATGGTATCAAGGAATTAGAAAACCTCAAATTGCCATGAGAGCAGGCTAATAGGTTCAGGAAAGAACAACAGTAGCTGGGGCTTCTGCCTGCTTGCTTGCTCCAGCAGGGTTGGCAATACTTGGGCCAAGGTTGGATATGCCTGAGCTACAGAACTGTTAGTTATAGGGTCTCCATTTGGATTGAATATCTTTGCCCTTCTAATGTAGTATGTCATAATGGTAGGTTAATGTTCATTGTTAGTGCCAGTTAGATAAACTGCCGGAATATGTCTGCAGTACAATTCAGATGAATGCCCTGTTGAGTTCAGTGGAACTTCCAGATAAATGTGTATAGAGTTGCAAGCCTGTTTTTCATTAGTAACTGCCTTTTAATCTTCCAGCAGATGGCACTAACATACCAATGATATTGGTGAAGAGGTCTCTCATTCAGCGTTTTAACATTAAATTTAGAACTCATATTTGTCTTCCTGCTTGTTTCCTGTTCGTTTCAGTAGCTTCTCTGTAACTTTTAAACACTGAAATAGGTGAGGGATACTCCTTGTGGCTTGCAGGTTATGTATAGCTACAAACACTAATTCATCTACCTGTAAATGAGAGACTGTTCTTACAATTCCAAGGCCCAGTACCGTATCTTGCTTGGTGCTCAGCAAACCATGGTTTCCAAATAGAAGCCAAATTCTTGCATGTGAGCTCTTCATCTGCTTTCCAAATTTGACTCCACTTCCTGTTTTTTACATATAATTACACATGCAGTGATGCAAATCCTTTTTGAAACTAACCAATTCCACTCCTGGTTTCAACCCCTTGTTTGCAAACTATGGCATGCATAATCTCCAGACAGCAAGAATGTGAGAGAGGTTTTTAGTTGCTTCCCACTAGCTACCTCACTGAAGTCTAATCATCAGGAACACTGTAAAATACGTCTGAAAAAGCTTTGGGGGGTGGGGGTCTCAGGTGGGCTTGTGCTCCTTGGAAGCTCTATTCTGACAGTGAAAATGTTCTCATGTGCCCCTGGGGTATATATAGAGTGTCTTAAGTTCTGCAGATAAATGTGCGTTGCTCAGTATTTTTACCAGTTCTAATGATAAAATTTGGTGTGTTCTATTAAACAGCATTTTTCTGGGGTAAATAATATAGCTTCTGCATTATAACTTTGCTTTTAGCAAATGGAACATATTTCTGTCTCTCTGGGTTGTTAGTAGGGTTTGAAAAAGTATTTACAGTGTGTTAATAGGAGAAGGCATAAATGATACATGTTTTATTAAAGAAATCTGAGCTGATAAAAAATCAGAATAAGAAATCTTTAGCACCAGTAGTAAAGTTTAAATCCCCCCTCCCATAAAAAGGCTCATTTATTTTTATAGCAATTTGATGACACATCTGCTTGCTTTATTCAGCTGGGGAAAAAATGTTGGTTCTTGATGTTTGGTAAAGTTGCTTTTGTTAAATTATTTTCCAAATCGTTCAACTTTTAACAAATGACATTTGATACTAACACTGGAAAGCAATTTCAGCTAATTAAGTAGATCCTTCTATAAACCATCAGAACATTAAGATGACAAACTGTTCATTCAGGATTATTTTAATTGGGACAATTATTGTAATTTTGTTGCAATTATGTGTTGAGCTAAAAGCCTTTGTCTAAATCATTTGAGATTTTTTTTGTTAACATATACATAACTGAGAAAAGAGAAATGAAAACTCGAGCATTTTCTGTCTACTTTTCCAGTACCACATTTAGACAAATGATAATTACTCATTCTATAAACTGTATTTGAGATTTGTAGGGTGCTTTTTAAAAATGAGAACATTTGTACAAGGTAATTCTTTTTTTAAAAAAGGTTTCTTCTCCAGTAGGTGGTAGCGGGTTTCTATTTTAGGACAGTTTTAACCAGTTTTGTTTAAGGGAGAGAGGGAGAAATATATGAGGTTCTATTGAGTTTGTATGGAGGTGGTGCTTTTTGAAGTTGCACTTTCTTGTTAAAATTTATATAGCTGGCTTAGCATTGCATCCAAAAGCAGCCACTTTGGTACAGTCCTGACAAGAGTTAGGTACTTTGATTTCAATAGGAAATTTGGGTCTTCTTGCAAGGGCACTGCATTAGATACAACCCACGTGTTAGCGTGTGCTTACAATTACTTTTCTAATATGTAACATTTCCCCCTCCCATAGCTTATCCTGACATTTTATTGCCCCACCTCCCAGTGGCTCATCCAGTCCAGCATCCTTTTCTCAAAGTGGGATGGCTATGGGAAGGACCTGAGAGCAACAGCACTCTTCTCACTTGTGATTCCAATCAGCTGGCATTCCCAGGCATACTGCCTGTAAAGTAGATCATAACCATCATGGCTAGTGGCCACTTACAGCCTCACCCTCCATTAGAGATCATAGAGGTCACAGAATTAATTTGTCTAATCCTCTTTTAAAGCCGTCTGAGTTGGTGGCCATCGCTGGCTCGTGTGGGAGCGGATTTCAGAGTTTAGCTATGCGCATAAACATAACAGTTGGTGGGATAGACACTTTCTGCTGTTGACTGCGCCCATCTGCTGAAAAGGAGTCTGCCTCCAAGGGTCCACATGGACAGAAACAGTGGTCAAAGCTTTAGAAAGGAGGATAGTCCATTGCTCCTTTTTTACCATTTGCCTAGCCAGCTGTACTTCCCACCCCATCCCATGGCCTGTTACCATTAAAAAGGAAATAAACCAGCAGCACACGTGATGTGCCATCTTCTCTGCAAAATTATATGCCGTGTCTGTATTCTGGCACTACCCAGATATTATTATTTGGATGTGCCTTGTTTTTGTTAGCAAATTCCTTCTTGTGTTCATTGCATTCTCCCCTTCAGCTTGCCTTAAAATATACCCAATTATCTAATTTCCACTAATTACTTAGTTTGGCTGCCAGAAATGATATGCATATGTTTAGTACACCATTTTACTTTGTCCTTATTTTACATTCTTAGTGTTCTTATACATATCTCAGTGGTACTACAAGCCTGATATCAACTGTCTATTTCTGATTTTTTACTTGATTGCTAATTTGCCTCGTTTCTTGTTTAACAAGCTGTAATAGTTGAATTTGCAAATTTTGTTTCAAGATGAGCAGCCTACACTTCCAAACAACCCATAGCATGAACACACATAAACACACATCAGTCCTCTTTATTGGAGAAGACCCATACTCTCAGACTGCTCTTTACCTTTCTCCCTGTCACTGTACACCCAGCCTCTCATACTGACCATCTCTTAACTAGCATTCTCAATCCAACCATGCATTTAATCCCTTTTTATTATATTCCCATTATTCCCACCATCTGATTGATCTTTCTATTTTGACCATCTCCACTATCTGTGTAGTAGACAAAAGGTTTGTATTTATGGAAGGTCCTTCAAACCATCACTGAAGCCTTGTAATAGGTGAATTTACACCCACCAACACTATCTGTATTTATCCGTGCTTCTAATAATATACACAAGTGATTTTCTGATTTCGAAGCATTCAGAAATTCCTGGTGTTTACTTTTACTCTTGCTAACTTCCTTATAGCCTTAAAATTCAACTCCCTGAGTAACCCGTCTCCTTAATACAAGGCAAAGATTATTGTTGCAAAAAAAGAAAGAACGAACAAAACATTCTGTTAATTACCTTGTATAATTGATAAGCGTAGTTTGCTCTGCCTGGCTTCATCCTAATCTTGTGTTGAAGGAGCAGAGGTAGGTGAATTGTAAAATTTGGAGATAAGAAGAGCAGAAGTTCAAAAGGCAACAATCCCCAGAAAAAAGTGAGTTGGAAAAAATGGAAATGAACAACCCAAATTTGTGTATGCATTGGAAACAAGTTCCGCTGTGTTCAGTGAGGCTTACTGTTGATAGAATTGCTACTGTTGATAAACAGAAGACCAAAAAAAAGGAGTTTAGCAAGAAGCAATTCAGGCTTCCAAATTCTGTAGTGTGCATGTGAGTGCCTTACCTCACAGTGTTGATCCCTAACCGAAACAATCTTCATTGTGCATGAGAGTTTGAGCGGTCAACAAAACATAAAAGAGCACCAACAAACCACTGTTAATTCTGTGGCAATTTCCCATCTTCCTGGTCTCAGTTTTGGCACAAAATAATGTGCACATATTGGCCCGGTTGGGTCACTAAAGTTTGGCTTAGTGTGAACATGTGTTTCTGGAGAGCAAATCATGGTCACTTTGTTCCTCCATGGTCCTTTCTACTAATGCATTGAGAGAAACTAAGGTTTATTAGCAGCAGATGTTCCAAAACAAGAATACTGCTGCCTCCATCGCATAATGTGTAGTCTTTGAACTAACTTGGGTTTTAAGGGCATGTAACTTTGCAAAAATTTGTGTGTGAGCGTTTTCCTTTTTTTTAAGTTGAGAAGCACAGACACATAGATTTGTGGCCCTTCACCAAAAGATTATCATTTACATAAATATCTCTTTCAACATAATAGTTTAATGTATTGAGCTCAGAAGGTTAGAATAGAGATTTCAATCTATAAAACAGCAGTAGGCTATTAGCCTCTGAACAGGAGTATTGTTCATCATATGCAGAACACTGTTCACATTCAGACTTAAGCAGAGCTGGCATTAAAATTCAGTTAATTTGCTTCATGTGACTTCTCAGCTGTGGTTTTTCATCTAAGTCTTCAGCTCCTTTTCTTTTGGAATCTTGTTTTGAAGAAAAAAAAATACCAAAAAACTTTAACTCTTTGTTCTCGTTCTTAACTTTGTTTTGCGGCAATTTCAGCCATGAATATGTGAAAAGCTGCATTTGTTTACAAGTTGTTTGTGAATTATTTGAGGGAAGATTTGGATAGGAACATGTTTAAGTTAGTAACGATAGATCTGTTACTAGGTTTGTGATCCTTAGCTAGACAGAAATGCCTGATAAACCTTCTGTCTGAATATACTCAGGACTTTACAATGTGGAGTTTCTTTGCTTTCTGTAGAATTTCAAAGAATATTCCAACAACTAAAGATGTCGAACCTCTGCTTGAAATTGATGGGGATATTCGCAACTTTGAAGTATTTTTGTCTTCACGAACTCCAGTCCTTATAGCACGTGATGTAAAAACCTTTCTTCCATGTACAGTGAACCTCGATCCAAAACTCCGAGAAATTATTGCAGGTAAACTGCCATTTGACTATCCAACAGGAAAGCTTTTAATACCAACATCAGTGTAATGAAATGAATAAATAAAATAAATTACTTTTCTAAGAAAGAGATATTTGTATTATCAGAACGAATAACTTACACAAGGACAGTAACAGAAACACTGCAGCACAAATCCAAGTACATAGTCACTATTTAGAATTGAGTATGTTTTAAAAGGTAAAGGGCCATTAGGTCCAGTCGTGGCCGACTCTGGGGTTGCGGCGCTCATCTCGCTTTATTGGCCGAGGGAGCCGGCGTACAGCTTCCGGGTCATGTGGCCAGCATGACTAAGCCGCTTCTGGTGAACCAGAGCAGTGCACGGAAACACCGTTTACCTTCCCGCCAGAGTGGTACCTATTTATCTGCTTGCACTTTGACGTGCTTTCGAACTGCTAGGTTGGCAGGAGCAGGGACCGAACAACAGGAGCTCACCCCGTCACGGGGATTCAAACCGCCAACCTTCTGATCAGCAAGTCCTAGGCTGTGTGGTTTAACCCACAGGGCCACCCGCATCCCTTGAGTATGTTTTACCCTTCTAGTAATGAATAAAGGACTGGCAGTTCTTTATAAAAAGCATTGCCCACCTTCTTTGGTCCATATGTAAAGTGTCAATTTGGCAAGAACTGCACATTATTGTTGTTAAATCTCCTGTTGTTAGTGTTCAAACTACTAGTCTCCAGAATTTAGCATATAAAAACCTAGCAGTTCTTATAATGCAGGAGATACACTGTAACAGAGGAATTAAGAGTTATTTTATGTAGTTATTTCCTGTTGTTAAAAGCAGAATACACATATGTATTCTGTAGTGCTGAATATTGTTTCTGTAAGGGCTGCTTTACAGGCTCTCGTATGTTGTCCTTTCAGGCAGCTAGAGAAATAGACTGGAAATGGTTGGGTTCCCCCCTTCCAGTATAACATAATTTTTGTATGTTAGCATATAACACATGCATACTTACAGTGTTTTTTTCTGGGGGGACGCAGGGATACATATACCCCTAAACATTTTGTGAATCTTTGTACTTTTGTCCATTTACTGTATTTATTTTTCCCGATTTGAACTATAAAATGGTGATTTTCTTGAGTCAAAATGAGAGTACCCCGAAACATATATTTTTTTAAAGAAAAAAAAAGCACTGCATACATATACAGTATGTACATAATGTATAACATCTTGAAAGGCAGCTCTCCCTTTGGAGGCAGTGTATTCTGCATCAATATAAGCCTTTCCTCTTGACCCAGATAGGCAAGAATAAACATGGAAGTCTGGAGAGAGGAGGCTCGTTCCCAGTTTCTTTTGAGGGAAGTCTTTTTTGCTTCTCCTTCTAAAGCCACACTCACTTTTATTTTCTGCCCCCTCCAGGGTGTTGGGAATATTATTATTTTTTAAGTGAGAGCCAGGAGGGCATTGGGTACTCTTATATCCTACTGGACTTGGGGACAGGACTACCATATAGGTGATTCCTGAAAAGGCCTGCTCTAACTCTGACTTGTTAACCCAGAGCCTTGCAGAGCCGTTCTGATGAGAAGTGCTCTTTGAGAATGACTAGTATCTCCTGAGAGCCAGCACAGGAAGCATGAAAGCAACTGTGTACTTAGCAGCCCAGCACGAATGGTTTTGTGTCCTTTTCTATTTGGTTGGAAGGGTTCTTCAAGAATGAGTTGGTTTTCTTTATGACGAGACAGGAGACAAACCTGTGCCACAGTACCTCACTGTAGTGAGGTCAGTTTTCCTCCCTCTCTGCTCCACTGAAGGCCCAATTCTTTCCACTGAAGCATTTTCAATGTTCCCAGGATGAATTCTGCCTTTCACAAGTCTCAAGAATTCATTCCTCCCTTAATGCGTTCAACTTACATGCTCTAAGTAGACAAAAGTGACAAGCCTTAGATATGTGTAGGACCCTAAATAATAGGACAGAATACAGTCATACCTTGGACGCTGAATGCCTTTAAACTCTAACGTTTTGACTCCCAAACGATCGAAAACCTGAAGTGATTGTTATGTTTTTTGGAAGCCAAACGTCTGTCGCGACTTCCGATTGGTTACAGGAAGGTCCTGCAGCCAATTGGAAGCTGTGACTTGGTTCTCGAAGCATTTTGGGAGTTGAATCCCAGAACGGATTAAATTCGAGAAGCAAGATATGACTGTTCATTATGCAAAGCAGTCCATCATGGGGTGGGAAGTGTTCGTTGCAATGGTCATTTCCTTTCCAGCAATCTTTTCCTCTTAATGAGTCTGTGCACCAGAAGAAATTGGACTCATCTGGTGTGATGGGCAGCAGGTTTTGTGGACATCCTCCCATTGTTGTTAACATTCAGGAGTTTTTCAGAACATAGCACTTAACACCGTGGTATGGTGGTCTTAATCAGTGTCTCCACCCAATTCAGTTGCTTCATTTTCCAGTTTTTGTCTTCTGTCCCTTCAGAATATGAGGAAAAGAGGAAAAAGGTGGAAGGCTGTCACTTGCCTTTATATTTATAATATCATTTAAGAGCCTTGGCTGTGTGTGTGTGTGTGTGTGTGTGTGTGTGTGTGTGAGAGAGAGAGAGAGAGACAGAGAGACAGAGAGACAGTAACAGACAGTAACAGACAGAAAGACAGAGAGAGAGGGAACTTGGAGTGGAGGTGGAATGAAGCCAAGCATCAGAAAAAAAACATCTCAGTGAGTGAGTCTATTTATTATTATTATTATTATTTATAATAGAGGACAATGCAGTGGGTGAAGGGAGCTGAGGGGAGGGGGTGCTTAGCATCACCAGTGTCTCCCCTTAGCATTTTCCCTTCTTCCATATGTTTGTTAGCTGCAGCAGCAAAAAAAGGGAGCAAGAGGTAATATGAAACTGCCCCTTTAGTCTGCTTCCTGTTGGGACCGGGTGGGGAGATTGGACAAATGTCTCATCCACACACACCCCTACTTTCCTTACTCTTTTTTGAGGTTTGGTTGCCCCTCTCCTTATAGAAGTAGTGTGGAGACGCACCACTTTCTTGAAGGTCCTTCATTCATAATTCTTGCAAGGTAATTTGAAAGGAGCAGAACCAGTAGAATGGGGCGTGTCTACCACTGGCTCTATCTACCATTTGCTGCCCTGTCTTCTGCCAGGACCAATAGAGACCAGCTGCCACTAATCCTTGCTGTTTTCATTGCTCTCCATAATGGAGCAGTACTCGTATATAACAGGGGTTCGAGGAAGCGGGGGTCAGCTCTTAATTTTTTTAAATATTTTTTTTGAGATTCTGCGTTCTCAGTGTTGAACTACGAGGTCTAGAGAAAGAAAGGAAAACCCTTGTTCTGTCAAGACCTTCCAAGTTTTTGTTTCTGCCTCTGGTTCTGGGAGAGAGAGAGACTGATCTTAATGCTGAATCCACTTCTGTCTCCAGAGAGAGAACAGAACGTGCAACAATTTGGCAGGAAGCTCTAATTGTGTCCTTTGTTTTGATTTTTAGATTATACGTTATTGGCAATGCTTGCTGATTACTTTTACAAATTAAATATTTCAGATGTCCGTGCTGCAAGAGACCAAATTAACATTGGAGCAATCCCATATCCCACGTTACCTTTGCAAGAGGCAGCTCCTAGAGCATCGTCGGTGTTTAGCCAGCCTTCCTCAGCCTGCTCTTCAACACACTCCTTTAATGGGCCTTTTAATGCAGGAGTTGTATCTCCACAGCCTCACAGCAGCTACTACAGTGGCATGACCGGACCTCAGCATCCATTCTATAATAGAGTAAGAAAGAAAGCTGCTTTTGAAAATTGACGCATGATGATGACGATTATTTTCCTGGGGTAATAAATACTTTGTTTAAAATCCCAGCAGAAAACTGATGAAAACCATAGCATTTTTATTCATAAGTACACAGCAAATCTCAACCATTGGGCTAAGTTTGTGAAGAAATGCACTTTTGGTTCAAATGATGCAACAGTGATGAAATATTTTGGAATATGTTCAGAATTTTAAAAAAAGGATTTTGTCTCTTTTAGTGTGCTGGTTTTGAACATGCACGTTTGAACAAGGCTATCGGTAGCTATAAATCTTTACGTAATTGCAGGAAGTAGACAAATGGAAGAAAGATTAGGCTCCATGGTTTTGGTAACTGCATAGAAGGAAGGTTGTTTATAGGGTTGCTCATAGGTTAAAGCGGCTTCCCCAACCTGGTGCCCTCCAGATGTTGTTGGACTCGCAACTCCCATCATTCCTGACCGTGGGCCATGCTAGCTGGTTTTGATCGGAATTGGATTCCAACAGCATGTAAAAGGCATAATGTTGGCTGCTTAGAATGTGCAAAGCCCACTTACAAGTATGGAGGTATGGCATGTGTTGAACTAGTCTTCTCAGTGGTTTACCAGGTTGCCAAGTGCTACACAAACCAGTCTCTGAAAAATGTGTTCAACCAGGGTGCTGTTTTGCAGTCTGGATGCATGTAGAATAGTTCATCAACCTAGTATGGGCGACCATATTTTGGCTTGAAATGAGATGCAAATGAGCCTTTTGCCTGCACACACAGCCTTTTTGTTCTTCTCTTTGCAGCGTGAGCAATCAGACCATGAATCATGTAACTATAGTTTGCCCTTTTGCTCAAACCAGGAAACTGTGCTTGCTAGCATAGCTCTGGAAAAAGTCATTATAGCAAACCAGCTTCAAACACTGGTGAATAGTCTGGGAACTTTGGCTAACTAGAGGGCTCTTTTTTTAAAGAGTGAAAGGTTTGTATGTGCAAGCAAAATATTTGTTCTTATCTCTGCTTATTAAGCTAATATGTGATCGTCCAAACATGGTGATTGTGTGCAAACCCTGCCAAAACCTGTGTGTGTTGACTTCATCACACAAACTGGATTAAGACTGCAACTTTATAGCCAGTTATCTCTGCAAGTAAGTCTCATTGAACTCACTGGGACTCACATATGTGTAGACATGTATAAAATTGTTCTGTAAATGTTGGGCTAGGACCCTTCAGATGTAGACCCAGATACGTGCATAGTCATGAATTGGCCAGTCACTAAGTTTTTTAATATTAGAGGTCTCCATCACACAGTATTTTTCAAGTTACACCTGACAAGGTTTGAGAAGCAGTCTGAATTCTAAAATTGATGAAAATTGAATAACACAAATTTGTCTCTTGAATTCACCCGTGGAACACTTCCTATATACTTAAGCCATAGTCCTCAAGTCATATTTATTCCCGTGAGATTATTCAAGTATTAGAATGGAATTAAACTGTCTGATTTTAGTATTTGCTCTAAATTGTCTCATTTAATTGCTTTTGGAAGGTGTATAGATGTTTTCATAATTCATTATAAAAATGTTCCATTGTCCTACTGTTTGTGTCTCGTTGAACTAAATTGGAAATCTCTCATTGGCTTCAAGTTGGGTATGTAACTACCTAATTATTTCACCTTTGATAATATTCAAAATAGGATTGTTAAAATTACCTCAAGAAGTAAATTTTGTGTGTGTGTGTGTTTTACTTTTATGTTTTACATTCTTAAATAAGTTGTATTTGTTGAATTAAGTTTTCTTTTGATTTTTGTAATGGTCCCTTTTTGTTGCATGTTTTTTTCCATAGCCATTCTTTGCCCCATATGTTTACATGCCAAGGTATTATCCTGGCAGTTCTCATCTCATCTCACGTCCATCACTAAAAACGAGTATGTCCAGGGAACAAAGCAGTGGTCTAGTAAGTATCTCAAACAGTACGTGAACATGCTAACTTACAAAATAAGATTAGTCAATAATTCAGCAGTAGATGTTTAATGTGAGCACATAAATGCACAAGCAATTTTTAAAAATATCTTTTATAAAAATTAAAGCTAAGGTTAACTAAGATTGTAAAATGTGTTTTTTTCAAACTTTTTAACAAGTTTATATACATAGAAATTTTGAACTCTAGTATTAAGAGTAATATGTAAGAGTCTTACAGAATATTTTTATAGAGTGAAAATATAGAGGTTCTGTTTATAGTATGTAATAAGTGTAGTTAACTTATTGTGAATTTAGGTGTCGTTTGCTAGAATAAAATGATTAATGTTAAGCCACTTATAGACTACAGAAAGATAATGGTTGTACCCAACACTACTGTTCTGCTTGCACAACAGAATTTTATTTCCCCTCCCTTCCCTCTGCAGCTGCCTACACACTCTCAGAATTTGCTCCAGAGTGTTGGGGGACCCCCAAAAGCAGATTTTGGGGGAAAGGAGAGGAAGGGGAAGTCATGTTGTGGGAGCAGGCCTCCTTTTGTGCAGTGTTGGATACAACCTAAAGGTTCTTTTTTGTTTAGATTTAAGAAAATAGCAAACCATAATGACAAAGGGGAAGCTGTGGATCAAAAATTTGTATGTTTACATTCAGATATAAAACATGCAAAACAGATATGTTTTGTCTTTAGTTTGGGCAAGTTCTAGAATTTGAATTTTCCTTCCTCATATAAATTGAACTTTTAACCACATTTGTGAAATGGTGCCATAATTCCATAAATTAAAATTTTCTTAACAGGAAATCACATTGTACTATGTTCTTTAAATAGGAAGTATTAAGAAAATTATTAAGCTACTTCAGCTGTGGAATATAGGTGCCTTTTGGGCAAAGCTGTGCGGAGTTTATAAAAATGTTATTGTAAACATCTTCAAAACCTAGTAGTAGGCAGTTATAGCCGGTGGACCACTATTGACCTGCAAAGACTTCTAATCTGAAAGAGCGTTTCTTCCCAGTTCCCGGGAATGACTGATCTGCTGCTGAGTCATCACAGGCGCTCAGTTTGGATGTAATGCTTGGCCATAACATGAATGAGCCTTGCGTTCACATGCCTCTTCCTCTTTTGCTTCATTTCAAGTTCTGATTTGTGGACAAACTATGCTCCACACAAGGCATTGTTTGCCTAGCAGTGATGTGTAATGGCAAACAATGGCTTCCTGCTAACCCGGAAGTAATGTAGGGAATTGAAGCATGTGAAAGGAAGAGAAGAGGGGTGCAAACTGTTCCTGATTGTGTGCTGGGAACCAACTCACAGTGGCCACGCACGGTTCTTTTTCACAGGTCTGGGGGAAAAGCCTTGTCGAGCCACATTATGTTCTTGCAAGTCTTAACGTTCCTCACCCCTTAAAAACAAAAAACCAGTTCTTTTGCAGAATGATATATTCTTTTCATCCATTGTTCCTTCATACTTTCGTTGCATGCTTAACCGTTTTGTCCAAATCATAATAATTTGTTGTTGTTGTTAGGATGTTATCAAGGAGGATGCTGCTGAGTGGCTTCCTTCACCCACAGACCCCTCAATGGTAAATGAGTAGTCATGTGGTGTGGATCCTTAGCATCTCATTGCTTCTTCAACAGTAATGAGTCTGCTTGAATGACCATGGCAGTTCACTAACACTGCATTGGTGGCTTGATGAGCAAATAGAATAGATGAAGACTAATGAACATAGTTTGTGAATGAGTACAAGAGTACGAGCTAATATTCTACTTATAATGCATATTGTATTTGTCTTTCCCTTGCTAGCCTTCTGTAGTCTGTGGAGTACAGTGTTTTCAGTAGAGTACAGTGTGTTCTGTCTTCATTAGCAGTATTGCCCTGGCTAGTAGAAGGGAATTAGGCTATTAGCTATTCACTTACATAAAAGTGACTGGTTGATGCCTTCTCTAAGTGTTTTAGCCAAATGATTCATACCTGCCCTTTCTTGGTTATGTCAGGGCATAAAGCTGCTGCAGTCGACAAGACATAAAGCTGGTCATAAGACAGTTGTCATGAGAATGGAAGGTGCCTGTCTGGAGCCTTAGGAATAGGCAGGCTTTGCATTTTACATTCTATCACAGTTGTTCTTGCCATACAAATATCTCCATAGATTAGCATTAAACTCGGATCTTACTTCCAAATCTTCTAACTCTTAACTCTATTTTAAAGTTGTTGATTTGAACTTGGATGGTAACCCATCTCTCAATGGCTTTATCATGTTTTTCTGCAACAGCTTTTGGTTGTATGATTTTAGTTTTCTGATCATAGTCTAAATACTCATGCAGGATAAACTCAGTCTCTCCCACCTTCTTCCAAATATTTTAGAGAAAAAGATGAGGATTCCATCAAAATTCACCCCTCACCCTGCATCACTTCCACCTTGTTTATAGCTTGTGGTAGTGCAGACGTAGTGTTTCTCAACCTTGGGTCTCCAGTTGTTTTTGGACTACAACTCCCATCATCCCTAGCTAGCAAGACCAGTGGTCAGGGATGATGGCAATTGTAGTCTAAAAACAGCTGGAGACCCAAGGTTGGGAAACACTTGTGTAGACGAATCACCTGCATAATGGATATGTTCCAGCAAAATGACCTAGCCTGCCTCTTCTCCCTTCACACCTGTTGTTCAGTGACAGCAGACTCCTTCCTTCCCTTGTGGCCACCACATTGGCCATTACTGGTGCAAGTCTTGAGTGAAACAAGTCAATGGATAATTTAACAACAAAGATAAAAGTTGGACTGATTATGTTATGTTACGGATTTGGGAATCCAGCCTAACATATGTTTGAGTACAATGATAATCATTCCCAGGGAAAGGTACATACAGAAGCATTCATATAAACAGATAGGAATATATATAGTTTTGAGTAGTTGCACAGAGCCTGTTTTTCTCCTGTTCAAGCTGATATAAGATGGTTTACCCCCCATGGATAGTAGGTTCCCTTTTTATAACAGCTTTATGATACCGATAAAACACACTTTCTTCCCTTGCTATCTTTCTTTTTATTCACAAGTGCATTTGAATTAATTAAAAGGTGCTTACCTGATTGTATAGTAAGATTTTAATTATTTCCTAGTGATTATTTGAGAAAGTGTGAGTGACCTCAACCTCACACTTTTCTGAAGTTTGAAGAAGGTGTCAGTTTTGATAAAATGTTTTAAAATGTTTGTCTCATCAAAATTCTAAGTTCTTTTTTTACATTCTCTTAGGCAGTCTCTGCCACAAGTGTTATAAAAACTTGATAGATTACAAGGTGATTGTACCAGGAGAATGGACGAAATCGGTTTTATTAAACATAATACCTTTACATTTTGCTATTTAGAAAAGACCAAAACAAGGTAGAAGGAAAGCATTACTAAAAGAAACTAGCATTAATAAATGATGTGAAAATGAAGGATTTAGTTTGCATTAAAAATTGAGTGTCATTCATGTTGAAGCATGGTACAGGCATGATTCTAGTATTTCACCCCAATGGCACTATGCATGTAATAATAATAAATCCTGCTATGGGTTCTGCAGAACTGTTTAACATAACGGGCTAAGTCACACTGAAGTAACTGCTTTCAGTGGGACTCTTGCTGGATTCTTCTCAGTGAAAGAAATTGGTACTATACCCATGGCCCTGAATTGAGTATACAGCTAGGTCTTGTTATCAGCAGTAAAAGCAAGGAACCTCCAGCACTGGCCATTGCAGTAAGAGTAAAAACCTAGCTACAGCTGGAGAAACATTTGCTGGATTACAATCCCTCTTTGCAATAAATCAGGTATTTTAATTGTATAAATATGAAGGGTGGAATTGAACTCATGTTTTGCTCAGAATAGACCTGTTGAAAACAATGGCCTTAACTTCGTGGTGTTTGTTAATCTAAGTGGGTTTACCCTTGAGTAAAACACAGTTGAACAAAGACAGTACTCACTGTGCACAATGAGTCTTCACCTTACTCTCCTCCTCTCTCCAAACCATAGAATGCCCTCAAAATCTGTTCCAGAGAGTTGGGGTACCTTCTAGAGCAGATTTTTCAGGCACGTGAAGGCTGTAGAGGGGAGGAAGGGAAGGCGACTCCTGTTGTGTGAACGGAAGTCAGCGCAGGCAGTATTGGATACCATTTTGAACCCAGAAGCCCTGAGTTTTCATTATATTTTTTACACAGTCTTCTGTGCCTTAATAGCCCTCCGTAGCAGGGGTGGCAAAGCTGTGACCCTGCAGATGTCGTTGGTCTCCCATCTCCCATCAGCCCCAGCCAGCAAGGAATGATGGGAGTTGGAGTCCAACAGCAATGGGAGAGCCAAAGTTTGGCTGCCCTTGCTTTGCAGGAATTTCACCGCAGATCAAAAGTGTAATGAGCTGCAGATGTGCGTAAAAAGTTCTCCCGTTCATACCATGTTGTCAAACAGTTGCTCTAAGTGTCTCTGAGGGCCTGAGACTGCACTGTGGGGTTTTGATCAGTGACGCCATATCAGAAACTGCTTTTAAAAGCACAACATCGGTTTGCAATGCAACATGGAATTACTGGAGAAACACAGGCACAGAATCCCCTTGGGTGTGTAGAAGAGTTCTTTGGATCTTGTCTAACATGTGTTAATCAGGAGGTATTCCACTTTTAAAAGAAATCCCAGCTGTTTATCCTCCATCACTTTGACAAAGAAATCTTAATAACCATACTAGCTCATTCTTTAATGGCATTTTTTTCATGTTTCATGTTAAGCTGTGTCACTTTGTTTTGTCCTTTTTCTTAAAGCAGTGTAAAACTGGGTTAAACAGACAGAGACAGGTACAGCAACTTTCTGCAAACTGTTCACTTATTTTTATATTCTCATTGTAGAATGTCCATACTAGCACTTCATGCTGGCTGTCTTATGCACTAATGCACTTTTCAAGTCTTGAGGATTGCTTTGACATTCTGCTTTTGGATTTTGCATGGCAGATATTTAGTAGAATTAATGTTCTTTCCACATCTATAATGAAAGAGACTACCACTGGGGGGGGAAATATGTCAGTTTTAAGTACAGTTCCAATTCACTTATGACAAATATCACTAAAAGCACCTGCACTGCTTATTATTTAAATACTGCTTTTTTATAGGAAGTATTCCAGATTAAACTGAATCTCTGTCATATGATTCATGCATTGACATCAGTAATCTATGTATTTTTGTAAGAAAAATCTTCCCTAAAATAGCTTACAATGCATGCTGAAATGACTATTTGCCACTGAGATACAGCATCAGTAATTACTACATTTTGTATTTTAGCAATTTTCTGCTTTCCTTCCTGCTTCATACATAGTTCAGATACTGAGTTTGGTAACTGGATAGTTGGAATTGTAACTGAATTCTAAACATGTTAGGAAAGCCCACTAAAACTGTATATAGAATTTATATAATATAGATAAAACTAATGCATTTAGGCGTTATTTTTAATATTGTTTGAATTACTGAGTTGAGTAGGAAGTTATCTATAACATTCTGCTTCAGTTTTTATGGACTATTTTATTCATTATCTTTATGCCTTATTAAAATTGTGACTTCTGTTAAGAAAACGTTATCAGAGCCACTTGTCGAATGTGAATATGGGCTACACAATGAGACTTAAGACTACCACTGCTACATATTGACCAAGGAAGATGGAAAGCCCTAGTTATCCATCTCCATGCAGCCATAGTCTGTGTGTATGTGTATGTATGTATATGTAAACACACACACGCCTGTCCCATGCAATGCTGGGGTGGGTGGGGAGGGAGGAATTTCCCTGTTCAAGCAGGCTTTTTTGTGTTGTGTGCACACTGAAAACTGGGACGCCCTCCCCCATAATAGCAGGCACACACTCCTTCCCTCTGCATCTGATCACAGTAGAATAGATCCTGAGAAATGTATGGTCTCATTGACCATTTTGGGATCGCTTAAAGAAAAATAATTACTACTTTGTCAATGTTATATTGATTAGTAATGTGTGTTAAGCTGTGAAGCCAGTCTTGTGAAGGAATATTTCAAAAAACTTGTACAGATGATTGTAATCTTTTTCCAAATTACATCCCTCTCTTAGTGGCCACCCTCAGGTGTAATGATAACCTAAAGAACCTTGGTTTAATAAACTGTATAGTGCCTGGCGATGCCCACTTTGTTCTTCCCTTTGCAGAATGGATATACGAACCATGGAGAGGATTAGCATGGCATCCAAACATGGGATCATTGTTTTCTTTCTTTCTCCCTAGCAAGTCAGGATTAAGAAGCAAACAACCAACATTGGTTTAAGACTATCCATCAATTCTGGCACCAGCATGTGGGTTGTGCACAGTGTGGTTTATTAAGCCAACGTCTTTGCTCATTTTAACATGCAACCACTGATCACTTTTTTTTTTTACGCCAACTGTCTTTTAAGATTACAGTTTTGGGCGGTATCCTGGTGTAGAGGTTATACAGAAATGAGGCATAGATTTAGCATCTGAGAATCTTTTTTTGTTTGTTTTATGGTAGCACGTTTTTTGTTAGTAGTGGGCCTGACTCAAGCACTCAAGGAAACCTTTTCAAGACTGCAGTAAGCAAACAGATAAAATAAAAATAAAAATCTGCTTAATTTTATTTCCACCTTGCACCAGACAGGTTGCAGTCTGCTTTCCAGACATTTTCTGAATACTGTAATGTATCGGTTGTCACAGTTTGGCTTCCAGTTGCTTTGACAGGTCCTTAGTTGAATCTGCTACCTGTGAGCTGAGCTGAGTGCAAACACCCCACAATGGCATTAAAATACTTTGTTGCTGCAACTTCATGCCCTTTCTGAAGCAGCTTGTTGTTCTGGTGCTTTCAGTGCCAAAATACTTTGGAGAAGTTACGTTACTCAATTGCATCCTTTCTTGCAAATATGTTTATTTAGCACCTTGATTATGGTCCTTTAGACAGTGAGCTTTCCAGGCTTTTGAATGTGAAAAAAGAGAATTTATGAGTTTCTCAGAGCAGTGGAATTTTCTGTGTCAATGAGGTAGCTCCTTATTAAACAAGTTGGGTGAGGATGCTACAGTTCTTTAAAGAAGCCTTCATTTTTTGGGAGACGGACATGATTTTTTCTAAAAAAGACACGCTTCCATTAGCAGAGAACCTTAGTGGTTTTAAAGCACCAATTTACAAAATGTGCATTTATTTCCCTTGCACGTAACACACACAAACACATAGAGGGCTTTCATGTGGCACAACTGCCTCTTGGATTCCTCCCTAAGACAAAATGTCTAAAACTGGGGACATACCTTTATGTCCCCCTCTTTATTGGCTCAGGCAATTCAAAAAGCATCGGGCTGCAGCCAGTGTTAGTCCTACTCAGAGTAGACCCTTTGAAATAAATTGACCTAAATTAGTCAGGTTTATTAATTTCATTGGGTCTGCTCTTATTAGAACTAGCATTAGCTAAGATCTGGTTCAAGGACACTATGCTATTGTGCCAGGAATCATTGGGACAGATGTATACAATGAGTGATATTTTGAGCGTCTTCCTTGGTACTTAGACCTTGCTCTCATAAGAACCAAGCACTGAAAGTATATGTGAAGAATAAGTACACTGCAGAGGTCATCAAGTTTCCTTGGTCTTTATGTCAGAAGTTATTTAACTTTTAAATCCATGAACATCTTGAGCAAATTTCTAATGGGTCTTCTTGCTTATAACGACGCAATGCAATTATTATTAATGTTTAAATACTTTTTAAAAACTGGAGTATTAATCTGGAAAGGACAGTGCTTCAACTGGGGTGGGGCAGGGGCACCAGACAGTATACCAACATTCCCAGTTCTTGGGGGGGCGTTGCCTTTCCATTGTGATTCAGATGCGTGTTACACTTTGCTTCTGCAAAGAAAAGCAGTAGGCATAATGAGCCTCTGAACGTATTGCATGTATGTACTTCTCCTTTGCGCAGGGAACAGGCTCAGGAGCACCCCAAGTGCCTTTGAGCTCGATGACGGTTGACGCTGTGTGCGAGAAGCTGAAACAGATCGAAGGACTCGACCAGAATATGCTGGCTCAGTACTCTGCAACTATAAAGAAGGTGAGTCCCTTCGTTTTAAAATGGCACATCCTTTTTCATTTAAAAATGGCACCTTCTACGTTCTCCAGCAATCATATAATGAGTGTCCCTTCCTTTTCTGCAAAACTCATTGCCAATTGAATACCGACATGTGATGCAGAAAGCACAACAAACTAGAAGAAAGATGGTGAAAGAAGAGAACATAGTTTGTTTTGCTCTAAACAAACCGTGATAGGACAAGTTGTGTTCTTGGCTTACTGAATATGGTTGGTTAGAGAGAGAGAGAGAGAGAGAGAGAGAGAGAGAGAGAAGCCACAGTCCCTGTTTCATATGTAAGCTGAGGACTATGGTTTGTTTTTTGTGCATTCGCATGAAGGAACAAGGCAGCGTTCATGACAAACCATCACTATGAAGTTAATCTTTGTTAGTAACTTCTTTTTATTGTGTTGCTGTATATTTTAAGTGGTATTGTCACTGTTAGGCACCTTGGGTGTTATTTGTAGGAAAGGCAGAATATATATTGTAGTATTGATGATGACGCCTGCTTCTTGGGAGAAAGGCGATGGCAAACCTAGACAGCATCTTAAAAAGCAGAGACATCACCTTACCAACAAAGGTCCGTATAGTTAAAGCCATGGTTTTCCCAGTAGTTATGTATGGAAGTGAGAGTTGGACCATAAAGAAGGCTGATCGCCGAAGAATTGATGCTTTTGAATTATGGTGCTGGAGGAGACTCTTGAGAGTCCCATGGATTGCAAGAAGATCCAACCTCTCCATTCTGAAGGAAATCAGCCCTGAGTGCTCACTGGAAGGACAGCTCCTGAAGCTGAGGCTCCAGTACTTTGGCCACTTCATGAGAAGAGAAGACTCCCTGGAAAAGACCCTGATGTTGGGAAAGATGGAGGGCACAAGAAGAAGGGGACGACAGAGGACGAGATGGTTGGACAGTGTTCTCGAAGCTACAAACATGAGTCTGTCCAAACTGCGGGAGGCAGTGGAAGACAGGAGTGCCTGGTGTGCCCTGGTCCATGGGGTCATGAAGAGTCGGACACGACTAAACGACTAAACAACAACAACAAAAGTGATGATGATGATGATGATGATATCATCCATCAAGGGTGCTACCCCAAGAATACCTGGTTGAGGCGTTGACTTCCCTTTTCCACCCTACATCTTTTAATCCCAGTCCTATTCAGTGTGATACAGCAACACTGATCCACTACATTGCATAGAGCTGAAATTAAGAGGTTTATAAAGTTTTTTTGGCTGCTAAAAGAATCAGTGCACTGAATGTTTTTTTAGCATGCTGGATCTTTGTTTGCAATTATTCCCTGGTTGGCACAGGGTTAGCTCAGACTGATGGAAATCTCTAAAGCTGTTAAGGCTCACTTCTGCTTTCGAAGAGGGAATTTATGTACCCCTGAGCTTGGCTTGAGAACTTAGCTGGCATCTCAACAGGAAACTGCTGGCAGAAAGCTGGACAAGGAGCCTCTAAAGCTCTGTTGTACCATGGATGTTCTGAACAGGTGTCTGAAAACTGGGATGGATGAGGGCAAACAGGTTGACACTTAATCTAGAAAAGATTGAAGGGCTGTTAGTTGGGAAATTCTACTGATACGGACAAAGAAATGTAGCCATCTTCCTCCATAATACCTACGTACTCATGTCTCACTTCCTCTGAAGGATCAAATTTGCAGCTGGGGGAATTTTCCTGGACCTAGCACTAACCTTACAGGCTCAGATGGCATCAGCGTTTCAGATTATCTTTTTTCTATTTTGGCTGATTTTGCCAACTGTGTCCCTGTTTGAGGAAAACAGACCTGGTTTAAATTATTCATGTGCTGGTACATCCAGATTTTTGCAATGCTTTCTACATGAGGCTGCCATAAAAGACAGCTTGGAAACTTAATTGGTTCAAAATGTAGCCGCCAAAATACTGATATTAGCATGCTGGTTGGATCAGGCGACACCTATCCTACACCAGTTACACTGGTTTACTGATATATATACACTTTGGCTCAATTTAAGGTGCTGGTTTTGACTTTTAAAGCCCTCAGTGCCTTGGACTCCCAGGACTGCTTTTGCCAGTATGAACTTATCAGACATTTAAGATAGTCATCTCATGCTTGTTTTATGTGAACCAGAGATGGAGCCTTTTCTGCAGCAGCACCTTGCTTGTGGAATTCTGTCCCTGGGGAAATTTGCCCTCTTACACTTTTAAGCGCTTAATTTTTTTTTTGAAAGGCACTTTATTATAAGTTTCTAAATCTACATTTGCTGACTTGCTTTTTGAAATATTTTCAGATGGGCTGTTTTTGTTATGTTTATTTATCAATTCTTTTTTGTTGTTGTTTGAATATATTTTCGTAAACTGCCTTGTGAGAAGGCTTTCTAAAAGGCCAGATTTAAATCCAGAAAATGCAAATTCCCTGTACGTAATTAAGGAATATGATGCATTTGATTTGTTTTCTTGACATTACAAATTTACAATTTGTTTTATGTCATAGTGGAAATTATAAGTTTGCATATTTTATCAAAGTGTTTAAATTTCTTCTTGCAAAAGGTACAGTTATTCTATCCCACTCGTATTAACTGTGTACTTTCACGTGAAATTCAATTTCAGGGGTTTTTTTAGCTTACGAAATATTTACAGATGGCAAGGGTGTGTTTATCTGTGTTGTGTTTTTAAAATTTGTTTAGGCCAATATAAACGGTCGCGTTTTAGCACAGTGCAACATTGATGAACTGAAGAGAGAGATGAACATGAATTTTGGCGACTGGCATCTCTTCAGAAGTGCAGTAAGAGAATTTTAAGTCTTATGTAAATACAAACGCCTTGTTGACGGTGTTTGTGTGGCTAGATCCTAGTCATGTTAGCTTGGAAGTAACTCCCACTGTCTTCAGTAGGAGTTAGCACAGGGGCTGGGAATTGCTGGCTCACAGTCTGGATGCTCCCCACCCAGCCTGCATCATCAACTCCCAACCCCTTCACCTACCAGTACCACATTTAGGCTTCACAAAATCCTCTTATTGATCCCATTGGTGGGTTATTGAAGCCTGAATGTGGCACAGTGGGGCAGTGAAAAGCTAGCCTTTCCTCTCTGGCTGCAACCCCACCCTCTGCTTTAAAATCCTTCCTCTTGTCCAGGAAGATGGTTTTTTGGAGGAGCAAAAAATACTGAGACTGAGAAGGTTATTTTGAGAGAGATTGCATGTGAGAGAGTGAATGGGTGTGTTGCATGTGTGAGCAAGTTTCATGGGGGAGATGTTCTTCCTTTGACCACATTCATTTTGGGCTTGTGGTCCCCAGTCGGGCTGGGTGATATCTGGTTTTCAACATTGTGATATATCAGCAACTAAACATTGTAATATACCTATATATCACAATGTCTGAAGTAAGGATGGAGCTATGTCAGCTGGCTTCACATTTCTTCCTGCATTGTGATTTTTGCTGGCTTCTCCTCTTGTGATTTGCTGCCCCCTCCAGGTGGCAGGGGAGAGTTAGCAGGGACTGCAGGAATCGAGAGAAGCGTTGGCTGGCTTCTTGGTTTTTGCACATTGTGATTTTTGCGTAGCACACACACACACACACCGTGATTCATGATACATGGTCAGGTCAAAAATTATGAAACTCATCTCATGATACCAACTTCAAACCGGTTTTGCACAATATATTGCCCATCCCTGTTCCCCGTAGGGTTTGCTGTCAAACTTTGTAGATCTCAGCCAAATAAAGGTTCCTCACTCTTGGTTTAGCACCAGGTACTATACATAGATAAAGACATAGATCTGTGCAAGTAGATAAATAGGTACTGCTCCAGCGGGAAGGTAAACGGCGTTTCCGTGCGCTGCTCTGGTTTGCCAGAAGCGGCTTAGTCATGCTGGCCACATGACCCAGAAGCTGTACGCCGGCTCCCTCGGCTAATAAAGCGAGATGAGCGCCACAACCCCAGAGTCGGTCACGACTGGACCTAATGGTCAGAGGTCCCTTTACCTTTACCTTTACCTTTACTATACATAGAAATGCAGCCTTTGCATGCTTTGGTTTGCCTAACTGTAAGGCCTTGCTCCTGCAAAATAATATCTGACATCGTATCTGGCATAGTGTTTTTATATAAAGTGGCAGCACTGTGCCAGGAATGTTTGCTTTTTACAAGGCTTTGCGGCCTTGAACAGTTGTCTGTTTCAGCCCTGTCAGTGCACTCATAGAAAGCCTGGGTGAGTATTTATAGGAGGCATTGGGGAAAGAAAGGAGTTATTTATTAAAGCAGGGGTGGCCAGCCTTTTTTTCTGTTGAGGGCTGCATTCCTTTGGGGGTGATCTGTCAAAGCTGCATGCCGAGCTGATGGGCCGAAGCCCGTGATTGGGTGGGCAGAGCCAAAAGTGGCTTTTACTTACCCCTTTTACTTTTTCTCTTTCGCCTTCCCACCCCGCGGGCTGCCAGGAAAGGGATGGATCAGTCTTGCCGTAGGCTTGAACTGATCCCTTGCAGAGAGCTTTTGGAATTAAGTAGAGTGCCACAGGTTGCCCAACCCCATACTAAAGTGATCCTCTTATTCCACTTACTAGAAACTGTCCATTGATTTAACACACAATTATATAAGATTGGCGTTTTGGAGCAAACATCTTGATACCGTGTACTTGCATAAATGTGTATGTCCTAGCTTGTTTGTGAAAAGTGTTCACAAACACAGAACAGGTTCCAAAGAGTCCCTTGTGCACATGTCTTCATATACACGCAGTGAGAGTTTTCAGGTTTCCCCTTCTCATTATGTGACAGTAGGATCTCCTCTGCTGGGTCTCCCGATTTTCCAGAGTAGCTTTTCAGTGATTTCAAAGAACTTTTTCAAGGGTTTTCACAAATCCTGGTTTTCTCACAGAAGTGTGCTTCGCAGCTTTATATTCTTTGACTTGTTTATCCAGTGTTTAATCACCTCAACCAGATTATCTTTTCAGAGCTTTTCATGCTGCATCCTAATTGCTGCATTTTCTGTGTTAGGTGCTTGACTTGAGAAATGTTGAGAGTCAGGCTGCCCATGAAGATTCCCGGGCGGCAAATGAACACGCCAGTACCATACCTCATAATGATCTTGCTCGTCGTCCTGCACTGAACACTGAATTGCCTCATACTGAACTGACTGGTCTTCCGGGTCAAGCCCCCTACGCTCTCAACTTCAGTTTTGAAGAGTTGAATACCATTGGTTTAGAAGAAGCCCCTCCACGTCATAGTAACCTGAGTTGGCAGGTACTCTCTTCATCATAGACTTAATCTCAGCCCATCCTCTCTCTCTTAACATTAGCAATTTTACAGAGCAAATAGCTTCTTCCCTCACCCAAATCAGCAGGCAGTGGTGGCATGAAGAGGAAATGCCACATTTTATGTTCATTAAATGTATTTTCTGGAGTTACAAATATTAACCCCATTTCAGGTCCTGTTTTTTGTTGTTGTTTCAGTTTAGTTGCTTGATATGCAAAGTGACTTACAAAACACCAGATGGAGACATAGAAATCTCCTATTTGGCACTGTTTCCCCCTTTCACTTCAATGGAGAGGCAACTCTGAATGCATAAATAGGTGTGTGTGTGTGTGTGTGTGTGTGTATGTATAAGACCAGCTTTCTGCAACAGACACCTTGCATGTGTGCACTTGCATAAATGCAGGTGTGTGTGTATATTCAATATTTTTATGGTTGCCTCCTTCATTGAAGTGAATTTTTTCATGCAGCACTGTAGAATGGGACAAAAATATGTTGCATTATAGATGTCTCTGTGTTCCTGTATACCTGGCAGGAATCATACATTCTCTCACCCTTTTATTCTAAGCATCAGGTAAATAAGATGCTTGAAATAAGAGATGCAGAAATTCATGCATCTCAAGTTGTCCGTAAAAATATTTATATAGTAAGTGAACATAGTGCTCAGTGTTCTGTGCACAGATAATAGTTGGTATGCCCACAACACTTGAGTATTCCCACCGTATGCAAGGCGTATGCTATACCACTGAGCTGTTGGTCCTCTTAGGTTATGAAGGAGCCAAGTGTTACGCTGCTCTGTTCACAACTGTGTTCTTGGGGTAAATGTATTTTCTGTTTTGAAGGACTGGTGTCAACTCTGCTGACTTTGTATTAATGTGTTTTCTTTCTGTTTGTACAGTCACAGGCCCGTCGGACACCAAGTCTTTCAAGCCTGAATTCTCAAGATTCTAGTATTGAAATTTCAAAGCTTACCGATAAGGTACAGGCAGAATATAGAGATGCATATAGAGAATATATTGCTCAAATGTCACAATTAGAAGGGGGTGCCAGTTCTAGCACGGTGAGTGGTAGATCTTCCCCTCACAGTTCAGCAGCCTTCTATATGGGCCAGAGCACATCAACAGGCTCCCTTCATTCCAGTGTGGAACAAGATAAGGGAAAGGATGCTGAGCAAAAGCAAGACGATGGAAGGAAGTCCTTCTTGATTAAACGGAATGATGTTGTAGATTATAGTACATCAGGTGTGTCTACTAGCGATGCGTCTCCATTGGATCCCATCACGGAAGAAGATGAAAAATCAGATCAGTCTGGCTCCAAACTTCTCCCAGGGAAGAAATCTTCTGAAAGAACCAGCATTTTCCAAGCTGCAGACCTGAAGCTGAAGGGTGTAGCTCTGCGCTATCAGAAACTTCCAAGTGATGAAGATGAGTCTGGAACAGAAGAATCTGATAACACTCCCCTCCTCAAGGAAGGTAAAGACAGAAAAGTTGAAGGGAAAACAGAGAAGCAGCCCAAATCTCCAGAACATGGATCTGAGCCCATTCGAACCCTGATTAAAGCAAAAGAGTACTTGACGGATGCTCTTCTCGACAAAAAGGACTCCTCTGACTCTGGGGTAAGATCCAGTGAAAGTTCTCCAAACCACTCTCTCCACAACGATACAGATGACTCCCAGCTCGAAAAAGCAAATCTCATTGAGCTTGAAGACGATGGCCGCAGTGGGAAACGGGGAATCCCCCTCAGCTTGAGTGGCCTTCAAGACGCAACCATGGCACGTATGTCAATCTGCTCGGAAGACAAGAAAAGCCCTTCGGACAGCAGCTTAATAGCCAGCAGCCCTGAAGAGAACTGGCCAGCATGCCAGAAAGCCTACAACTTAAACCGAACACCCAGCACAGTCACGCTGAATAACAACAGCGCCAACCAGCCAACCAACCGAGCTAATCAGAATTTTGAGGAGATTGAGAGCATGAGAGAGCATTCTCAGATCATTTTGTGCCCTGGACCGAGTCCTAATTCTGTTCCGGTACAAAATGATAACATCAAAGGCGTGGCCCATAAGCGTAGCCAGCGCTCGAGTTATGCCAGGCTTTCGAAAGATTCTTCTGAGCTCCTTACTGTTACTGGCTCTGATGGTGCAGGCTTTGGAGAAGAGAGGGAAAGTATTCTTTAAAAGAGAGCCAAGCTAAAACATACGCTGCTTCAACACTTTTTAAACATGCTGCCTCTTGCTGGCTCTTGACCAGGCCTATAAATCTTCTCTTAACAAGGCTTGGTTCCCTGTCCTTTTTTCACCTGTGAATTTCCATAGCAAGTGAAGGACAGAATCCTGCTGAAGTTCAGCATAGAGTCCCATAGATTTCAATGGGAGAGATTCAACCACTTGCTTAAAATTAGGCAAAATAAAACCACCGTTTCCTTCTTAAGTAAAAGCTTAACTTTTCCAGTGCAAGTACAAATTCCTTAGTCCACATGCTGAAAAGGGAAATGCCTTAAACATTTGGATGATCTCACAAAGGCAAAAAAGGATAGTTTATCTGTGTATCATAAGGTTCAGTACTACTTATTTGTTTAGAAATAGGAGGAAGGAATGTCTCACATTAAACGAAGCGGAAGGGTCAGACTGTTACGAACCTGAAACGACGGAAACAACTGTTAATTTGCATTTTCCAGTTCTGTGTGTGACACTTTTAAAAGTCTTGATGGTTTAAGTATTGATATAGAGTGGTCAAAGTACAACTGTTGTTTGTTCCTTCTAAGCAGTGCAGTCTTTGGGAATGTGTCATGTGTGTGACTGTAGTTTTAATGGATTACTGCATGTTGGACATGTTAGCTGTGGCTGAGATTTGGACGTAATTGATGAACAGCACAATCCTGCACATGTCTACACAGAAGTAGGCCCCATTGATTTCAGTGGGACTTACTTCCCGGCAGTTTTGTATAGGATTTCAGGCTGAATTTTCTGTTTGTTGTAGATGGTGCCCACAGTAGTATTGAAGTAACTGAACAAAGTAGTCGTGGTCATGGTGTTAGGTGAAGCCAGTTTGGGTGTAGTCTTTGGAGCTATTATGAATATTTAGAGTTTTCAGAAATCATGGCCTTTGATTAATAGGTTTGATCGGATTGTAGAATGTCTGAGGAATGAGAAATTGTCGTTACCTCAAGAGTAAGTAAAAAAATATATCTAACATTTGGCATTGTGCAACAAAACGGTACATAATTTCCCCCCTTCTGTTTCTAGTATTGTGCCTGTAATGTCAGTAATTTGTTCTGCAGATGAAATATGCAGGAATTTGAATACGATCAGTGAACCATGTGTATTCCGCTAGCATTGAGATGACAATAAAATAATAAGCATGATGCTCTTTGTGTCAGACATTTTTTTATTTGTGTCTTCAGGTGATTAGAAGCATTAAGGCGACTGGTTCTAAAAAAATATCTGGATAACGAGAGAATTAATGAAGAAAAATGTAGGTTATCCTTAGAAATATGAAGCATCTGCATCTCCATTTATGCAGAGTTGGATAGATGTTAACTGTTGGGTGCTCTGTGAAGAGTTCTAATTCTCCACCTTTTGTTTGACCCAACAGCCTGATTGAAAATTGCTTGGCTCCTTTCTGCATAGCAAGATGCAGGTGATTTGTTCAATGAGGAATGCCATTTGCTTGAACGATGAAACGTACATGCAACGACTGTGTTCAGAGGTCACAATAAACCCTGGTTTATCATGATGGAAACTAGCCTAACTTGCACTCTCCTGCAGCACGGCCACAGGGCATTGATAAGAAGCTTTTGCTTCAAATTTAAATTAATCTCAGTTGAATGTTAATGTCTGAATCCTAACCTGTGGTTCATCTTAACTTTGGTTTATTTAAGCAAGCCAGTTCCATACAGATACAGTGGTACCTCGGGTTACATACGCTTCAGGTTACAGACTCTGCTAACCCAGAAATAGTGCTTCAGGTTAAGAACTTTGCTTCAGGATAAGAACAGAAATCGTGCTCTGGTGGTGCGGCGGCAGCAGGAGGCCCCATTAGCTAAAGTGGTGCTTCAGGTTAAGAACAGTTTCAGGTTAAGAACGGACCTCCGAAACGAATTAAGTACTTAACCCGAGGTACCACTGTAGTTTGAAGTTGGCTTGTTTCAAATCAACAGGAGTCAGCCACATATTACTGAGCTAAAACAGCCTATCAAGCTGTGGTTGATGAAATACAGAAGCAAAAGCTCTGGAACTCCTTGCTTCTGTGCTGAAGAAAGAGCCCAGCAGAATATGAAACTTGTTCCTGTCATCATAAGCAATGGGTTGTTGTGACGTCCAATGCAGGAAGGAGAAAGGGAAGAGCTTTTCCTTTCTTAATGGGACAGCAGCTACTTTGGAGCTCTATGCATGTCAGAGCCTTTCTGCGATGTGGATTAGGGAACACACATGGAAGGAAAATCCAATGATTTTAGTGGAACTTGTACATAAAAGGCATAATCCAAGAAATAATTGGGCATGTTAGGTCTCTTCGTTTAAATAGTTGGATTCACTTGGATATACACTGATTTGTTATTGTGATATATAAAAGCTGCTGCTGCGTTTTCAGAATGACTGAACTTTGAGTTGAGTACTGTACATCTTTATTGGTATTTACAGGACGAACATTTACAAAAATAGAGAGGGGTCGATATCCCCATAATGAGGAAGGGGAAAACTGAGGAAGATAATGACTGAAGAGAGAGAGAGAGATTCTAAAAACACAGGAGAAAGGAAGCCAGGTCTGAGTTAGCACACAATTGATATTTAACATTGCTGTTTTGCCAATGTATGCTAAATGATTAATATAATATGTACAGTATTTTGTAAAATACTAAAACATTACGTTTCCTATTCCTGGAATATTGTTGCTTTGAATCACCACTAGCCATATTATATCACCCAGATTTTCAGTTCACAGAACAAATACTTCTTATGAAAGATTTTAGCCCTATGCCAAACTTTATTTCTTCCTTTATGAAAAGTTCATAATGTAAAGATGGCTATATGGTCAGAACAGCATACTTGCCTCCCCAAATTGTGTTCCCTCCAGTATCATTGACAAGTATTGATTAAATTCAGAAAGGAACTAACATTTTTACAACGTGAGAACTTTAAGTAATGTTACTAGGGATCATAAACTGGCTGCCCAAACTTGGGTCTCCTGAGAAGTACCAGCTGCTTCCCCCCTCCATCCTCCAAATTAACAAGCCTGATTCAACTGAAGGTTGTGGAGGAGTGTGGCTGTTGCAACTTGCTAGCATCAGCTGTCCCGAATCCCATCTTCAAACCGGCCTTCCAAAAACTAGTTGCTGACATTGGATGTACAATGTAATTGGTGTATCGACAGTAGTTGGGGTTTTTTTACTCTCCTAGATGGATTCCATTTTATTTTGCCCTTCCTTCATACAAGGAACACAAATCCTTTGTAGCCTTTCCCCCAGAGTAATCCTTCCAACAGTCCTGTGAGGTAGGTTAAACTGAAAGATTTTATTTATGAATATTTCATTCAAATAATTCCATTTATAAAAAGAGTGACAAAAAAGAGAAAGGAAAAAGCAAGTGAGAATGAAAACGTTTGTCTTAGACGTTTATAATTTAGAGGAGGAGGAGAATTGCTTAGAATTTGCAAATATTTAAGACTTTAAGGACTAATATGAGCTCAGCTTATGTATTAATTCTGGGCAATATGTCCTCAGAATTGTAGGAAGGAACAAATCCCAATATCTGCTATCTGTGCGGAAGCTCCATCCTTCCCAGAGGTTCTTGGTCTGACAATTCAGTCTGGTATTAAATATTTCCAGGTTGGCGGCTATCTGTTCCTTTGCTGTATCCCTCAGTTAGGAAAGATGGATTCTCAGGATTTTCCTGCAGCTGCTTCTCTTAACTAGTTGTGAAAAGGAATCCCAATTATTGTTCTGGCCCACTGTTCTTTCAGCACTATGTGCGCTCACAGTATTTATTCATGTTCAGTGGGACTCAGAAGCATATAAAACCAGGCAATAGGTTTTCCCTCCCCGGTTCTGAAGGTACCCATCTGCCCACGTTGAGCACAGAATGAAAGAGATTGGCTTTCCTGTACATAGCAGCTGTGACTAATCTCTTCCCAAGCAATTGGGGGGGGGGGCAGAGGGCGGAGAGGGAATTCAGGTCAAATCATCCTGTCTTTCTTTTCCATCTTATTCATGGGCACCTGCTATCTCCAGGGGGGGGGGCAAATCTATGGACATAGGAAGTCATCTGATGGTGTAAGAGCCTCTTGTGGCTTATGTCTTTCAAACTTCTTCAACAAGAAAAGGATAGGTCTTTTGTCACATTCTGGGAGGGGAGTGGTGGAATGGACACAGGATATGATCCTCTGTTTGCAGTACTGGTCACTGGTCAAAGACTTGAAGATTGACATCAGCCTAACCTCAAGAAAGTTTTGGCAACCAGAGCCCTTTCTAAGTCCCCAATACGTTTTTTTCAAAATAAGGTCACATTCCTAAAAACCCTGTTTTAGGTTGGGAGCATCATTAAAGCGAGATATCCTATTCTATATGCATACAGACATACGTTTGGGGTTATAGCTGATCCAGAGAATTGTCATCACTCCAGGTTCTCAGCTTTCCAAAATTACATTGGGATTTTTGCCCTGATAAATGACTGGTGAGGTCAGGCAACTTTTCTACACTGCTAGTCCAGAAGGCTGCCTGAATCGGAGCACTGCATTGCATCTCTTCTGCCCCTCGTACACCCCCTGCCTCAGCCAGTGCTAGGGCTAGATGTTTTTAAACTGGCTTTATTGCCTTCATTCCACCACTATCTTCGTTTGTAGGACAGTGATTTCTATGGGGCAGGGTGTCTTAGGAGAAAGCATGTTCACTTTGCTGCCTGAAACAGCTCAGACCATCTTCCATGGTCAGATTAACCCTGTTTTTCCTTCCACATGCAGTTGTGGAGGATCCAGATATCTTTGCCCAAGGAAGAGCTTTTGTTTCTGGGGTATTGCATTTCTCTGGCATCCTGACTGCCATATTTTGTCATTGAGAAAATGCAGTCTTTTCCCCAATATAGCTTACAGAACATTCCAATTACAGGCAACTGAAATATACTAGAACGCACGAGAGAATTATGCTGGCACAAATTACAGTGCAATCCACATTTCAGGCATATAC